GGCCTTATGCATGTCATACAAACGTCTGTTTTTCTGTAGCGAGAGTGCTGAACGATGTGTCCTAAACGGCCACGCGACTCATCTTATTTTTGTTTCATATTCAACTGTTACCTCAAAAGTACTTGTTCATGACTAAATTCCATTTCCTACAGAGAATAGTCAACTTCCTGTTGCGGTGTAACCATTCTGTTTCTAAGCAATTAGCCAGACAAAACCTTTCGTATTGATTGACCTTACTGGATTCATGTTCCCACTTTAGTCTGTATCAGAAGGAAATTACATTCATAACAGCACTTCGAATTCACCTCGCATTCTTTTCCGAGCGAAATCCCGAATGGATTTTATCCTCGATGAATAATTTCATACAGAAAACTTCTAGAAAACCACCACCTTTGCAATTTGTGTTTTAACTCTACATATTAAAATTTACTGTTTATACAAAAGCAGCGAAACCGCGCGAACTTAACTTATTAAACTTGCATTGTTATATGATTGTGCCCGCACCTATATTTGATCATGGCTGTCTTTACATTCATCTGTATTTTACACCAACAACCAAGTATCAGTGTGCAGGGACCTGTCACATTGTCAGAATATAAACGTCACTGAGAGTGACTTTTTAGGTCTTCGACGACTCCTTAAACTGCACAGACAATTTAAGGCGACGCCATTTCACTACATGCCGAATTTTTAACCTTCTGCGGACGCTTTTAGTGTAAGTCTGTCCATAGATATATCATGCGCATCCAGCTGATTTTTACCACGTCATCTGTAGTTTTGTTCGTCTCCACAGCGTTCTGAGAAGCATCTGAAAAAGAGCGAGTAGGTAGAAGCGCAGATATCAGCGTATAGAAGTGTGACCGAATGCCGTATGTGTGAACCAATTGATAGCCTTATTTCTGATTTGAGTTGTATTGACAGTTTAAAAAAGCTATACTGCACTAATGGTCCTAGTTTAAGGGCGCCCGGCAACTAAGCCGTCGCTTTCTATCCCTCTCCATGCGGCATACACGTTATCAGAGAGTCACACGCGTGCCCGCTAAAGTGAAAACAGGACTACATTATCTAACAAGACCGTGTTTCTTGGGCATCTGGTAAGAATTTTGCTTATTTCATCAAGTCACGTAATGTGCGTGCTGTTGGAAAGGGCTTCATAAGGGAAAGCCATGAGTGCCGTTTACATTGATTGTGTTCCGTACTTGTCACTGGGATAGGTCACCAATGACTGGAGAAATAGGGGGCAAATACCGTAGACGAATACAAACTAGAGATAATGCAGTGATACCGTTATGCGTGACAACTGAGGCCATGTGCTGCATTGGGCAGTCAGCTCGCGTTTGGGGTATTGTTCAATTGTCAAGAAGAAACAGCACCCCCGTTGTGTCCCTGTGATCCAGTTGTCTGAGATTCGCCGACTGGATTTTTGCGAAAATGATAAGAATGAGGAATAATCCTTCAAATAATATTTCCAATCATTTACAGAATGGAGTAAATGTTGAGCGTCGCATGCAACGTTTCACTCGCGGTAAGCTTTACTGTATAACATACTAGCTTTGCGTAAGAGTCCCTTGGACCGACTTCAGAGGCCACCGTAGTCACTACTGAAGTAACTTTTAATAATAATGACTATTCTGACAGCTACTTCGGGAATAACCCACAGGGTTTCCAGCATATCAAACGACATCAAGTGGACAGAGACAGTGTGCATGCGTCCACAGCAAAATGACATAATTACGAACTACACAGATAAAAAAGACAAGAATATTCACCCCGACCACAACTTTCTTGAAAATGCATAGTTAATTTAGGTATGCACCCACATTAGCATTTAGGTTCATAACATGTTAATAGTAAGAGAAGAAAGTATGACTGAAGACGACCTAAGCTTTAACGCTATGTATATGCTGAAAGATGATATTTTCTTGTTTACTTCATTACTTGTGCAATCTTCAAATATTTTTAATCGAACTTAATGACCTCCTTTCTGCACCGTTCAGGTCCCGTAAAATCTTGTGGACTTCCCAACATATATCAGTGTTATGATGTCTGTAAACTGGCTTCTCTCATGTTAAATTACTGATATGGGAATAAAATATTTACTTATTTATTATTTATGACATGCTTATCATCAATTATTTTACCTTCAAAAGCAGCAGCTGACTAGTTAGTTCACTTCTAATGCTTTCTTCATCGCGCAGCACACTAGCTAAATATGGTATTGTAGAGTTTTTACACCTTACGGCAAGTACATAAAGTCTTATGTAGCCAATCAGGGTTTTCGACTTTACAAAACAGGTGCATTTTCAGCCGAATTACGGATGCCTGATCGGTCATTTCGCTAGCTATTAGGATGGCTTTTAAGTCCACTGGTTCTTAGGCGTCGTAAAATAAGTCATGGTCTTTCTGGAAGCCAACTGCAGGTCGAATTCCTTTGGCGTACAGAAAGTGCCTGTGAGGGACTCAATGTTACTACCAATGGCAGTTAATTTAGCTTAAGGGGTCCCTGCTACCGTTGCCGTTGCTTTTAGATTGGAATGTCACCTCCATCATCGATTGACTTCACTTATGTTTAGTGAAAGGTAGTATCCGTGTAAACCACACTGTCGCTGGTAAAGAAACCGTCCACAAAGGCACTATGAAGACGCTCGAAAGGCGATCGAGAAGTTTAAGAACCAGTGACACTGTGTGTCTGTTTGTCCATTCTAGGACAAACCTGCCTACCTTAGAGCACGTATTGCATGAAAAAAGCATGGCTAACCACTCGTAAAAATGCGGTTTCCTCACTGACGCTGTATCTGCAGATGATCCATCCATGGTGAGCGCTTTCTTTCTGCCTGTCCTCTACAGGATACACCTGAATATATCTAACACTGTCGTAACACCGGAAAAGCTCGTTGCGTTCTGACTACCTAGAACTTTTCCATTCTACAGTAAATCATTATAAGCTAGTATCAGCTTAGTCAGTACCTTACCTACATGTAGGTACTAATAACGAAAGACATAAAAAGGCATGTTAAATGCTTGAAAGCTCTCTATAGAGCAGTGTTTTTCTCAGTGTCTCTTAAAATTCTGTTCTGGGGGAAACGTTACGACTCGTCAAGCTATAAATGACCGGGCTATGGACTGTCAGAAAGTTACCGCATATCATCATAAGGGGTGCGCTAAGTGCTGGCTGCCTGTGGACTTACATCTACATGTTACGGCGAATCTCACAAGTCTGAAGCCATCTAGTCATGTCTAAGTATATTACCTAGTAAATACCTAACTTTTGAAGACATAGTCATTTATTTGAAACCTGCTAGTCAAGGCCCAGAAATGCTCAATAAACGTTAGTGGTTCCTTTTTGGTGAAAACAAACAATGTGAAGTCCTTCAAAACTTCCCCTTCATCAGCAAGTGTTGGAAGCAGAAAAACTGCTACGTAATTACCATCGTCGTGTAAAGGTGACCCAAGCTTGTTAGTTTTGGATGCAGAACCAATACATGTTACTTCTAGGGGGCATAATATGAGGCGTTCTTTTATGCAGGCCGAAAAATACCAAATCCTATCCTTTTCTTACTTTTGTATGAACTTCAGCAATCAATTGCGGTCGGTCCAGATTTCATTACTTGTTGTTTCCTTTATACCCGGAAGACACTTCTTTAATTTGTAACTTTTAAATCCCTTAGTATGGTTCAGAATTCACTTTACTGATGTATTTCGTCTCTTTAAACCTAATAAATTTAATTGTAAACGCGGTAAGGAATTCAGACATTGATTAGATGCCACCGGGAATTGCTTCAAACAAATATCTTCACAGGCTAAAATATGTCCGTGGGATTGGATGTCACAAGTTCACTCATGAAAGGGTTGCTTTGGCTTCCCTTGGCGTCAGAAGGGTCTATATGATACTGAAAGCTTCAAAATTGGAACGACGACCCGTGGGACGGGAACATTTTTCTCAGCACTTATGGCACCCCTGGTCTGATGTCTGTCAGCGTGCCATTCCCTCTGTTGCGAAGTCGATAATTCGCATTTCAAATAATATTACTATGCTCCTGCAACTACCACTGGTAATGTGTGTCTCCTTATGCCACAAGTGCATGAATGGCTTCTTCATCAGTCTGCAGAAGACAGCTGGAGGAGCTCAAAAAATGTCACTTCGAAGTCCTCTCAGCATGCGAAAAGTTCAGACAATATTAATCTATACGGTGCGGGAGTGAGGCCACTCTTCATCTTAAACACCAACAAATTAACTCAGCTTATGCTGTATTTGGATTCAGAACACATCGCAAACAGAAGGTTATATGTATCTCCGGTAATCACAAGGTGCCCAAGTGATTAAAACAAGAGTTAGTAAATTAGCAACCGACTGACTGCGAAGTCGACGGACACAGTCACTGATTCTTCCTACTTGTAGTATACTCATGAATATGCGACCATAAAACGATGCAACAAAGAAGCCAAGTGGCAAAGTGTATTTGACAGGCCGTGCTAAAATGCCGGTGTGTTCCAACTTACTGGATAGAGGATCGCGTGTGAGTAATGCAATGTAGCAGGAGACGAGCCAAGTGACGTGGATGCTTGAGAGTGTACCTTCACCTTAGCAAGTCCGTTGAAACCATGAAGATCAGCATCGACGCTGAATCGCTTCGAACCGCAGTCTACTGATCTTGAAGTATTATATCTCGCTACGACACCACCTTTTCTCTGCCGCATTCGTCGTCTTTTCTCCAGGTTAGATTGTTTAATGGAAATAGTGACTGTCAGTGGTGTCATTAATCTATTAACCAGCAGCCCATATAATCCATGTCATTTGGTATCATGGCTCTTGTTGATTAGCAGAACGTAAGTGTGTACATCTATCCAATTTAGCGAGCATTTGTAGACGCAATCTGAAAAGTGAAAACGAAATGGTTGGTTCATCAAAAATAGGCAGTAACTGAGAGTGTTATTGGCTGAAACTTCATTGAAAAGTAAGGGAGACCCGAAAATGTCTTCTCTTTCATTTTTCACCACAGATACCTAGTGTCGTATCATTGAAGGTCTCTACTTGACATTGTGTGGAGGGCATTCAAATATTGTGAAATGCTCAACATTTTCGTAAGATCGTGTATTATCCCATGTCTTCATCTGGAATACATAAGATCCCTTAGTTTTCTTCAATACATTTTCCTATCTGTCAGTTTGACATCAACTGATCAAGTTGTGTCTTCCGTAAGCTAGACCAGTTAACCTTTTCGTCGGACCAAATTGATAAATGGCTATTCACTACAGGAAACATCGGGCCTAATGTAGAACCAGGCATGAGGTTTAGCAACATTTTCCCCACGTTCGTCCCTGACATTCTACAAACGCCTGATGTCTGACCCCGCCTACTGATAGTTGACTCAACGTTTGACCCCGTGTGTGCTACATTTGGCCGTACATCAGATTCATGGCCTAACGTTGTTCTGTTTGGCCTGACAGAATTGTTGACTGGGTTGTGTTACAGCTCCTCACTTGCATTTATAACTGCCCACAACCATTAAAAGAAAGAGGAAGTGAAATAGTGATTGGAAAGTAAAGTATGAAAGTGAACGTGACCGGTTTATTCCCCACGAATCCATTACTTATGAAATCTTCACTATGTCTTATAACGCTTAAACTCTCATAATTGACACCTCTCTTGCTCATGTTGTGCTTGTTCAGTTTGTCCTACAAATCGTGGAAATAGCTCGTGGGGCTGCGTCGAGCATAACTCCTATTTGCTTTCGATGTGCACATAGACACAATTTAGATGTTATACGTTAGCTGTGGGAAGTGACTTGTTCAATTTGGCCAAAATAATCATCCTCAAGAAGGTCTAGTGAGTCACATTTTTTTTGTTAGAACTACTTCGAAAATTGTCTAGTGATTGCAGGCCATCCTACAGCTTGCTAACCACTGTGGCAGTCAGTTGTCTGTTAATGGCCCTGTTATACTTGAAAATATACTGTGTCTTTCCGAGTAAACTAAGTTATAGTCTTGAAGAAATTTGGATAGTAGTCACCAAAGGACAAGTACGATGTCGTATGTTTCACTTTTTCATTTTGTAATTTAGTATGAGATTATGATTCGGAAGGTCAACTTCTAGGAAGTGTATATATGTGACTCACTGGTGCAAGTATTTGACTTACAAGCCAAGTTCCAGATTCAAATCCTGATCCACTTCATTCATCTATGGTAACGAGGTAGTATCATATATCCTTACAGCTAATGTAACTCCTAGCGTAGTGCATAAATATGTAGCAAGTTAGTTCACACCATTAACATTTCTCTAGAACGCTGTGAAAACGGCGAGTAAGGCTGCTTATGGCGTCGAAAAAAATCCAAAGTCAAATGAAAAGGGAAGGATTTCCAAAAGCACGTCTAAGACAAAGTTAAATAAAAATGGTAAGGGTTGACGTCCTCGATTCACATCATTCGACGCAGACATCTATTCTGATGGATGATTGTAAATTCCGACAACGACTGTGGATGCTCAAACATAAATCCTTCAGGTAGTGGTGCACTTTTTGAATGCTGTTTGCAGCAAAAGAGACACTGCTACTAGACTTCTTAGTTGACGAAATCAAATGCTACTTTCATGTTAGGAAATAACTATTTTCGAGTGTCGATAAGAACACTTGAATTCGTAGGTTTAGCAAAAGCTCCAGAATTTGTTGATCGATTCATGTCTGGATCTGAAACCTGTCTGATTTTCGCGAGTTTGCCTTTCTCGAACTTTAGTTATGCTTAAGATGAATAAGAACTAGGCTTATTCCTATGTGGTTGTCATAGTATGACCTCTCTCATAAGCTGAAGTGATCCATGATCTAGACCAGTCTGATGAGACCACCTCCGATTTGCATGTCTACTATTACTCCAGCTACTGTAATCAGTAATTTCCCACCCCCATTCTTGAAAAATTCGTGCGGTGAACCATCAGGTCCTACTGCTTCTCATCGTTTCAGCTTTGAAATAGCCTTTTCAACTTTGAGAGATGAAAGGCTGCCGTCTACATGCCATAAACGTATAAACTGGATTTTTGATGACTGAAGACTGGCTGTACCCCAGAGAGACTGTTATTTAAAGTCTTCCAATCAACCCTCCAGCCACCTGTCCTGGGAAGTTACTAAAAGTCCCTCTTGCTCGGCAATGGTCTCGATAACCATCGTTTTTTCCCTCCAATCTTCTTGGTAAACCTAAATACATCCGGCTTATTGTTTATGTCCGGTCCCTTCCCATCTTTGTCGAACACCACTGATCGCGGTAACTATGACGACTTATTTTGCGTTTAAACTGCTTTCGCTCCTCATTGCAGCCAAAACCAGCTTCGGTTAGTCTCATCGGACCAATAAGTTTGGATGAGATCGCAGAAACCCACTGAATTTCAGTAAAGTTTAGATTTAGGTTATTAACTATCTTTGCCACAGTTTCTACAACAAACAGTATAATCCCCGGCTGCATCTAGATGGTACTCACTGCCATGTTAAGATAAGTGCCTAGCTACCACCTTAAATATGAACGTAGTGTTCGTATCTTTCAAACAAGCACATAAACGCTCGATCATTGCTTACTCCATTCAGTTAGGAGCAAAGATATGTGTTCGTACCAGTCCATGATCAAAGTCGTAATAAGTACTCCAAAGGAAGTGGCAATTCGCCACCAATCTCCATCGATAGCTTATAGCAATACAGTCAATCTTTATTCACTATTGGCTTGGTGTTGACGAATGCCAAGTTAGACAATGTCTCTCCTTATGTCTGAAGTTAGCTCTGACTAAAAACAAGTGATTATCGGAGGAAAATTGTAACAGATGATCACCGCTGCTGGTTCGTTTGTATGGGTTACCCCAGGTATCTGTAAGATGTTTTTAGTTGGCTCAGTTCCCCTACTTAGGCGTTGAAATCGCCGACTAACATATCTATGTGTGAGCGTTTTGCTTTATGTAGCAAAACTGACAGCTTTTGATGGAACTCATCTTTCGTATTATCCGAACTGCAGTCCGTGGACATGTAGGCGGAGACTACAAATTAGCGTCTATGCGAATCGCCATCCTTTGTCGTTTTTACGTATCCATATAGCTGGTTAGCACACAAGTGGTTATTGATTGTCCAGCCAAATAATGAGCTTTCTGTCCCTCAAATAACTGATGCTTAAGTCAGTGAGTTTGAGGGAACTAGCCATCGTACTTCTAAATATTTGTAAAGCGGACTTTAGTTGATTCACCAGATTAGTCAGGTTAGGTAAATCAGTTGTATCCCTTGTGTGTATCTCAGAAACAGTATACGTGCGTGTTCTCACATATCAAAGTTCTTTCAAATTTGACATAAGGTTCGCCAGTTGGGAAGTGTGGTTCACTGGTTTATGGACGCGAACTTCAAGCAATAATCCCTGGGTTCAAACTCTGCTCCATCTACATTGACCTGGACAACTGGGTAGTATCACAAGCCCTCACACAAAGCGTGTCTCAGCCCCAGTACATAAACATTTGCGGGGTTGAGTTACATCATTTATCTTTATTCATTTCACCCATTAAGACCTCCAATGGAAAGTTGGTAACATGGCTTTCGAAGACTGGAAATGATATTTTGCTGACTTGGATCGTTAGCAATGTTCGCAGGGTAATAAGTTGAGAAAACTATAGGGCAGTATTGATAACATAAACAGGCGAGGAAGATAAGGGAAGAAACGAAAGTAAGGAGAGTATATCACGGTTAAATAAGTGTTTGTATCCTACTGGAAGCATAGAGGCACTTGGTGCTTCCTCTCTTTTCACATTTGATATCTTATTGAGGGACATGAAAGGGAGTTTTAGCAGACTGCGTTACCACATTATTCGAAAGGTATCTGTTTGAGGCTGATCACACGCAGCCGCTCCTGGAGTTTTGGATGTGCTTGTTATTTCCATAAATGGAAACGCAATGAAATTTTGTGACGGGAAGAAGAGTGTGTTACTTTTAGGCCTGACATTTTTTTTTGCCTTTTTCGATAGGGGAGGGCAGCTGAGAATGTTGATTATTATCAAGAAACATCTTAATGCTATCATACCATGTGCAACCATAAGATAAGATAAATGGTTTTCAACATGATACTAACCACTTTCAGTCTTACCACTATCTAACAGACTTTTGCGATATGGCAACACTTCAGAAAACAATCTTTCCAGCTAGCATAGCTCGTTAGGTTATTCCAAATCCATAGCAACTGTCTACTCGTGATCTTAAAGCTCATTTCAGTGTCCCTCTCCTTTGTTGTCGCTGAGTACGAGTACCTGGAGCGATCCACTGTTGTTCTACTTTTTATCTTTATTGGTTTTCACATCTTCGGTAGACCATTTTATAGTCATATATATATATATATATATATATATATATATATATATATATATATATATATATATATATATGCTAATCTGTAGTTTGATGTGATTTATAGGTTCGTCGTCTGAGTACCTCTTCTCCAGCCTTAAAACTTGTACAGGTAAGTGCAAAACGCATCAAATTCTAATTTTTTAAGGTGAATTTTTATTTTGACATTTGTGTAAATTGTCTTTTTAAGTTTGTGTGATATTATTATTATTATTATTATTATTATTATTATTATTATAGTCCCTTGGGTTCCTAGTGGAACATAGGGCTTCAGTAGCACGCCTCCAGTGACCTCTGTCCTCTGAGATCTTTTGAATCTGGTCCCACGACAGCTCACAACCTCTCATTTCCTCCTCGCACGACCTCCTCCATGTCACCCTCGGACGTCCAACTCGTCGCTTCCCATGGGGATTCCACTCGAGGGCCTGACGCGTGATGTCCTCAGTCGGCCTTCTCAGTGCATGGCCAATCCATCTCCACTTCTTCCTGCATATTTGTTGCGTGATAGGTTCTTGGTTGGTTCGTTCCCAGAGCTCCTTGTTGCTTATTCTTTCTGGCCATCTGATCTTCAGTAGCGAGCGTAAGCAGCTGTTGATGAATGTCTGTAGTTTATTGGAAATGCCTTTCGTGACGCGCCAAGTCTCTCAACCATACAGGAGCACTGACTTGACGTTGGTGTTGAAAATCCGTATCTTGTTCCGCATGCTGAGTGCAGAAGATCTCCACACTGGTTTCAGGCTAGTGAACGCCTGTCTTGCTTTTCCGATTCTGACTTTGACGTCCTCGTCCGTCCCGCCTGTAGTTGAAACAGTGCTTCCTAGATAAGTGAAGGAGGTTACTTCCTTTAAGTTTCTCCCGTTGATGGTGACTGGAGTTTGTTGTTGTTGTTGATGGTGGTGGTGCGGTATCTTCATCACCTCTGTCTTCTCTATATTCACCTGAAGTCCCGTCTTCGCTGCCTCTTCTGTCATCTTGTTAGTTTTTGCTTGCAGATCTTCAAGTTTACGTGACATCAGGCACAAGTCATCGGCGAAATCCAAGTCTTCTAGGTTCTTTTCCGTCGTCCAGCGTATCCCCCTCTTCTCGCTGCCTACTGTTTGCTGCATGATCCAGTCCACCACAATCAGGAATATCATGGGGGATAGTAGGCAACCTTGTTTCACTCCTACTCCTGTCTTCACTTCAAGAGCATCACTGAGCTTCCCATTGTGAATTACTTGGCATGTGGCATCTTCATATAGTTGTTGAATGAGGCGGATAAAGGTTTGCGGCACTCCGTAGTAATGAAGCAGTTTGCAAACTACCTCTCGGTTGACGCTGTCAAAGGCCTTCTCAAAGTCGATAAAGTTGAGTTGACTGCCATCCTATTCTCTGTTCTATGATGATGCATAGTGAGGCGTTTCAATTTGGTCGGCATATGATTTGTACTTCCTGAAGCCTGCCTGTTCCGGTCGCAGTTTTGAATCCAGTGCATCTTTAAGCCTCTCCAGGATGATGCGGCTTAATATTTTGCTTGCTTGGGGTGGACAGGAGAGTGCTTCAACGCCAGTTCTTGCAAACACTGAGGTCTCCCTTCTTCGGCAGCTTGACAAGGTAACCCTTCTTCCAATCGTCAGGTACCTTCTCTTCCTTCCACACCTTCTGCAATAGTGGTGTGGTGTGAGCATGTCCGCTGTTGTCTCTGCATCTGTTCTCAGTGCTTCTGGCGGTATTCCATCTGGTCCTGCTGCTTTCCCGCATTTCAGTAGCTTTATGGCGTTCAGGACTTCCATTTTTGTTGGAGGATTTATGTTCACTTGTATTTCAGAGTCTGCAGGTGGTATTTCTGGACGAAGTGCAGGTAGTGGTGGTGGTCGATCCCAGAGCTTTTTGAAGTGGTCAGCCCATTGTTTCCTTTGTTTCTCCTCTTTGGTAATTAAATTTCCGTCATCATCTTTCATTGGCTTCGTCTGCGTTGATCTCTCCCATCCCAGATAGCAACCTGGTTATTTGATACAATGTCGTCAGGTCTCTCTTACCTGCAGCCTGTTCTCCTTCATTTGCCAGTGTTTCGTAGAAGTGTCTTTTGTCTTTCCGTGCACTTTTCTTCACCTCTTCGTTCAGTGTTTTATACATTGTGTACAGTTCCTCTTGTCGTTGAGCATCCATGCACTGGTTTATCTTCTGCTTCACCATCCTCCTCTCCTCTATCAGCTTCCAGGTATCCGTCGAGATCCATTCCTCATCTTCTTTCTTCTTCTTTCCTAATACGTCTGTGCAGGTTTCTTTCCACATAGCTTTCAAAGGCTTCCAGTGTTCTTCCACACAGGTTTCTTCAGGGATGTTCCTCGATATCTCCCATTTTGTCTTGATGGCTGCCTTGAAGATCTCCTTTGTAGTTTCATCCTTCAGTTTCCGAGTGTTGTACTTGAATTGAGGTCTATCACCAGCTTCCTTGAAGGCTTTTAACTTGATTTGGAAGGTTCCTTGCACTAGATAGTGGTGTGAACCTACATCTGCTCCTCTTCTTGACCTTGTGTTAAGTAGACTGCGTCTCCATTTTCTTGAGATTGAGATAAAGTCGATTTGATTTTTAGTGTGTCCATCTGGTGAAATCCATGTCGCTTTGTGGATATCTTTGTGCCTGAACACACTGCCTCCAATCACCAAATCGTTGAATGCACAGAATTCTGCAAACAATTCTCCATTCTCATTCATTTCACCTAGCGCCTCTCGACCCATGGTTAGTTCTCTTCCCGTGTTGTCCCCTCCCAGTTTGGCATTCATGTCACCCATTAGAATTTTGATATCGCCAACTGACGTCTTGTCGAGTGTTGATTGAAGTTGTCTGTAGAAATCCTCCTTTTTCTCTTGCTCTGCATTATTTGTAGGTGCATAACATTGTATGATTGTGACCTTTCTTCCTTTTGAGTTGAATCTTGCTGTCATGATCCTGCATGAGGAGATTGGTTCCCACTGCATGAGAGCCTTCGATGCTCTTGAGGACATCATGATAGCCACTCCCTCAGTGTGCTCGTGGTTGGCGTCTGGGTGACCGGAGTAGATTATTGATTCTCCAGTTGACAGTTTGGAGAGTCCACTCCCATTCCATCTGCTTTCGCAAATCCCAAGCACTTCGATGTTATACCTTCTCATCTCCTTTGCAATCTGGGCTGCCTTACTGGGTTCAAACATCGTGCGGACATTCCATGTCCCCACGTTTACTTTCGCTTTCATGGAGAGAAGACACATCGGCCAATTGGCTTCCCGAAGGCTTTCACCAACTGGCGTCATTTCGCCTCTCCGATTCCAGCGGGGAATAAGTTTGTATTCATTTTTTATATTTTGTTTGTGCTTTGAAGTTTCTTTAGCGGTTAGATTTGTTTTACGGGGTAGGGTTGCTAGCCCTATACCCAACCTTCCCTCTTTACCCGGGCTTAGGACCGGCTAGTAACTAGTAAACTAGTTAACCAGGCGAGGTTAAGTTTGTGTGATAAGGCTTCAAAATTTTACGGTTTTATCTTTAGTCGAAGGGTAGGCTTTAACCTACATTTTGTCTTCCCCACATTAGTTAAAGTGTTTTGAAAAGCATTTGTAACCACATTTGTGACAGTTTTGGCTCTGTAGACAAGATTGTCAAGTGTCATGTCTATTTTCACACCGGAATTGTATTAAGCATACTTTTGAACCCTAATAATAGGTTTGTTTGGTTAATCTGTCCTGGAGTTATATGAACACTTGATGATAGGTTCATTCGTTAGTGATTCTCTTAACAGTTGTCAGATGTACTTCTGATGGTGTATGTAGGAAAAATAATAGTAATATCTTGGACGTAAAGGAGGATAATCTGTTAGTCATTATAAATACGGGACCTGGCATTAATGCATTACACCTCAAGTTGTCACCTCATATCAGAACATCAAGGTAGAAGTCATTTTGATGAAAGAGAAATAAGGAAAAACGTAGTTGAAAGTTGTAAAAAGTCGTGATAAGAGGACAAGGAAGAATGAGAGAATATTGAAATTCGGTATAACGATTAAGACAAGGATATTGTTTCGATACATTTGCACTACTAACACCTGTGTTCAACCACCAACTCCTGGTATCACGTGGATCCCAAAATCTTTTCCGTACATGGCTCAGACCAACAGTCAAGGGACCTATGAACTAGAGCTGTTTAGTACAGCCACTCCTAGCCATTTCCAAACCTGAACCTACTTCACTTAACATTGTACGACGAGACAGACGGTGACTAGGCAAGTGTAACACAGGTCCCGGCCACCTGAGTCGGTGAAGGTTCACAAAATCATCAACTAACCCTCCTGTTCTTTCTAAAACTCTACACCTGACTTCTGCGTTACTCACGTGGTGATACCATGACACACGGACTATGTCACAAAAGCGGTAGTGGTCGAACACCTGAAGCCTTCTGGTGTCATCTACCTTTAATGACCATGTTTCACACCTAAATAAAGCTCGTTTTTACTAATACACGTTTTCAGTTCGACTCATTATAAACTCAGTTGATTATCACTCTTGACTTCTCTCTGAGGATCACTCAGATTGAACTGTCTAAATCTTCGACTATCAATCGCTAATCACTATCGTTCGTTTTGACAACTCCACATCATAACACAGTTGCATTGAAATATCTCTATGTATGAGTTAAAGATATTGGGTTATTTTGGTGTAGCGTAAATTTTTGAGTATTATGGTAGAGACTTGGGAAACTGATCAAATCGAAATTCGTTAGGTGTGGCCAAGTTAAATATTATATGGCTATAAATTTATTGACTGGTATATAAATAGTGATATAAAGTTTTGTAAAAGGAGTGATTCACAATAAGGCTAATATTTTTACACTGAGATGGATCAAATTCGTTTTCACTAATCTGTTGAAAATAGTTTTTAATAAATAGCTTAGTCGAAATAGGAAAAGTTAGGCAGTGAGACTTACCAAGACCCGTGGTTTAGTTTGGTTTAGATACGATGAATTAAAAACTATGATCAAATGGTTGATAACCGAATACGTGAAGCAATAAGCCATAGCTGTAGATTGTGACTATTTGAAGTGAATTCTTGCAACAACTAGCCAGAAGTATACCTCGGTATTTATCTCAACCCCTTTCTAACTAACTCATACATTTCATTGTTTCCTTTTCATAGCCTCCTATTCAAGTGTCTGGCATAGAAGGACGATACGCTACTGCTCTTTACTCTGCAGCTTCCAAAAAAAACGCATTAGACAACATTGAAAAAGATCTACAACTGATTAAGAGCACTTTAGATAAAGATGTAAAACTACAAGAGTTTTGCGCTGATCCCAGCCTACAACGATCAACTAAAGTTACTGAAATTGGCCGGATCTTACAAAAGTTAAAAGTTAATGAAGTTACTAAAAATCTGTTCGGTAAGAATATATTAAGTTATTGTAAATTATTATTTTATTATTTGTCCCTTGGGTTCCTAGTGGAACATAGGGCTTCAGTAGCAAGTCTCCAGCGCACTCTGTTCTCTGCAATATTTTCAACTTGGCTCCACCACTGCCCATAGGCTTCCATTTCTTCTTCACAGGATCTCCTCCATGTCACCTTCAGCTGGGACGCCCAACTCGTCGTTTTCCCTTTGAGTTTCACTTGACAGCCTGGCCTGGTCCGGTGCGTGATGTCCCCAGTCAGTCTTCTCGGTGTATGCCCAATCCAATCTATCTCCACTTTCTTCTGCAAATTTGTTGGGTGATGGGTTCTAGGTTAGTTCATTGCCAGCTAGCCGGAGTTCCTTGTTACTTGTTCTTTCTGGCCATCTGATCTTCAGTTTCGATCGTAGGCAGCTGTCGATGGATGTCTGTAGTTTGTTGGAAATACTTTTCGCGACAGCAAGTTTCTGAACCACCACATAGATGTACTGACTTAGTGTTCGGAATCCGGATCTTGTTCACGCTTTATGCTGGGTGCAGTAGATCTCCACACTGGTTTCAGGTTAATGAATGCCTGTCTTGCTGTCTTTCCGATGCTGGCTTCGACGTCTTCATCTGTGCTTGTGCCGCCTGTAGTTGAGACGATGCTGCCTAGGTACATGAAAGAGATTACTTCGTTTGGGTTTCTCCTTCTGATGGTGATTGGTACTTGTTGTTGTTGGTTGGGTATCTTCATCGCCTCTGTCTTCTCTACATTCACTTGAAAGAAGTCCCGTGTTCGCTGCCTCTTCTGTTAATTTGTTGGGTTTCGCCTTTAGATCTTTGAGTTTGTGCGACATTAGACACAGATCATCATCGGTGAAATCCAAATGTTCTTCTGGAGTCTTTTCATCGATCCAGACAGCTAGCGTATGCCTCTGTTCTCGCTCCTCACAGTTTGTTGCACGGTTCGGTCCAGTCCAATCGACTACAGTCAGAAAGATCATCGGTGATGGTAGGCAGCCTTGTCTCACTCCTTCCTTTCTTCACTTCGGTTATGCAAGTTTCCCATTCAAAGAGTTCCAGTATCCTTCAAAGTAGGTTTCCTCAGGAATGTTGCCTAATGTCTCCCATTTCTTCCCGATGTCTGACGTGAAGATGTTCCTTGCAGTTTCGTCCTTCAGTTTCTATTCTGGGTGTTCAACTTGAACTGTGGCTTATCACCAACTTCTGTGAAGGCCCTCAACTTGATTTTGAAGGTAGGTTCCTTGCACTAGATGGCGAGTGGTGTGAACCTGCAGTTGATCCCCTTCTTGATCTTGTGTCCAGTAGACTGCGTCTCCACTTTCTTCACGTTGTGAAATGAAGTCGATCTGATCTTTAGTGTAGTGTGTGCATCCGGTGAAATCCATGTGAATATCCGTGTGTTTGTACACAGTGCCTCACTCCAATCACCAAGTCATTGAATGCGCAGAGGTGTGCTAACAGTTCTCCATTCTCGTTCATCTCACCGAGCGCTTCTCGACCCATGGTTAGTTGTCTTCGTGTGTTGTCTTCTCCGAGTTTGACGTTCACGTCGCCCATTATAATTTTGATGTCGCCAACTGTGGTGAGGTCTCGTCCATTGATGATTTCAGTTGTTTGTAGAATTCCTCCTTCTTCTTTTGATGTGTATTATTTGTAGGTGCGTAGCGTAGTGTAGCGTAGGATTGTATGATTGTGACTTTCCTTCCTTTTGAGTTGAATCTTGCTGTGATGATGGTGATGGTGGAGGAGGAGATTTGTTCCTACTGCATGAGAGGGAGAGAGAGAGAGAGAGAGCCATTTATGCTGTTGGGGACATGATGATAGCCAGTGGAAAAGTCAGTGTGCTTGTGGTTGTCGTGTGGGTGAGAATATCGGAGTAGATTGTTGACTGTGAAGTTGACAGTTTGGAGAGTTCACTTCCATTGCATCCGGTTTCGCGGATTGCTAGCACTTCAATGCTATACCTTCTCATCTCTTTTTCAATCTGGGCAGCCTTGCCAGGCAGCTTCAATTATGGTGTGGACATTCCATATCCCTATGTTTACTTTCACTTTCATCGAGAGAAGACATCAGCCAACTGGCTTTATTTCGTCACGTCAATTCCAGCAAGGAATAAGCTCATTTTTATCATTTATATTTTTTCTTTCTGCGTCGAAGTTTCTTTGGCGGTTGGATTGGTTTTCCGTCGTAGGGTTGGTAGCCGTACGCCCAACCTTCCCTCTTTATCAATGCTTAGAGCCGGCTAGTAACTAGTGAACTAGTTAACTAGGTTAGAGGTTAATTCGCTGTAAAAGTTTTTGTGAATGGTGATATTCAATTTGTAAAATATTTCTGTGCTTTTTGCCTTAGGCGCGTCTGAAATTCCCTAAATTTAAGTCTATTAGCTTGTTGTTAAAATATGTGTGAATAAACTCTACCTTTTTTAGAGTATTAACTCAAAAGTTTTTTCAGTTTCTCTTCATTCATGTTCTTCACCTGACGGTATGACTACGCTTATTGATCTTCGCTTCGATTAGTTCTGTCTGCTACTATTATGTCGGGTTGCTGCGTTCGAATTTGATCCTACTACCAGTAACATTACACCACCTGACTGAGGAAGAAGACAACTGTAAGCTATTAGACACAATAAAAAAAAATCATTTATTTGGCAAAATACATGGAGAATCTACAAGGCTTAAAAAGTATAAATGGCTTAACCAGAATATCAAGTGAATAAAAGGACCATGAATATAAGGTTACTATTGATCAGTCATTACTCTCATTCATCCTGCGCAGATATACAACAGCAGTTTACAAGGGTTGCAAGACAGCTATCGGTGGGCCTATGGCTCATTGATTCAGGCAATCGACTTCCAAACAGTGGGTCACGTATTCGAACTCCGTTCCACCTACTGAGGTTTAGGCAGCTAGGTAGTAACATTAGCCTTCATACAACAGATGTGGCTTATTACCTGTTGCACAAATGTGCACGTGGTTGTTGAGTCCATTATGTATTATTTATATATTTATAATGGATTAGTAGCTACTACGTCATGGAAGTGGTTGAGTATTTAACTATGGCGGGAATTAACTGACTAAACTTTATCTTTAAGTCATTTCATGTTAAGCTGACTTGTGTAACTGTAACTTGACAGCAAAAAATCTTTGTGTGGAAAATGGCATTCCACTGCTGAGGGTATTGAAACGTAGTTATGTCCTTCCTATTAGCTGTGTGGTAGTTAGCATGCAGTAATAAGGGAAAAAAGTAACTTGAACGATAAGGTAGCGAAATTTTATCGACGTATGTGAGTGAAACATATTTTACGCTTACATAGTTAACACCTACCTTAAGGTGAAATATTAACTGTAGTAGGTGTCAGATGGAAGATGTATTGAGGTAGTCATACAAAGACTTGTCAATATACATTAATTTCTCGACTATTAACAGAGAAATACATCTAGAGAATCGAAATGACAGTGAGATAGAAGCTTAATCTTGATTAATAGTGACTTGAGTTGTGATATAGAGATATGAGGGCTGTTAGTGCTTCCCAGTTTCTCAGCAGCTTTCTGTATCCTACCTTATGACAATGAAACATGGCCGTTTAAGGAAAGCTGTGTGAGAAAGTCTCACGTACCAGACTACCGTTTTGGAACCTTGCACATGAAAAGCTTAGATTTCAGGCCTAGAGTTTTGGGTAAAGTAGGCATGTCATTTTTTGTGATTGCATACCTTCACAGGTTGAGGTGACTGGGAGCACATGCTACCCATACCGAGTCTGTGATGGTATGGTATAAAAACATTCAACTGCACCCAGTTTGGTGTCTGTTTCGATTGATTGATGGAACTGTGACTCGTCAGTGAACGTAGTCGAATTTCAACCAGTTGATCAGGGATTCTATCCCGCTTCATATACCAACGTTTGGGCATCCATGTAGTATCACTGGCCGTCACACAACAGACACAGCTCATTGCCTAGTGTATAAGCATGCAGTTGGCTGGTGAGTGTAGTTTTTCCAAGTGTGACTGACTAATAGCCAGGGTTTTTGTGTTCATAGATGATGTAGTGTTGCCTGCAGATTGTTAGTGTTTATACTAGCCACTATACTTCATTTTTCTCTACAATGTATTATTAAACATGTAGAATCAAATAAGTTGTTTATCAGGCTTTAGAGAATTGTAGTCAGGTTTCTTGATCACTTCACTCTTTAGTATTTACGTGACGGGTTGGGTGGTGAGAGTTGGTCGCATGAGAATCATGATAATTCATTTGTTTATTGATTCTTCTTACTGTTTATATCAGTACAATTACAAAATGTAGAGACATACTAGTGCATTGCAGCCCTTTAGGGACCTCTATCCAGTTTCCCCGTCCTGCTGTTATTCCAAATAAAGTGATCAAAGGAATTTGACCTAATGGTTATACGCAGATAGTTGTGCTGCGTTGATAGCCAAATACAGACAGACGAAATCACCATAAAACCTCGCACACAAGTGCATCAATTCAATTTACCACACTTCACAGTAGTATACAAAGAACAAATGGATACAAATGACTAGTATCAAAGTAGACAAAAGTGTATGGGAGGAGAGGGAATTTAAAAATGAAAGTTAGTCAAAACATTCGAGCTTCAAAAGACATCAAAGAGTGAATACATCTGCGCCATTGTGACCGATTTTCAACCATTTCACCAAGAGTCCTCAACCACTGATTCCTCTCATCTCGGGGACCCCAGCAGGCAGTCTATACCTCGCTGCACGACTCAGATCAGCAGTCATAGACTTCGACTGGCTTCTCTGAACCTTTCTCCAAGCTAATCCAACTTTGACGTGCATGACACGTCAAGGTAGGCTATGACTCGTAGTGACCAGCAAATGTCCAAGCCGTTTCAGTTGACGAAGGTTCACAACCTCATCGACCGGCTTACCTTTCTTGCCTAGTACGCTTCGCATGACCTTGACATTGCTCAAATGGTGATTCCACCATATGCAAACAATCGTGCGAAGACACCTTTGATAAAAACGCGTAATCTCTTCATATTGTCTACTTTCAATGACCGTCTCAGCCGTAAAATAGGACAGGATAATAGGACTGCAGTGTAGTATATTCGTCCTTTAAATAGACATTGGGATATCTCGCTGATGCCAGAGATGATGCGAGTTGGCAAATGCCAAATGGGTCTTCTGTATTCGAGTTGAGATTTTGTCAGCAACCAACCCAATCAGCGGGTTGACTCAACTCCCCAAGTAAGTGAATTGGTCGACACATTCCACCACTGCGCTCGCTATCCCTCAATACCACTAGTTGTCATCAATTCTGATGACAATTCTCCGTAGGCCCTTAAACTACTGCGTGAGTTCCAGTAGAGCTTTGATTAGCGTTATATGCTTACTCGGTACTCCTTTCAAAGTCAGACACTACCACAGCACCTCACGGTCGACAGAGTTGAATGTCGCCTTCAGGTCAAGTAATATGTCAAGTGTTGGCTATTGGCCGGTAGGTATGCTTGTGTTCCAGAACTTGTTGTAGGATGAATATCTGATCGGTACACCCTCGTCAAGATCCTAAACCTGCCTAGTTGCCTCGAGTTTGTTATTCCCTGGCTCTAGTTAGACATTATGGAATCAAGGATTTTGGACGCGATGTTAGTCAAAATTAATTTTCCTATGATTGTCACAAGAAGATTTCTCTCTCTTCCAGTAAACTGGGATGATAAGCGACTTGACTACCTCTGATCCCCATGCACTACCGCTGTCACTTTAATTAGCACCTTCCTACCTCTGTCCTTGAAAACTTCAGGTGGTAAACTTTTACCTCCTGCTGCTTTGCACCGTTTTAGGTTCGATACAGCCTTCTGAACTTCAAGAAGAGTTGGGAGACCAATATCTACGTGCTATTTAGGTTCAGCGTGGGTACTGCGCAGTAGAAACACTGCTGTGAGGACCATTTGAACTGGGGCTAAAGTGTTTCGTCTAACGTTCCAACTTTCTACCCTAAAAGGTTATCAACATCCTGTCCTCTTTGGTGATGGCTTCACTAACCATCATCTTCTTACCGGTATCTTTAACAAGCCGAATTAGTTGGTAAGTTACCGAACGCTGGTGCCTTCTCCATCTTCCTCGCTTTCACCACTTCTCGCGATTGTTGCGAAAACTGGGTCAATTTGCGTTTAAGTTGCTCCTCAGTGTGGTTAGAGCCAGGTGAAATGAGTCCTCACATCAATCAGTTCGGATGGCGTTGCGGAAATTCAGTGACGTTTGCTAACCTTCTGTTCTAGGTTGCCAACTATCTTCACCACTGTTTCTACAGCAGACTGAATGTCAAACTAGGTTTCCTCAGTATGAGCTTTGCTTTCACATCCAGATAAATGTTGACTTATCTCCTCCCTGAACACGTTCTTGACATTCTTATCTCCCAATAGAGTGTAGACAGGCTTCACTACATCCTGTTTTCTGAAACCAGTTAGGTACAGACATACACGAGCCCGTACTAGCACGTGGTCGGAGTTCAAGCTAACACTGCAGAAATAGCATTGTAGCTGCACCCATTTTGGATAGTGCTGTCATTCATTATTACTCACCTAGTCAGATTCAAGTAATTTGTATCTGTTTAAACCTATGATTAAAATTGAAAGGTTTAGACTAATGAGACACATTTTATACAACAACAACTGCAGTATGCCAAAATGTAATACACTGATTGTATCATTTGTCTAGAGAAGTATTTGTGCATAGATGTTCTTGAATGGGGAGGTTTTTGTATTTTTACTGAGAAAGTATCGCTAGGGTGGATCAACCTATGTTTGGATTCACTTATTTCCCTTCAGATCGCAAAATTTTTATCGAAGTGTAATGCAGCCATCGTCAGCTTAGTCACTAATGAATGTTATGTTAGAAGAGGATTAAGGATTCCTGATAGAAGTGAAAATAATTTCTCATTGTATTTCTTTATGTTTAGAAAATCAACAATTGCTGACCAGCTATTCTGTATCAACAGATACTGATGAATAAACAATGCTAGATTTTGAGTTGATGAAGTTGGAGATATCTCGGAGATAATATCCTCGTAGGTTTTCAATACTACTGACTTAACGATTTATGAGTTTGATTTAAGATAAGATGAGATCTAATTGTGTACAGCTGATGAAAAATCATTTTCAAATGTTAGGTTGTTAGTTTTTTTTAAATAAAATATGAATCGTATCCTTAAGCATTTGAGATACAAACTTTGATAAAAAGAGATATGAAATGTTGTATGTGGCAGACAACTTAATTCGGAGGTATATTAAAGATAAATAATTTATTATATACTGTGTAAAAGAAGGTTACTAAAAAACATTAATGGTTTCTAAGGTTTTTTGACTTCACAGTATAACAGTTTGTGTCTTAAGAACTACCGGTTTAAATGCATTCAATGTATTGATAATAGCACATTGTTTCTTGAGGAAGTGGTTGAATAAAAAAGTGAATATTATAATAAACAGATGAAACGCGTCAACTCCACATTTGTCGAATAGTTTTAAACTCTTCTAACGAGGTTCATAAAGTTTAATGGGCATATTTATTTAAGTAAATCTGTCACTTAACTTGCAAAATTGTTAGTGTTACAGTCATCACTTACACAGTAGGAATTAAATTGTGACCTATGTCGAAGTTGATCTACTGTGAGAATGCCTAGACTAAACAGCTAGTTATTTCAAAGGATGACATCCTGAGTGTATGAGTTGAATATCTAACTCATAAACTTGTGGCTTAATATCATCAGTTCCATTCTGGCAGTGATAACTGACTGAAACAGCTCCATACAACTTTTTTTGTTTGCTTTGGGACTCTAGAGTATATCTGTAGCACTTGTTTACAATCAAAGTTTTGTAACTCACTCCGGAAAACCTTTCGCTTGTAACAATTCCATATACTTATCAAAAATTAACTTTCGTTCATATTCTCTGTTTACTTGTCCATTGCATATTAACATTGAACCAACTATACAGCTCACAACTGTATGGGTGAGTCTTTTGGACAAAATAACGAACTGTTTCCACTGCACACTGTATCAAAGTATTTGAAGACAAATGACGAAACAGGAAAATCTCATGAAAAATTCCTCTAGGATTAATCAAGATGCACTTTTTCTGGTAGTCCATAAGAAAGGTTCATATCATGGTGAAATGTACTGACAATTTTCTGTTTTAAATGACTTTATCCCTTTAACCAACTGTTTACATGTTCCTTTATTCAGAAATGAATAAAAATGACGCATCTTTATGTTATGCAAGAAACATTGAGGATTACTGACAATGTTAGATTTGTGTAGTTGGTTGTGAATTCACAGTTCGTTCGTAATACGATGTGGTATACATATTCTAAACATTGTTTATTTTATCCTATTTATAAGGCAGTAAAAAAGCATCCCTTATTGATTAAATCTATTTTCAAGCGTTCAGTGGAATGCAAGTGAGTCTTTTTCTCACTCGTATCTCTTTTCTTTTGAAAATGCTTTAACTTTTGAAGCATATGATTTACTGTATAATTTTACTCTTCAGCTGTTCTGGCTGAAAATGGTCGTTTATCTAGAATGAGCATAGTAATCGATAAATTTGGTCAGATGATGGCAGCTCATCGAGGTGAAGTTAGCTGTACTGTACGAACTGCAAAACCGTTAGACAAAACATCTGAAAATGAGTTGCGTAATGCTCTAAGTGGATTTTTGAAACCGGGAGAAAAATTGCAGCTCACCTTGGAGGTAAGTTGTCTCTGATGAAGCATATGTTTTCTTGTTGTTGTATATGTATTACAATGGGTGAACTTCATCACCATCACATTTTCTAATTTAATTGAATAATGATTATGTTCGAGACACTTTAAGTCTGGCATTCATAAATAGTTATCGAACATTGCATAGTTAAAGTAAAGAACTTGGTATTGTAGTTTGTTCATAGAGTTCACTTCCAAAAGATTTCACTGATTGGTCACTAGAGGGTAACCAATTTCATGTTTTCTAGTCCTAAGTGTGTATTAAATGATATCGATCATTTTTGCAATATGTTCATCCAAAGAAAGAGACTCACCATAGTGGCGGTGCACTTTTATTCATGTTTAAACGGTTGAAGACTATCGGGAAGAAGCCCTTGAGGTAAATTTCTTATTTATTGACAGATACACCTTGTTGATGAATACTAACAACCATAAGATTTAATTTCAAGCCTTTCTGGCGTTCACCATCTTCAAGTTAAAATCTAAAACGGATACCAGTGTAGTATGAGAGTATTGCAGTTGGAAGGTAATATTCAGCTGTGACATAGAGCATAATATAATTAGTCTCAACATTCCAGTGTCAACTGCGTGACCATTAATTAGTTCCATTCTACCTACCTACCTAGGGCCTAATATTAGTGGTTGGAATTAGCACACCACAAAATGAAGCAAATAAGATGAATAAATAGAAAGGGAAGGAACAGATAGCTCTAAAATAGATAGCTAAAACAAGCTAACCGACTACCTTGAAGGGATTTCGATGCATGAAGCTATAAACAATTATCGTTTATCTATTTAAGTGAATCATATTTCTAATGAATTAGGTGTGCACCGTATTCATGATTCCATTTCTGCGCTGTAAGCTGTGAACGTGAACCTGCCTATAAGTGTGATATTGTACAATCTTTGGTGTTGAATTATTAACTCGATGGTAAGATGTATACTTGTTTTCGAATAGATTTTTCTAATACACACTTGAATTTTTCCACCCAATTTCGAAATGTAAATATTTTAATATTTTATTTCATCGTTAGGTTGTCTGGATACTTATATGAAGTTGATGTTAAAAATCATTATTCCAATTAGTTTCTCTTTTAATCTGTCCACCTAGATACATTCGCTAATATGCAGACCTCAGTATCACTGAGTATTAAGATGGGATGGAGTTGAAAATTTTTAATTCTGAACTTCCTAAAAAGTAATAGTCATAGCTACACAATCATACTTATTAATTATGACAGACACACAGAAAAAATCAACATAGAACCTCGCACGCAGGTGCATCATTTCAATTTACCACAACTCACAGTAGTATACAAAGAACAAATGGATACAAATGACTAGTATCAAAGTAGGCAAAAGTGTATGGGAGGAGAGGGAATTTAAAAATGAAAGTTAGTCAAAACATTCGAGCTTCAAAAGATGTCAAGGAGTGAATACATCTGCGCCATTATAACTGATTTTAAGACGTTTCACCAAGAGTCCTCAACCATTGATTCCTATGATCTCGGTGTATCACGAAAGAATGGTGGGTTTTTCTATCATGTAAATGCCTCCTCCCCCCCCCCCCCTTTACGTTTGTTTTTTAGAGAACAGTTCAGTCCATCGACCAATACCAATCATTGAACTTCAGCATCATCGCGTATAGATTCAGGTTACCACACTTTACATCATGATAAAAGGCAACAAAATAATGACAAAGAAATGAAAATCATATAAAAAGTTACGGAAAGCTATGTAGTGAAATTATTAAGAGGTAAAGAAAAATAGCGACAAAAATGAAAACAAGGCGTGGATGCTTCTGTGCCACCGTTCAATCCTGAACAATATCATCTCGAGACTATAGCGATCGATTTCTTTCACTATTCAGACACAAAAACAACAGTCTTAATTCCGCTACATGGTTCTGACTAGAAGCCAAGAATCTCATGCTATTAACCTGTGATTGACACAAATAGTTAGAAACCACTGACAAATCAGCAGTGCTGGTTCCCAACCGAACTGACATTGGATGACTGTGTGTCGCTTGTTTGGGGACAGAGCTCATAAGTGATGTACTCATATTTGTTCAGCTCACAGAGCCAAATCACTTCAAAACTGACCAACTAGTTGCACGAATTGATAATATATAAAATCAAAGCAATTGGTTGCACTATTCTCAAAACGGTTCCTAACTGTTCATGTCAGTCAGTAGTACATAATGTTGTTTTCGTGACATCATTTTCGGATTCCAGCTGGTCACAATTTTTGGTCTGGAATGGTTGATCTCCAAAAAAACCCACCGTGAAATCTCAAAATTGGGTTAAATGTACTTGCATCATACGCATTAGGCTCAAAACCTCCCATTCAGTCAAGGATTTCATGGATTGATACCATGTTTTAGTTTGGATGTCCTTAATTTCTTCCTATCCCAGCCTTACTTCGGCTAGTATTATAATTATATACTGGGAGTAGACTGTACACCAAATGTCTGCACCGCTGTTGTGGTGGTCCGACGGTGTGTAAGTGATGTTGCTACGGCAACAGTGATCGATCATATGAAGTCTTAAAATTCCCCACCACGGTCATGCTTGATAGACAATGAAATCTCACCGATTCCAGAAGTCGGCGAAACCTGATCGGACCTTGTATATCTGTGCCCAGATTTTGTCAACTGTCGAAACTAGCCTAACTTCTTAGGCAAGTAAAGTGGTTACAACACTTCATTATCATCCACTTCGTAAGAAGATAAGTGTACGATTTGGAAATTATAAAACAACCTCTATAAGGAGAACCTTTAAGTGTAGGTAACTGCAGTTCTTCTCTTAATACTCACTTAGAAATGTTAGTCGTTTATTTATGTCTGAAAGCAGATTATTTGGGCAGTGAGAAATGTGGATGGGCTTTTATTCTATTTACCAAACTAACTTTTCTGTTTTTGTGTGGATTTTTCAGCATGATCCCTCACTTATTGGTGGTGTGGTGGTCAACATCGGTGATCGTCTTGTTGATTTATCTATTGCTCGAAAAGTTCGTATGCTTCGTGAACTCATTGAACAACCAATTTAGATTTTTCGTTTGATAATACGGGAAGCAAATTGTAGTTGGCTCTATCAATTCTCTTGACCTTTAGCTTCAATAAAATTATATATAATAAATGAGTTTGTATAGTGTTTCAGTCTTCATTCCGTATGTCTTAATATTGGGTGTATGTATTTGGTGACAACAGATTGTTGTCACAAAGCAGCAAGAGTTATATTTTTTTTACTACTTATTAGCAAAGCGTTTCTCATAAATTGAGGCCGTTCGGACAGTTTCTGGGTTTCGAACTGTTGTCATCTAGTGCCGTAGTTAGAAGACTCCATGTTGAGGTACGTGATTCCCCAAAGAATTCAAATAGTTGCATGCAAATCAGCCGCTATATTGTAATGTACATAATTTCTTCTTTGTAGTGTTGGTTTGTTTTATCCAGTGACAGGGTGATTTGACGTCGAGGAATCTAGTTCTTTTGAAGCTAAACACAGTACATCGCTAGATTGCTTAACCATCCAACAATGTGCTTGGCAGGCAGTTACTAGTGTTTGGAAGTATGATGCAAGTGAATGTGTATACATTCAGCACATCCTACAGCGCGCAACGGGTTATTATGTTAAAGATTCGTATCTGCTTTCTGTTTAGCTTATTGTATCCTGGAAGTACAGTTATCAAAATTAGATGAGTAACTATCACCACTCAAAAGTCGCCATTGTGTGAAGTCTACGTTATCTTAACCAATCAACGGGAAATTTTTTCGCGTACGTTTCTCAGTGAGTACATATGAAAATTTGGCCAATTAGTATCACATCTATAATATATAAGATTGTATTAGTATCAAAAGTAACGTCTGATATAGAAACAGTAAAATCCCCAAAAGTATGTGCAACTTTTTTAATCGAGACTATCCTCTGGAGTAGCATAAAAGTAACTAATCAGATGAACTTTTGTACGACTAATTATCGTCGCAGTAGTGGACTAGCTACCGATATGAATAATTGGTAGTACTAGTTCGCATTTGGTGATATCATAATATCTAAATATACCTAACAGTAGGTCAAATTCCTAATATTTTCTCGCCAACACTAAGCTGTTATGACCACCGCCTTTGATGTTATTAGGCTGGCTTTATCGGATTTCAGGAAATTACTTTAAAATGATCAAAGAATTTTTCTTTTCAGGGATATAGAATGTACTGGAAACTGCCTAATAGTATTTCAGAAAAGTATGCTACTTCTGGTCAAAACATTGGACTACCCTCTTGTATTTCATCAAAGGTTCATATAACGCAAACCATGTTTTAACTCGTTTGAAAACGTCATGTGAAATGATCCTGGAGATGAATGTTGCTGATGAAGTGAGTAACAATAATGGTATTACGACAGATAAGATATTAGATGCTTGCATAAGCCAATGCATACAATCTAACAGTAATGATATACTAACACGCAGAAAGAACCAAAGGACAAGGTGCAATTAGAAAGCATTTATTTTAGTCCAAAGTACAGATTATTCTTCAGACAACAGTTAATGCTAACGTTAGTATTTACAAGCTAAGAATAGTCATAATCATTCGTCAATTGGTTACTTATGCCAGTATCACTTATCCACTTGAATACAAAACCAGATAACATTGAACACTTTTTGTCAGACTCGCATCTCTACAAATTGGCTACTGGAAACCAATCCATCTTCAAAGTTACTGTGCTAAAACTTGCTTTGTATTATCATCAGTCGGAATGCGGAGTTTACACAGCCAGTCACTGCTTTCTTTGGCGTTGTTATGATTTACTAGAGGTTACTTTGGTAAATAAAGACCAGTTTATCGTGCTACCGTCCAATTATTCATTTACGTATCGCATTGTGCAGACCTAGTTCGAATAATATCAGTTGATTCTGCTATCTGCGTCGCACTTCTTCCTTCTTTTTCACAAAAACGTCATCTGAACCGAACAATTTACCTCATTGACAAGTAATTGGGAATATTACCAACGAAATTTGCATGAAAACTAGACAGTGCTTCTTATATAAACACATTTTTATACATAAATATTATCTTTCTCCATATTAAGTAAGGAATGAAACAATCAATGAATGTTAGAGATTATATCAACATACATCAAGTAGAAGTGTGTGTGTGTGTGTGTACGTTGATGAATGAGTACAGAAGGAGTAAGTATACATACTTTCTGTATAGATATGTTTTGATCTTCGAACATCATCATTATACTGATAGTGTACATATACAAAATGAGATTAAATGATGAAGAGAAACAGAAAAAAAAGAGCCAATAGTAAATATATCAACAAAACAATACCAAATGATTGTTTGGATTTCAGTTAATCGAGGACAAAGGAAAGTAGTTAACATTCACGCTCAAGCATACACACATATACAAAATATATTCATGGAGCTTACAGAAAAAACAAGTTCTCAGATTTTAATGTACATTAACAAACAGTAGGGTGAAGAAAAGAGAATATACAATCAAAATAAATGCTAGAAAAAAGTTTCTGTAATAGAAAAAAGGAAGTTATAAAATACTCCCGGAGACTGAAAAATCAACAAAAATGTCATAAAAATTTACAATAAGTTTTAATTACTGATACTGATAGATTCAGTAGTGATACTCTTAAATATCTGTAAAGTTAACGAAACAGACAGTCAAAAGTTTTTTAACGCGTTGAATAGATTACGGCACATGCGCGGAGAAAACATATACATACGTAACGATTATAGATAGCAAAATAATGTGTACATAAATTTGTTTATACATACAATCATCAGCTGCAGCTGTTCAGTAGTGTCAAGTTGATTTTCCGTCCGGAAATATATTCCTTGCTTCTTTTGGTGTAAGAAAAATATGTATATCATGTATCCAAGATTATAATGTCTCTTTGAACTGTTTCATTTTCTGGACAAATAGCGCTTCAACTATTTCAGTACAATTAAATTCTGGAGTATCCTTAGGATATATTAAACGGGAACTAGCGAATAGACGATTCATATCAAATGAGAAATCACCCAAAGTTTTGTAGACTCCTGTTTTCAGATTTGATATGACTGAAGGCAGATCTTAGTTAAAAATTAAAAAAAGAAAAAACCACAAGATCAGATCATTAGCAAAATAGTTTAATACACTGATTGCGTGTATAGAAGCTTAGCGAATACTTTCTCTACCGACAATAACAACAAAAAGATGTACTCCCAAATTTTTTTTTAGAAAATTGACCCTATTTCATTATTTTATTACTTATGTATCCCCTGTTGATAAAGTTACACGGACTAATGATGAAACATTTTGATGGCGTTGTGTTCTCTGAGCTCGATGGTTTAATCGTGAAGATCGCATTGCCAAACTACAAGAAGTGAGCTATAGGATCTCCACAATTGGCGTAGTAGCTTGTCCTGATGACCTTGCATGTGACTAGCTGTTTTTTCCAGTCTTGTTCATTGTCTTCATATTTATTTTGATTGATTGACATGATGACCTAAAATATGATCTTCTTCTAGTTTTTTATTCGAGGATTTCCATATTTTCCAAGTCAAATTCACGTGCACAATTGTCCGTATGCATTGATATGAGCGAAGATATGTCATGACACTTCACTGTCAGTCGATGTTCATGTAGACTGATGCGAAGAGGGTGGCCATTCTATTCGATGTACTGTCTTTCACAGTTTCTGCAGTTTATCTTGTAGATAATGTTTAGTTTGTTTTCATTTGATATTGCATCTTCTGAGTTGAATAAAAGAGAGTTAAGAGATTTTGTGAGCTACAGCAATTCCAAGAGGCTTCAATAATCCAGTCATAATCTCGAAGTCGTTCTTCATATAGGGTAAGACAATACGTTTGTTGGTTTTCGAGGCTGACTTCTTGGCTGACGACAAATTATGCAAACATCTTTTGATGAACAGTCATTAGTCTTATTGTTTTCTCCCCAAGGTTGATGTACTTCAGTGTATGTATGCTCTTTTGAACAATGTTTTTATACCACTGATTTTGTGTGCTGTTGCGTTGTTGCTACTATAGTTGAGGATTTGATCTATATGAGTTCGTTCATTGTATGCTTCAGTTTCCAAATCTCCAAATCCGTTCTACTAATCAGAACATCTAAAAATGCAGGTTTGTTGTTTAATTCCTCTTCGATTGTGAATTTGAGGTCATTGGGAATGTTGTTGGTTAATTTGTAAACGTCTTTTAATTTGTTTCTTTTCTACATATCGGATCCAAAATTTTGATCTGATTAACGGCAATGCCATAGTTTCTAATCTTTGCATTATTGCTTCTGCAATCAGTCCTGATATAGGTAATCCCATTGGTATTCTTTTTGTTTGTTTGCAGAGTTTGCCATTGAATTGAAAATATATGTTGTAAGGCGTAAATCAATTAATTCTATTAAACTTGAAATATTCTTTAATATTGGAGTCTAGTGAATAAAATAACCCACTTCCAATTTATACTATACTCATTACGGCAACAGTTTTTTTTTGGTGTCTGCGTAGAATAAAACTACCATTTTAAACATAGAAGCGATTTTATACATTAATCTCACTAAACTTTATGCAGTAGAAGAATCATTAAAGGATAACAGCAGCTCATTGTCTGTATGCTTTCATCTTGGGATGCATTCATTAACAAATAAACTAGAAACGTTAAACCAATGAAACCTGATAGATGGGGAATAAACAGATAAAATGACTTACTAAATGCATCATCTAAAGATTGAGCCACAGGAAACTTCACCGGATCTGGAGTAGTTATAAATGGCCATGACATTTTATGCTTCTATAAGGTATACGAAAAAAAATATGATAAGCAGAATCATCTTAAACACATTGAAATTAAGTTCAAACTGAAACAAATGCAAAACTAACAAGAACTACAACCACATAGAAGGATATTTGTTAATTTTTCGTTTCCGCTGTTTATTTGTTGATCAGGATATAAAGACAGACAAGGAAGATTATCACTCATCTTTTCATCATTTAGATGTAAATTACACCATACCTGTGAAGGTGTGTTAGAAATAATAAGCTAGTTATTTAACAGAAATATCGAAGGTTTACCTGAAAACCTTGGCTTTACACTAATATTTTATTAATAAACCTTTATTATGGCATATACTACTGATACGAGGATGTTTCAATTGAACATAGTGCAATGTGTCTCTGGGAAAATTAATAAAAGTTGACATTCAACCGGTTTAATTTTTTTGAAGAAACAAGGTGAATAAGAACGAAATACAAAAGGTAAGTGAAAAAGCTATAAAAACTGAAGGACGATTTATCTCAGCAGTAAAACCCAGATATTGATTGTCAATTAGTTGGAGGCAATCGGCAAGAAGCCCTGCTTGACTTAGGTTTCGTGCTTTTTGGCACTCGTCAGCAAGGCGTACCTGCAACCTCGACGGGACTGATGTCCCGTTCGGGGTTCGAACCTGCGTCACTCAGTGTTATAGTCAGCGACTTTACCACTGAGCTATTCGGGCTGCGATTGACCTGCTGTAGGACTGACTTACATATATTGATTGGTCAAGGGAGTGCAACCAACTTCACGTTGTCTAGTCCTGAGTGCAGACCGAATCCTATCGATAATATTTGCAATGTGTCAACTAAGCTCAGTGGTAAAGTTGCTGACTGCAACACTGGGTGACTCAGGTTCAAATCTCAGGCGGGACATCAGTTCTGTCAAGGTTGCAGATACGCCTTGCTGATGAGTGCCAAAAAGCACGAAACCTAAGTCCACGGCTTCCTGCCGATTGCCTCCAACCGACTAACATCTACTAATGTGTACTGCGATGATGAGCTTCCTAGCTTGGTTGCCATACTGCAAATATGATTGATAAGATTTAGTCTGCACTCAGGACTAGATAATATGAAATTAGTTGCACTCCCATGACCAATCAATACAGATATTGATTGTATCAACTACGGTGAGTGTAATGTTATAATATTTTAACAGTACTTATTGTAATTCCATCTTTTTCGCCAGTTTTTTTTAAAAGATATACATGATTCGTCAAACAACGTAAAGAAAATAAAATCCTTGCTTTCGAAGCATTGTTTGTCATGCAATCAGTGAATGAGTAGCTTTGGAAATAGGTAAGGATATTTTTTTTAGAAATTTAAACTGGTCAATTAGGTAATTGTTATAAGTCAACTCAGGTTTTATGCATACTTCGGATAGTGAGTTGGTTTAGTCGGAAAAAGTGTCAAATAGTGAAGAAAATGGATTTTAGTTTGGAGTCTGTTCGGTAATGCAACTCACAAAACAAACGAAAGTGATAACGTGTGTAGACACTTCTTATGCACACACATGCACTTTAGATATACTAATCAATCCGAACATATTTTCTATTCTATTTAAGGTTCGATAGATTTTCTTCTCCCCAATTAAAAAGACGGAGCAGAGAAAAGAAAAACTATACAAATGGAAGGATAATATCGCTGTTAAACGATTTAACTACCTAATTAAGTATGAAATAAAACGCATAATTTTAATGTATAACCAAAAGATTGTCATGTAAAAACTCTTCTAGTATATGGAAACTTTTCAATGATCTTACTGGTAAAACTCAGAAGTGAAACCAGTGAAAACGTCTTTGCACTAAACCATTCCTTTATACGTGAACCTGTTAGTGTTATCTTATCTACTTCTTAAAACATAACAGAAGGCAGTTTTCTTAAATTAAATGAAACAGATATGTTCAAATGCTTAAAATCATGAAAACCTTCGTAAAGCTCCAGACTAGAAGGCGTGCCGTGTATTCTATTTAGCAAATGTGCTGGTATTCTACATCATCAACTTACAAGCAATTTTAATCAGTCCTTTGGTAGAAATAACGTACTAACCATGTAGAGGGAAATTAAAATAGCTCCGGTACCTAAGTCCATATCTTCTGAAGCAAAAGTGAAACTCCCAACGATCGCAACAACCTTATCATTCTTAAAAATAATACAAGAACTGTTTCTTTGTGCGCTTGAACCTTTTTTAGATGCTGCAGTATGTTACGTCTGCCTTCTTAGGTTATACTTCTGTCCTTGACTCTGTCCGTAGACCCCTCTGATTATTAAACAAGGCTGTCAGAACTCACATTGAATCCTAGATTGGAAACTGACTTGATTCCTATTTTTCTGAGCGAAGACAGCGCACTATACACAGAGGGAAGAGCTCTACATTACTACCTAGTGAAACCGATGTGTCACAGAGTGCTGTCGTTTCTCTTTTTCTATGACTTACTGACCTCAATTAAAGCTAACGATATTAAGTATGCAGACGACCTAGCAGTATCCATGCCGATCATTTCCTCTTCAGATTGTTCTCAGTTCAATAGCTTCTTAACCGAAATCGGTAACTAGTAATCCTTAAATGGCCTCATACCCAATCCCTCCAGATGTCAAATGGTTAATTTTAGGTTAGGACGTGAACAAGACCTTTGTAAACTGCCTCAGTCCCATGACTCTTGTCTTATACATGGCTTTGTTGTAGAGAACGTAACAAGTGTGGTCCATCTCGGCTTATGCTTTTCTTCTGATCTTTTCTGATACTCTCATATCTTACTGATTTCCAGGAAAATTCTTCACTTGTCCTCTCATATAACGAAACTCAGACTGTCTGGCATAAGTCAGCCTCTAGTCCAACGTTTTATCTGTCCCTGTGTTTTGCCCATATTTACTTACTGTTCCCCTTTATTTTTTTTTGTGGACTTGGGAAAAAAGACTATGCTGTATTCCATAGAATTTTGAAGGTTGATGGTAGAGCAAGTGGCATAACTACTAATCATACTGATAAATGCGGTAGTGGATAGGCAACTGAACTCTTTTAGACAGTTGGCTAGAAATATTTTATCTGATGACAACCATCCTCTTCTTTATTCGCACCTCTCTGTATGTCTGTCCACTGGGAAGACAAAAAGGAAATATGTTAAACACTATGCACCCACAACTACATACAAAATTTAACTACACCTTATTTAGTTTGTGTATTGTATGATGAAAATCATGTTACACATGGTCTTATCAATAAACTTTGGTATAGCAAACAGTCATTATGTCCGTAAAGTCATTAAACATTTCAACAATCATATAATTTTTCATTATATATGGTTGAACATAATCATTTTTAATATACACTTGAAAAATGTTCTACAACGGGTAAACTTATGCAGTATCATAGGCTGAGAATTCTGTACTGTAAACAAAATGATGATTCGGAATAAAGCAAATATGTTGTTTTCTTTATTATTATTATTATTATTATTATGTACATCAATGAGAACGATTCTGAATTATCACTTGGAGTCTCAGATCACCGAGTTCAGCTGCCTCGAGAAGCATAACCTGGAAATTAGCATTTCCCTTGGTGACTGACAGTAGAAGTAAGATACTTCACAAACTGTTGCCATGTCGTTAAGTTTCGCATAACCTACTCCTACTTCAGTTAACATTGAGTAATGCGAGATAAAAAGTGAATCATATTATGTATATACAATAGATTTCGACTAGTGAATAGCTGTAACACCAGAAACAACATAAAGGACCTGTCAGTAAATGGGGTGAATTCATGTACTAATGCAAACTTAAACTGTATGAATAATTGATAAACAATTCTAAAAGCATGCAACAAACTTACTTTGATTTCTTCAATTAAATTAACTAGTCCTTCTATCCTATCTGAAGTGAGATGCGTAGCATAGATAGTATTGGCGCCGGGTTGATCAGTATACTCCGCTTCATCACTACTGGATAATTTGGATTTCTTCGATCTACCACTCAACTTTTTTGTTGTGATGCTGCTTTTACGCTGTGATGATTCACGACATGCTGGGCAAAGGTATGTGTCCGGATGATTAACAGCTTCTTCAGGCGTTAAACCAACACACTCTGGATGATACCACTCATCACATCCATCACATGCAATATATACTCTAAAGATTAAGTATGTAAACGTACACACAGGAAAAAAATTATTAAATGAGAGCGAAATCTAATTCTGATAAGGTAAGGCATGACAAACAAAAAACCCAAACCAGAATGTGTAACATAGGCTTAAATAATTATTGTGGTTCCATTAGTTTAGAGAGAAGGATTTCAACCAATCGGTCATGAGTTTGAGCGCCACTCCACCTATCGAGGTTTGGGCAACCAATTAATATCACCACCCATCACAATAGGTGTGGTTTACTGTCTGTAAATTATTATTCAATTCATAGTAGCACTATCCACTGAAAAATAACTAGTTAAATCATACTGCACTACTGCAGTTTAGAAGCAGAACTACGATCCATGTTGGTAAGATTCCTCAAACTGTAAGAAACATATTCCTCATATTACAACTACGAAACATTAACTATTATGATACTTAGAATCTCTTGTATTTTACGATAACAACATATGCTTAACATTGCATTAACTTCTAGATGTTCATATGAGGCCCTAATATACAACAATCGATACATCACATTGTCTCATAATAAAACAATTAAAGAGACAGCTTTCAGCAAAAGTAACTGGCCGTCTTTTTATTTGACAATAAAGTTATTCAAAAAGTTATGCTGAATGACAGGATAGTCACATAATAAATTGAAATCATCATACAAGAAGATAAATAATCAGAACATAAGGATGATAGAAGGTTCGATTTAACAAATGAGAGGCCAGTAATTGTTAAAGGCGCTTATTTAAACTTAACTGTTTCTCAAAACTCGTTCAGGAAAGCATTTATGCAAATTTTTTTGAATCCTGAATCTGTTTCCAAACTGATCTTAAAGATTTCCTCGTAGTGATCAAAACATTTCATGTTAACTGCGATAAAATTTCAAAGCAAGTATCCCAGGTATGTAAGCTAAAGTGGTGAAATAGTGGTTTTATTCAATGCAAGCACATTCAAGGCGAAAAAAGTTGATATATGAAAACGTATGCTTATTCTATTTCTCTTGTTCTCTACTTTATAGCTGCAATATAACTTATAGAAGTAAACAAGCAAAAATTATGCAACACATAAAAGTTTACCTTGTTGGTTCATAGGGTGTACGGCAAACACAATACAGCATTTCATTCGCTTGCAATTCAGCCTGTTTACAATCTGGACAGTGCCAAGAGTCACCTAATTTATCTGCATCTTTGGAGTCTAGGCCAACGCATTCAAAGTGAAACCAATCCCGGCACAAATCACAGCCAATATATTCTCTAAATTTATTTTGCAATGCCAAAAAAAGAAACCCGTCTGAGTGAACAAATTCATTGCGAAAATTATGAGCAAAACAAACAAAACTATGTTATACTATACAAATGACATCTGAGTTACAGAGATTTATGCGGAGAACAGTCAAATCCTGTTTTGTATCCAAAATAAGCAGCATATAATTCGATGAGCGAAAGAAAAAAGCAGTCTCATTTCACATAATCCTGCTGAGTAACTGTATGCATACAACTACATTCCCTGTTTCAACAATGCGTAGATAATATGACTGAATAACCATGTGGGGTTTCATTCTTTAGGTTATTAGCTAGACATTTGTTGTATGAGGGTTGCCTACACTACAATAGACCAGGGCAAGATTTAAACTCGTAACCTACTGGTTGGTTTGTTACACTAATAAACCATAACTTTAAAACTCATGACCGCCTTTGACTCTCTGTTAACGCGATTATCCAACACGACGCAATACCAAAAACCAACGTAACAGAAAACATTGAATGTGTATTTTTATTATTCCTTTTACAATTTTAAAAGGATGAGCAGCTAACTTAATATGACTATGTAGCATAAGGTGAGTTCGAAACGTAATAGGATAAAGAAAGCTGCCCATATTCTATGTTACAAAAGAAAAACTGTTTTCAAAATTTTAGCCATTGATCGAAATGTATTTAACGAGTACCATATACGATAAAATGTTTACAACTCTGTGATTCTGACTGAATGATAAAATCAACGTAGAACATCGCACAGAGGTGCATCAACTCAAGTTGCTACAATTCACAGCAGTATACAAATAACAGGAGAATAGATAGAGATATATCAAAATTAAAAAAAGTTGTGTGAGAGAACAAGCAGTTTGAAGACGAAGGTTAGTGCAAGTATTCGAGGTTTAGAAGATGTCAAGGAGATAATACATCTGCGCCATTGTAACCGATTTTCAGCCATGTTCCTAAGAGTCCTCAACCACTGATTTCTGTCATCTCAGGGACCCCAGCCAGGTAGTCTACTACTCCCTACACGACTCAGACCAAAAGTCGGAGACTTCATCGACTGTTGACACGTTTTGTACTGGTCGCTCTGAACCCTCTTCCTACCTAACCCAGCTTCCCTTAGCATTGTACGGTGAGTAAGGCGGTTGATCTGCGTGTGAAGTACATGTCCAATCCATCTTGGTTGACTAAAGCTCACAACCTCGTGAATCGACTAACTTGTATCGCCTAGTAGTCTTCATCTGACCTAAACATTGTTTACACGGTGATTCCACTAAACACGACCAATACTACGAAAGCACTTGTGATGGCTTCGTGTCTTCTACTCTTAACGGCTATGTCAGCTGTAAAATAGGACAGAATGGACTCCAGCGCAGTATAACCGTCACTTTACCAACTCATAAACTATCAACAATGAAAGACAAATAATATCAACGTCGAAGCTCATATAGAAATGCATCCGCTCAAGTTGCCACACTTCACAACAGCAGCATCCATACAAGAACTGAATAGAAAGAGAATGAAATCAAAGTAGATGAAAGTGTATGTAAGGAAAGAGAAGTAAAGGAAAGTCACTGAAAATGTTCAAACTTTCGAAGATGTCAAAGAGTGAATATATCTGCGCCATTGTAACCGGTTTTCGGTCGTTATCAAGAGTCTCCAACCATTGATTTCTAGTTTGGTCAAAAGTGACAAGACACACCAGAACACTGAAGTCTCAAACTATAAGTTTAAAGAATTTGTCTACAAAACAAAGTATTATTATGAGAATTCAAGAATTTTATCAGTAAGTACCAATAATTACAAAACTGATAACCAATCAAGCTACAATTCTTGAAGCATCCATGGTAAACCTTTCCACAATATACTGTTAATCAAATCAGAAAGAGAAAGACTGTTTCTTTCAATGAGAAAACGAATGGATTACGATTCTCTGCAAGCGTCATAACAAACACTGAACATGTCACATCCATGTTGTATAAGTCTATCTAGTTGCATTGTAGGCTCAATAATTATATATATTGCATTCAAACAAATATCCCAAGTAATTATTTTGCCTTATGAATTAAAAAGTTTATAAACAAGATCAGAATTCTTACCTCAATGGATCATATGGAGTTTTACAAATGCAGTACGCTGCAGAAGAGGGAGATGAAGGTACACTACGTGGAATATTGACAGTCAATTCAGATGGGGCTTCGTTCTTATCTGACTCATCTGTAGACTTAGGTCGTCCTCTACGACGACCACCACCGCCACCACGTCCTCGATTAGAGCCACCTGCTGAAGATGAGTGTGGGGATTTCACACGAACTGAAACATTGTCGTTCCGTCCACTCGCATCCGAATTCGATGATTCATGTCTAGATTTCTTTGTTTTCTTGGGGTAGGATTGACTTGCTCTATCCTTCACCTGAAAATAATGCAAGAGTGCAGCTGAAATAAAGCTGACATAAAACTAACAATCTGAAAGTTTAGGCGTTAGTGAATTCGAAGTAATATTATATGAGACAAATATTCATTTAAAAAAAATTGAGAAAACAAAAACCTAGTGAACATACCACTGATTTCTGACTTATCACTTCAGATTTTTGTTGACAGTTATCATAATCTCCTAATCCAGGTGATGTGCTAGGTGTGGAACAGCAGCTAGTAACATCACTGTCCTTTTCAGATGCTAACGATTTATTAGATTCTTTTAGAGAAGCCTTTATTGCTAACGAAGCTTTCGAACTCCTGTCCGGACATTTTACTGACTGAATAGTCTTCAAAGCACTATTTTTGGTTGACTTAATAAATTCATGGTTAAGGGCACTTTTTCGAGGAGGTCGGTTACTTGCAGACTTGAGATGGCTAGTAGGACCAGCTGGTGTCCATTCGGGTTCAATTTCCTGATCTCCTGCATCGGTATAGTCTGTTAAGGGATCAGAATCGGGATTCACGTTTTCTTCACCAGATGATAATGAAGAGATAGAAGAAATTTTTCGTTTTGACTTTTTATTGTTAAGAGCATTTTTACTGTCATTATGTACTGTGCTTTTAGGGCGACCAGGTTTTTTCTTCTGTAATATCGTTGGTGACTTCGGACGACTGACAGGCGGTCGACCTCTACGTACAGTAGACTTTTTAGCAATATGATGTAATGTTTTTTGTTCAACTTCTACAGGATCCTCAATTGGTTGTTCTGTTTTAGTACCCAAATGGGCACCTTTGATTTCATTGACAGCAATCTAGGTAGAAAAGAGGGAAAGTATGGTAAAATGATATGATTTGAAGTTAACAGGCTACAAGATTCACGTGCTTAACATTACTTAGACATGGGACCAAAGCATGAATAATAATGCAGTTGTTTTGTACACAATTCATTTGGTGAGTTAATACTTCAAGTGTATTGTTTCCTGGTTCACATATTCAGCACACAATGTTTCTCAATAATTCTGTCCGAAAGGATACTTTATGCAGGGTATAAGAGATTCCACCCATTTACAAGATTATTTTGGTAAGTTGAAGATGAAACAGCGAAAGGGGTGAATGGAATTGAAGCTAAATGTTATTTTGATAGCATGATAGTCCTATATTGCATAAAGCATTTTAAGATGACCTGAAATATGTTTAAATTATGATGTACTTCATTGACGTAGGCAATCGATTTGAAAGAAAACCTATTCCAAATGGTACATTTCGTTGATCAGATTATCATTACCATACGTTGTGGTTCACTAGTCAAATTACTCAATTTTCAACCAGTGGACCATGGATTCGAACCCCGGTCCGCATACTCAGGATTGGATAATCAATGCCAGCGTGGGACCAGATATCAGTGCGTGACGGTCCCAGTTACCGCATAAAAAAGCGAGATGTATAGTGTAAACACATAGGTATTTCCGCAGTAGGCAGAGAGTCACATCTATTGTATGAGGGCTGAGGTACTTACTACCGGGTCGCCCGGACTTCGGTAGTTGGAGTGGGGTTCTAACTCATGACCCACTGGTTGAGCAAGAGCACCCAGTTTCCGTACCTTCACCATCAGTAGTACATCAGGATACAAGGTAACAAGAATAAAAACAAGAAAATATGGGGAAATGTCGTGTAAATTCATAAGCGAAGACTGGGTAAAGTAAATAATGAAATATTATGTGATTGGGATTAAGACAATGTGGACGCATCTCTGCAACTTCGATGGATTTTGAGCCACACCACCCAGAGTTTCCAAGTGCCGATCTCTGTTCTCGCATGAACCCTAATGTGGAAGTCTACATTTATCAATATAGCCCAAACGAATAGTCAAACACTTCGTGATCTGATGTCACATTTTAGTCTGGTCAGTTTTAACATCTCAATTCAACACCACCAAAGCTTATATCTCGCATCAGAGTAGACGGGGACTAGGTATGTTCGGCACTGCATTAGCCACCTCTGTCGATGAGGGTTGAAAATATCATCAAATGACTTACCCTTTTTTTTTACCTAAGACAACCTCGGAAATATTATTAACCTTAATACAATGGACTCGGCGTTTTGTCTAGTGTACAAACCTGCACATGATTGCAGAAATGCACTACTATAAGGCCCTTTGATTTATAACCCGGTAAACAAAAGTTTACGAGTTTATTAGGCTGTATCAGCACGATTTTCAGCGAAGCACAAATGTGTCTGTGAATTATCACGTTTCAGAAAGATAGAGATCACAATAATCTGTGTTATGCAATAAGGATTATGAACAGCTACTGATTGTTTGCATGATGTTCCCTACAGAAGCATAAGTACGGTAGTACTGCCAAGGAAAGATGTGGGAACTTCAACCTGCATTACACATTGTTGATTCAGAGTGTTATGCGCCCTCAATTTCGCTTAACTTTGCCGGATATTTGCCTATAACTCTAAAACAGCTTTTTTAGTGATGTTTTCGCGCCCACTTAGCGCCGTTGCTAGCTCTTAATTTTTCCACTGCTTCTGAAGGCTTAACTCTCATTGGTTGTTAACTCCTTTAACTTATCAGTAAATTTAGTGTCTATCAAGGTCGTTTGGAATGCATATATTCAGCATCGCACTAGACTGTTTTGACTGTTATTTACATAGTCAAAGCTCTCTGCCGTCTTCTCTACTTGTCTTCGCCGGTCGGTGGTACTTTTTTGTGGTGACTGAAGTTCTGACTAGCGATTACAGTAAATTCTTTTGCGTGTTAGGTTCACATACTTCGTGGACTGGTAGATCGCATCACCGATCATAGTAAATGTGAATGAACGAATAAATTAAACATACTATATGATGCATTTCTTTGAAACCGAAAGCCATACAAAAGATATATATATATATATATATATATATATATATATATATATATATATATATATATATATATATATATATATATATATTAGAGGAGGGTCCAAGGCAGGGACCCCATTGATTGGAAGTTGGTCACTTAAATGAATAAAGCCACAACTTTCATAAAAAAGAGAGTGGGGACTAGAGTATTCTACATTTTACTGCTTATTTATTGTTATGATAGCTCCATTCCAGTAAAAAGAAAGCTAATTCTATTAACACTTGCAAATTAGGCTTCTGAAAAATACTAATATTTAAATTAGTAATTCAAAGAGACTAGACAAAGATAATGAGAACCAACGAATAACTGATTAAACAGAATAAGTTATGGTGCAACAGCACATGTTATTAATATACCTCAGTGTAAAAACACCAAACAGAAAATGGGAAACCAAGGTGTGTAAAAGATCAAAGGGAACTAAGAGGATAAAAAACAGGAGAATAGACAGATATAAAACAAAAATAGAGAGTATATTTAAACATCAGTCACCAACTGTCCACTATGACTAATCCCTACTGTTTCCCAGTTACTTCATAGGCAAGTATTATGCCTTAATCTAGCAACACGGATATTCCTTGTTCTCTACTTTTCTTTCTAATTAATACAACTATTCAAGGCAAGTGCAGATTGTATATAGATGAGGTATCTCAATCATTCGACGCTCCACTCCTTTGAGTTACCAATCTTTAATGCTTTACTTCGAAATCAAATACTTTGTGGTTCCAACAAGACAACGACAATCGAATCCTCACGTAACCGCCACAGTATTATATGACAGAGAAAGTATAGACGCATAATTTACCATTCTCTAAGAACAACAAATAAATAAATAAACTTACATCCGCAAGTGATTTGGCCCAATTGAAGATCAAACGTTTACGTGAACAAAACTGAGATTTCAGGGAGCGTACACGTTGTTCTAATAGTGCTCGCTCAAATCTTGCTCGTCTAGCCGCAACAGATGCTCTGGCAGCATTTGTAGCAGCTATTGATCGAGCTCTGGCTTTAGCCTCCAGTGTATTCGGTGAAAGAGGACGTGGAATATTGTTGATTGAATGTTCATCAGTTCGATTTCTAGAAGAGCCTAAAAAAAGAATAGGAAACAATGAACTTAACACAAATGTCATTCTGAAGAAATTCAAATAAGGAAAATAAAATAAGTGAACAAACAATTTTCAAGTTTTTCAAAAATTGCATGGTGAAAGTGGCCATAAATCCAAGAGATTTCACTGCTAAACTTGGTTTCTATAGAAAATCGATTACTTGGAAGTTTAAGTTATAATGCTTCTGACACGAAAATGCTTTTAAAAAAGTTTTTAATGTTCTGTTTCGACGAAGTGAGAAGCTGGATACAAGACAGGATAGTCCGTCTGGGCCCACAACTCATGGAAATGGCTTTAAACTAGTTAAACGACCAAACATAGGCATAGATCACCTTACTTACAGCCTGAGTGTAGACAAGGATTTGAATCACTGGTGAATTTGTATCAATTTGAATACAGAAAAATGTTACCATCTTTGATTGGAGCATAGACTGATGCACATGTATCTTTGCGGGAAATAGAATTTTTTCGAAGTCATGACAGTAGTGTCAGTACCTCCAAACAAGCGGGAAACTTCGATTGACAGCTTCTACATAACTATCTTCAGTAACCTAATGCTAAATACAATGAACCAACGCATTGAGTCTTCCACCTACAGAAATTTCTAATTCCATTTGTCGAATAGACAATAGGAAGCTAGATACTCTCTCCAGTAACGGATCAATGTAGATGTTTTTATGATAAGTATGTATGTGTACATATATACGTGCGAAACATAAATTGTTTAGAATAAATGTAACTTTTCCAGTAAGAATAATATACATTAAAACTGAATCTCATTTGTTTCCCTAGGTGAAAGTTTGTCCAGCCTACAGCTAGTGTCATAGGTCAGTGCAAAGTGATACAAGGTGACAGAAACACTCCTTAGTTTGGATATTAATCACTAAAGGAGATGAAAAAGAATAGGTAAGAAGAGCTATAAGTAACCCTAGTCAGTTTAATCGAAGTGCTTAAACCTCTTGCAAAATGTACCTGGAGTACGACCAAATTGAAGTGCTGAAGCTAAGGCAGAACGACGTGAAGAAGTGCTGTTAGATACAACTGCCTTCGATTGACCATATAAGAAACCATCCTTTTCCATGCAGCATTCAGTATTTGCTGAGGATAGCACGAGATTATTCTGCATCGCAGTTGTATTCGATTCATCTGGACTTGGACCTGGAGGAAGTGAAGCTAATCGAGCAGAGATGATATATTGATTTTTCCTAGAGTAATCAGCTTTCGAATCTGAATTATTATCGACAGGAGGATAACTGGATTTGGGTGGTAGTAGACTGGAAAAAAAGAAAAGATTTATGCTGATTGTTGCTATTAAAGCATGACGACTAATAGTAAAAACTATACTGCTACACTATGATGATGATGAAGATGACATGGCTGAAAACTGGCACAGATGTATTCACTCCTTGACATCTAAAGCTTGAATATTCCCACTGACCTTTATCTCTAGATTGTTTATTCTCTTACTGAACTTTGGCCACTCTGATATCACTCTTATTCTATCTACCTGTCTTTGTGTGGCAACTTGAACTGCTGAACTTGTGTGCAAGGTTCTTCATCGATTCTGTCTGTCTATTTGATAGTGACTGCAAGTAATGTACGATAATACAGTGAAACCAATGGTTTTCCTTTTGCTAAATATCTTTTAGGGTCCCTTTCTAATAATTCATTCCAAACATTGGTTTCTTCTGATTCTGGTTATTTAATAAGGTTTTAGTGTTTCATCAAATGTTATGAAATAATCAGAAGAGAGCGATAAATGATGAATAGATACGTTGAGAAATAATTTTTTTATTTTGTTATTTGTTCTAATATACTAACCCCGGGATTACACAAGTAAAATCACACCTTATACGATGAGTAGATACTAACGCTAAAATATTCCAACACAGAAAGATGATTCTTTTGAATTGTCATTATGGTTGATCTACAGTAATAGTATAAACTGATAACTAAATTTCCTTTGTAGTAAAAGATATTTTCTAGCACTGCAATGCAGAGTCACTAAACAGTGTGATTGAAAGAAAGGTACAGAGATACGGAGATAATAAACTCACGCGTTCATAAAGACACGTATTTCCCAGGGAAAGACGGCATCTTCAGACATCCATTTTTCTTCAACGGTCACTTCATGACGTTGTGACTGAAAACCACGTCGACTACTGTTAAAATCTCCATTTTGATCGTCGTCTTCTGAGTCGTAAAATGAACCCCGGTTAGAACGGCCGTAAGAACGACCATTATTACGAGGTTGTCGACGACCAGAAGTAGTTGAACAAGGAATACCTACACGCCAACCTTCGTCTACTGCAGGATCATAATCAGGATCTTTTCCAGTTTGACCATTTTTCTGACCTGTTCGTCTACCTTTTCTCCTCGGAGCTGATTCTTCGAATTCAGGAGAGTCATGAAGTGATGAACCTCTCGCAGATCTACCTCTAACTGAGTGATCCGAAATGCCTGCAGCTTTTCTCCTACGACCGGCATATGATCGATTCGGACGAGTTGTTGTTATACGTAATTTGTAATTAGCCTGTAGCCAAAATCGATCCTGTGAAAGATAAAAGAATCATCTCAGTTTTAGGAGTAACGAACAATGTCGATAAAAACTTTCAGTCAACATTGTAATAAAGATGTGAAAATGCGATACCAAAACTAACACTTAACCAACCACATTATTCTGAACACATAAACTTACAAGGGGTTGAATCTCGACGATGCGTCTCACTGAATAAGGCATATCATCTTGTCTCCCTGAAAAACCACCACCAACGTTATCGTCGTTATCATCATCATCCTCATGGTTCAAAGTTTTTTTGAAACAAGGTCGTCCAGAAGAATCAAGTGTATGTGAATCTTCTTCTGGTTCAGCCAAAATGTCATCCCATCTAATACAGTGCCATAATGTACGTAGAAGTAGTGCAAAATTAGCTAGATCCAGTCCAAAAGAAATGTTGTCTCTACCACAACGACCAATTCGTATTTGACTGAGGCGAAAACGCCAGCATTCTGCAAAATTAGGCCGAGAACTTGGATAAAGCCAGTTCACCTAAAATATTAAGTATGTATAAAATCTATTTTTTAACAAGGAGTGAAACTATTTAAATGTAATAAGCAATGAGAGGAAATGAATGGGGCAGTATCCATTTGACGACCAAATCCTTCACAATGGTAAACAGCTGCTTTATTAACGAAACAACCATAGCACTAACTTCACATAATCAAATCATTTATTAGTAAATCTGTTACGAAGTACTCAGTTATATCAGTATCATGGATAGTGTGAATTCCCGTATTAAAAGGTGAGATAGGATGATATCAGCTTTTAAATACCTAAGAGTCGTCAATGTGTACTTTTGATTTGAAATCAACAGTAACACCTTTGAAAAATGATGCATGTGTATTCAGACAACTTATATGTATCCAGAAAAAGTCATTATACAATCCGTTTACCTTGTTCAAAATGGTGAAAACATACAAAAAGAGGTAGATAAGAGAAACAAAATACAGTAACAGGCGTACTTGTGATAGCCGTTTTTTCTCAACATCATATCCTGGAATTTCACGACGTCCAGCGAAAAGTATTGCCAAACGTAAATTGCGAGGATTCAACCGAAATAAATTTGATTTTGGAATCACCTAAGTTAGATAATACAAAGAAAAGGCGTATCGCTACTGAAATTGCTTAGTTTCATTATTCTCTGTACATCATAAATAACTTCAAAATGTCAAGAATTAACCAAGCTAATTAATATGATTGGATAATTTGAAGTATTAGAAAATAAACTCAAAGTATGGTTAGAAAACGCTAACATTTTAAGATGTGTATATAAACAGAATATTTCTTCGTAGGTGAATACCCCTGTGTTGTCACGGTAACTAGAGTGTATGTGTGGAAAACTTCTCAGTTAACTGGACACTAGACAGGTAATTGGAGCATTTACGGCGTTAGATTACAACTTTGACACAAGTGACTTGCTACGACTGACCAGAAGCTATATACAACCCAAACTGAGTGAATCAAAAGACCGAAATGGAAACCCATAGACTGTCTGCACTCCTGACAACAGTCGAATTCAACACCCAAGCAAAACGAACACAGGGGCCAGAAACCCTAATTTAGAATAGTCACTTAAATGCAAAAGAGGCCACAGTAGCAACTGCTGAAAAAACTAATCAGTTTTCGATATTTCGTCTGAGAAGATATTTATTTCTAAAAATAAAGAAATATGATTGGTGGAAGCTTCGGAGTCACTCCACAAATATGACCAAAGTTAATAGGTATCATCTTACTTTCAAATCATGAATAGGCAGTTAAGGGTAATATGGAGATGAGTAGCCAGCTAATATATTTCTACCAATAAAAGTAAGGCTACATTTTTATCCACTCTAAAAATATGCACAACTGTAGAAAAATCAGGCAGAGAAAAATCAAAGTAGTATAGAAACCCATCACTTAAAGTCCCCAAACTTTGCACCAGCACGAAAAGAGAACATCAATCGAAATAGAGTGATATTAAAATGAACGGTATTAGATGCTAGGATGGGGTTATAAGAAGGCTAAATATGACCAGATCAAGACATGGTACTAGTTCATGAAGTCTTTGACTAGTGATCTGAGATGTACTAGGTGATGTGAGTTGTCTGACTATGGTCCTAGAGAGAATAGGAATCAATGATTAAATATTCTAGACGATACGCTTCATAATCTATCGCAACGACGCAGACGCACACAATCTTTGTCATCTTCAATGTCTTGAACTTCTTCAATAAACTTCATTTCTCTTCTAAACACCTTTTTCAATTCTAATGTCAGTCCTTTTTCTTTGCGTACTTTTGTGAAGTGTGGCAACTTGAGTCGATACAGTTCTGAAGCGGGTTACACATTGATCTATATGTTTATCTGACATCCGCGGCAGTGTATTAGATTCTTAGGTGTTACCGATCAACCACTGGTTTCTAACAATCCAAGATTCGTAACCATGCAAATCACACTTTCCTACATGGATCAGAACAAGAGATAAACGAAACATGGATATTATGCTCTACGTTTGATGATCCCCAGTTTTCTTCCAACTTAAACATATTTCAGTTAATATATTGCATTAAGGGAGATTAGATCAACGAACGTAACACTGATTCCAAGCAACACAGCCAATGAAGATTCAAAATATTTTTGACTGAATAAAACTAAACATAACCATACTTGTACACTGTTTTAGGGGTGAATTAGCCTTAATTGATATCAGATAGATAGAAGAAAGGTGGAAATCTGCAATAAATTTCATACCTATATGATGTCACTCTCTTCAAGGATACAAAACTGTTTTGAATGGGGTCGCGATCACAATAAAATTAAAACCAAATTCCTAGATTTGAGTCAATAAATAAAGATATACACATTTAATATACCTTGCAAATTTTTACAGCTGAACATTGAAGAAGCTGACGTTAACAGGAAGTTGAAAATGTAGACAGAACACTTAAAAGCAGGTGAATAAAGTTAATGTTACTCAGCAACCACCCACAGGTTCGGACACTAGACAATCAGCAACATACATTATGTGAGGTCGCATTATAATACCTAGTAGCTCAAACCGTAGCAGGCGGAGAAGGGTTAGAACCCGTAACTAAATGGTTGAAAGTTGAGTGCTTGGACCAATATGCAATAGATCCTTCAAGAAACAGCCAACAATGTAATAATTCTTTTAAAGAATCATATGGAATGAGATGAGTTGATATAAAGTAAATTGGGATACAGTAGCAAGATATACAATATTTTCATGTTGTTAGACTGTAAATCCATCAGCAATAGACAGAAATTAGGACGTAAAATATTTCAGTCATCATTACAGTATATACGACGCCAATTTTATTAAATATCAACCATTTCTTTGCAAACCCCAAAAAACTTAAAACATTTACTTCGACCACAATTAACCTCAAATCCAACGAAAAAACTCATTCTAGAAAAAAAAAAGGGGACTCACAATATTTTGTTTCTGTTTATCATTAAAGGACTGACTTTGAACACAATCATTTTCCGGCCATGAATAACTGTTCACAAAAGGCAAAGATTTTGGTAAAACAGCTAAGTGAGAATCACTATCTTCTGGAACATCAGCAATATTTGTTTTTTTATTGCATCGAAAAAATTTGTTGACAAAAGCTTTATTGTTTAAGTCAAAATCAGCACTGTTGTATAGTGATAGGGAGTATGGTGCACTAACTGCTGGTGAGATACGATTGACAATCTCTTGATATTTGCTTAATTCTGACTTCAATGATTTAATTTGTGTTTCAAGACCATGAGCCTAAGAGAAAGAAAAACAAAACAGAAAACGGTGACAAAAGAACAGTAAAACAAATAGAATGAGCATGTATAAATTGAAAGCACACATCAATATTCAAACATCTATCTAGTCTGCATCCGAAAAATATTAATTGAGAACTCGCAAACAAAGAGATAGTAGTAGACAGCCTAGGTCAATATTTACAATAAAGTCGAGCTCAGGCAAACTTATTAGTGTAGGACCTCGCAGTAAACACATCGGTTCATGCGTTATTACACATCACACCAAAATAAAAGAAATGGAGAGATGCAGATTGATAAAGTGAAATAGAAGGACAAAATAAAACGAAAAATGAATACTTTTGTGCCATATATTTCTTTTGGGCTTCAAGTAAGGAATATCCGTAATCGTTTTCCATTTTTAGCTTATTCAGTCAAATCAATGAATTATATCAACCTTTTTTATTTTTTCCGATCGATATTAGGATAAACACAGATACTAAACCAACGACAGTAAATACATACAATTCAAAGATTTGGAACAATAATGTCAGTTCAATTAACAAAACTTCATGAAGTAATTGGTGCTTCTTCATTCACATAAAAGTCAAAAAGAGCATAATAGTTATGAAAACTACACTTCAAATCCTTAAAAACCAACTTCATCTCAAATCATGGAGTTGGTGGTATAAGTTTTACGTTTGTTGGTTTAAATCTAAGCTGGTCAATGTTGTCAATCATGTTTGCATATTTCCATATCAACAGTCGAACATCCTCCCTAAGAAAATTATATCGATGCTGAAAAACCAGCACAAGAATAACGAAGTCGTTAAAGTTTGAGCTGGTGACATCATAATGAATAAAAACGACTACTTGCATAAAATGTTGATAATTTTGACAGATCTGCTCGGATGTAAAATTGATTGATCTCAAAGGGATGTAACAGTTTCAATTAAGAACAAAGTAAGCAAGCACCTCTAGGAACTATTGAAGAAGCATTCGATTGATGGTGCAACCTATAATGAACTTAAATCAAGAGGTTCACGGCTACTCTTCATATACAGCCTTCAAAAAATCCATGACTCGAGCGCTTCTCTGACACTAATTTTGTACATGATAAAAACACTATACCATAAATTGGCTCATTGTTTAACGAAGAAACTGGAATCAAAAAAGGGTTAGAAATTAAAGCTTGAAAAAAACATTCAAAGGTAGCAAGATCTTCACCAGAGCAATCGCCAGGCACTTGATGGAAACAAGACATCAAATAGATGTTTATCAATACTTCAAGAAACCTCGCCTAGTTAACTAGTTCACCAGTTACTAGCAGGTCCTAAGCCCAGGTAAAGAGGGAACGTTGGGCAAACGGCTACCAATCCGACCGCTACAGAAAGTTCAAACCACAGACTAAATATAAGAAATAAAAGCAAACTTATTTCTCGATGCAATCAGGGAGACCAAATAACGCCGGTGGGTCAAAACCTTCAGCAAGCCAATTCACCGATGTGTATTCCCTTCTCTCGATCAAAGCGAAAGTAAACATAGGGATATGGAATGTCCACCCATGTTTGAAGCTGCCTGGCAAGGCTGCTCAGATTGAAAAAGAGATGAGAAGGGATAGCATTGAAGTGTTAGCAATCCGCGAAACCGGATGCAATGCAAGTGAACTCTCCAAACTGTCAACTTCACAGTCAACAATCTACTTCGATATTCTCACCCACACGACAACCACAAGCACACTAAGTTTTCCACTGGCTATCATCATGTCCCCAACAGCATAAATGGCTCTCTCTCTCTCTCTCTCTCTCATGCAGTAGGAACAAATCTCCTCCTCCACCATCACCATCATCACAGCAAGATTCAACTCAAAAGGAAGGAAAGTCACAATCATACAATCCTACGCTACACTACGCTACGCTACGCATCTACAAATAATGCACATCAAAAGAAGAAGGAGGAATTCTACAAACAACTGAAATCATCAATGGACAAGACCCCACCACAGTTGGCAACATCAAAATTATAATGGGCGACATGAATGCCAAAACTCGGAGAAGACAACACATGAAGACAACTAACCATGGGTCGAGAAGTGCTCGGTGAGATGAACGAGAATGCAGAATTGTTTGCACAACTCTGCGCATTCAACGACTTCGTGACTGGAGTGAGGCACTGTGTTCAAGCACAAGAATATCCACAAAGCGAGCAACATGGATTTCACAAGACACCAGGACACACTAAAAAATCAGATCGACTTCATCTCAATGTGAAGAAAGTGGAGATGCAGCCAGCCTATTGAACATAAGATCACATCAAGAAGAGGAGCAGATGTAGCTGGTTCATACCACTCACCATCTGGTGCAAGGAACCTACCTTCAAAATCAACTTGAAAGCATTCAAAGAAGCTTGTGATGATAGATCACAGTTTAAGTTCAACACCCAGCAACTGAACGACGAAACAACACAAAAAATATTCACATCAGCCATCAAGACAACATCCCTGAGGAAACCTGCTTCGAAGGACAATGCAACTCTTTGAAAGCTATGTGGAAAGAAACCTGCATAACCGTATTAGGAAGGAAGAAGAAAGGAGATAAGGAATTCATCTCGACGGACACATCCAAGCTGATAGAAGAGAGGAAGATGGTGAAGCAGAAGATAAACCAGTGCAATGCAGTGCACTGTAGGGATGAACAACGAAAAGAGGAACTGAACACAACCTATAAAACACTACACTGGACAAAAAGTGAAGGAGACTGCACGCAAAGACAAAAGACACTTCCACAAAACACTGGCAAGTGAAGCAGAACAGGCTGCTGATAGGAGAGACAGAGACCTGACAACACTTCATCAAATAACCAGGCTACTATCTGGGAGGGGAGAGATCAACACAGATGAAACCAATGATAGTGAAGGAAATCTAGTAACCGCTAAAGAGGAGAAACAAAGGAAACGATGAGCTGACCACTTCGGAAAACTTTTGAATCGACCACCGCAACCACCCGCGGCCACAAAACTACAAGTGAACACAAGCCCTCCAAGGAAAGTCGAAGTCCTAAACGCCACAAAGTTGCTAAAACCCGGGAAAGCAGCAGGACCAGATGGAATCCCATCAGAAGCACTGAAAACAGACGCAGAGACAACAGAAGTCGACATGTTCACACCACTACCCAAGTAGGTTTGGGAGGAGGGAAAGGTACCTACCGATTGGAAAAAGGGCTAAATTGTCAAACTTCCAAAGGGAGACCTAAGTCTTTGCAAGAACTGGGAGGAATCATGCTCTTATCCACACAAAGCAAGCAAAATATTAGGTAGCATCATCCTGGAGAGACTAAACAATGCTCTACATTCAAAAATACGACCGGAACACGCTGGCTGGCTGGCTGGCTTCAGGAAGAACAAATCATGTACGGGTCAAAATGTAACGCTACGCTACGCGTCATCATAGAACAGGGCATAGAATGCCAGTCAACTCAACTCTACCTCAACTTCATCCACCTTGAAAAGGTCTTCGACAGCCTCGACGGAGAAGTAATTTGGAAACTGCTTCAACACTACGGTTTCAGTGCCACTAACCTTTATCAACCTCATTCAACAGCTATATGATGACACCACATGCCAAGTAATTCACAATGGAAAGCTCAGTGACGCCTTTGAAGTGAAGACAGGAAAGAGTAAGACAAGGCTGCCTACCATCACCGATGATCTTTCTGACTGTAGTCGACTGGACTGGACTGAACCGTGCAACAAACTATGAGGAGCGAGAAGAGAGGCATACGCTAGCTGTCTGGACCGATGAAAAGACTCCAGAAGAACATTTGGATTTCACCGATGATGATCTGTGTCTAATGTCGCACAAACTCAAAGATCTAAAGGCGAAACCCAACAAATTAACAGAAGAGGCAGCGAACACGGGACTTCTTTCAGGTGAATGTAGAGAGGACAGAGGTGATGAAGATACCCAACCAACAACAACAAGTACCAATCACCATCAGATGGAGAAACCCAAACGAAGTAATCTCTTTCATGTACTTAGGCAGCATCGTCTCAACTACAGGTGGCACAAGCACAGATGAAGACGTTGAAGCCAGAATCGGAAAGACGGCAAAACAGGCATTCATTTACCTGAAACCAGTGTGGAGATCTACTACATTGCACTGCCCTAAGGAAGAAAAATAAGATACGGAATTTTAACGCCAACATCAAGTCAATGCTTCTATACGATGGGTCAGAAACTTGGCGCGTCACGAAAAGTATTTCCAACAACTGCTAACGCTTGATACTGAACATTAGATGGCCAGAATAATAAGAATAAGCAACAAGGAACTCTGGCTAGCTGGCAATGAACTAACCAAGAACCCATCGCCCAACAAATTTGCAGAAGAAAGTGGAGATGGATTGGATTGAACATACACTGAGAAGACCATTCGGAGACATCATGCACCAGCCCAGGCCCTCGAGTGGAACTCAAAGGGGAAACGACGAGTTGAGAGTCCGAGGGTGACATGGAGGAGATGGTGTGAGCAAAAAATGAATGCTTCTGGGTAATCGTGGAGCCAAGTTCAAAAGACTGCAGAGAATGGAGTGCAATGGAGAGGTGCTACTGAAGCCCTATGTTTCACTAGGAACCCAAGGGACAAATAATAATAATTCTTCAAGATAATCAACAAACAAAGAACTCCACGTTTTTTACGGTTTGCGGAAGCTTTCGCCATCAGACTAATTAACCGATCTTCACCCCGGTAACTGTTTAAAATCTTTCGCATTTATTTGCATATGGTTTTCCTTTTTATGAGCGCATCATCTCCTCACTAATCACTTAATGATTGTTAAACATCCAACCTAACTTTTTTCCAGTTTTTTCTCCATATAACTACGTAACGTACTAACTCTTTAGCAATCCCTTCTTTTACCCTCTTGTCTGTTTGTTGTCTCCCCCTTTCCACAGCTTTAGAATTTTCTATCTAACCATTGATTTTGACTAAGTTTTGTGATTATTAATCCTGTGTTTGCTTTACTTACTACCTTATTGTTAATCCTGGATTTTGAATCTTCAGTTATTTCTATATATTTAAAGTGTGTTGTGTCATTATTACTACTGATATTTTGTTTCAATTGTAGACTATTTGCTGCTTGTGAAAGGCTGTGAAATAAATGAGCTCATTTTATTCTGCAAATGTTTTTGTTCTCGCATTATTCAAATTTATGAAGGGAAACCAAATGGAATGAAATGTGTCGATTTTTTTCACTGGAAAATAAAAGTATCAAGATAATGATCAGTGAAATCTACGTGTGCATCATGACTGAGTAATTTTGAGATCTTAACTATTACGGTACATCGTCTTGACATTCATTGAAGATTGGGACATAACTCATCACAACTTCAAATAACGTTCCACAGAACATGCACAAATGGACTTAGATCAGTTATTTTTTTCAAATATGGGGTAGAAATTGCTCATTCATATCGGCTGTATACAGATTACAAATTTCTAACAATAAATACCAACTTACATCAGATCGAACTGATGCCATTTGAGCATTAATAGATTCTAATTTAGCATTAGCTTCTGCTACAGCACGATCCAAAGCACGAGCAGCTTCATCAATGATTGGAGTCTGCAATTTAACTGTGGGAACGAACTGTCTGAATGTACCTTGATATTCAGAAACAAAAACTTTAGGATCACTTAAAAATCGAGGATCTTCATCTACTAAAGGAGTATTACGCGTTAGTTGAGCTTTGGAAATTGAGCGTCTTCCTTGTTGTGGATCCAAAACTGTTGAAGAGTCAGATATCATTGGACGTGCGGGTCCTGTTGGTATGTAGCGGTTGAAACCACCTTTTTATACACAAAAAGAAATTAGGGGATTCCGTTTATTAAACATGCTGAAGTCGAAATTACGTCACAAATTTCGAAGTATTTTTCAAAAAGGATTAGTACGAATCAAAGTTAGAAGAAGACATTAAAGCGAACAATATTGTTTTCAATTAGCTCTCATCATGCTTTACGCTAATATACATATACTAAATAATCCACCATGATTGGTTTAATGTTTTATACATGAGAAAATTTATGTATATTGGCGTAAAGCCTGATGAGAGCTAATTGAAAACAATATTGTTCGCTTTAATGTCTTTTTCTAATTTTGAAAATGGGAATTTTTACCAATCAAAGTAACAGTGTAACACTAAGCAGCACTGAATAGTTTTCTGGCTCAAGTCTGAGACTGATGAGCCGTATTACTCAACGAACTTATGCATGATTGAAACCAAAAGGACCTTATCTCATGGCAAACGCAGGACCCTGTAGCTTTTGATGAGAAATACACTAGTCTACATCTTCCAACGTAGGTTAGTTTGCTACGTAGCACAGCTCCCACACGAATTCACAGTTTGTTTGACCATGCAGGTTATATTACATCAGCAGAACTAGAGGATATTCATCTTGAAGCCATTCACCAATGAGCTCATCAATATTAATCAGCTAAACGGCTTACGAAAAAAAGTAGATGCTCAGGTGGGTTTAAAAAAAAATACAAAATAGATCTCATGTATCCACAAATGTATCTGATTGTAATCAACCAACGGGAAAAAAACAAATTGATTATCTTACCGCAGACAAGTTGACGAGCTGTATTTGTAGCGACAAGACTTGCAACTGAAGGTGCACGCATAGGTTGCGAGACTATTTGATCGTTTGATGAACTAACAGATAAAAGTAGACTGGGTGATGGCCCAGCCAATGTACGTCTAAGGATAGCAGGTGGTTTCCGAGGAAGCAATGGTGGCAGTGATGAAGTGGTAGATGCAACTTTTGTTGAGTCCGTAGGTAAATCTGAAAATATTTAAGATGAAAACCGATTTATTAACATTGACAGACAATATACACAAGAAAGCAACAAATCAATTTCCAGGTTGATATTCACCATAGACTGATATCAACTGAAGAAACACTGAGCAGCATTTTTCGTCGCAGTATGGAACTCCTCAGCACCATGGTAGGACGAAATAGCTGGTCAGTGCCCCCAGGTTTCCAATGCTTCTCCAGTTGGTAATAGTCCATGACGAATATCAACTGGAAAACAATATATAAATCCCCACAAATCTCCAAATTGAAATCAATTTTCATTCGTATTCAGAAATGAATCTGTAGTTTATATGACACAAAATATAACTAATAATATGACTGCAAAGGTTGCAACTATTTCTATCTCTTCAAGAGCATGTGATAAAAGCACCAACAGCAAAAATGAACTTGAGTAGTTTACTAACACATAAATAATTAGGGTTTCGAATGTCAAACAACTCTGTTTGGTAAATAATGGTCAAAAAATGGATGTATGAATTAAATGCGCAGTGACACTAAACAATAAAACTTAAAAAATGTCACTTAAAGAAGAAGAAAGAGTTGAGTACTGGCTCTGTAGTATACAGACTCAAATAATAACCACTAGTTTACAAGTTTCTGAACTCGTATACTACCGTACATTGGACTAGATTTCGTTAATCTCACAGACCGGTGAATCAATCATGTAAGTGTGAAAGAGAACAAATTAAACGCTAACATGTTCCTAGGGAATCCATGATAGAAACATTATTTTAAAACTCTATGAGATAAAACGTAGATTTCACCTTAAGCTCATAAAAGCAGTTTGAAAGAAAATGTGATTGAGGAGTAAACGTCATCAAATATACCTGATTGGTTTGACGCTTTGACCACTGTAACAGTGGGCATCTGAGTTGAATTTGTTAACCCAAGTGAATTAGCTGTAGGCGCAATAACAAAACGAACAGCAGTATTAGCAGTTGGAGTTTTCAGCTTATCAGTAGAACATATGTTTACAGTAAGTGGTTGATGTGATGAAGGAAGTAATACAGGATTCGAGACAGTAACTGGGGTAATCAGATCTGTAAGTCGAAAACCAACTTGTGAACTAGCTGTAGAAATGGTGATTGGTTGCAGTGGAGTATTCACCGACTCATTGCCAACGGAGACGGATGGAAAAGAGGCATACATAATAGTAGGCTGTCAAAAGACATTAAAGTATGAAAGTGGAAATGAGTAGTTATCATTATGTATATATGATCAGCAGAACCGAGCTGTTAAATACATAATGTTTTAAAATACAAATAACCTGACAGTGCAATGAAACGGGATTCAATGGTCATCAAATAAACAGTCTGCAGTTTCATTTCTACTTTCTTGTCAATTTCACTTTCAGATACATTTCACTATCCAATAACAACCCACTACTCATTGTTTATAACTAGGTTATATGAATAAATTCGCGCTTTTTCTTCAATTCGAAAATGATATGTCTAATTCATATGAACAATTGTACTAGTCAATAACAAGAGTTTCAGTAATTTCTATGTGAGAATATCAATCTTGATTTCAACGAATCTTCCTCAACTAACAGCATTCTAGCCTCTTGTCATTTGTTGGATTCTTATTAAAAAATCAGAAGCAAGAAATGTACAATGCCGTATGAGATGTTAAATTGCCATTTGAGTAAGTGCATACATAAGGCAATGAATCTTCAAATATAGTCACCTAAATCAGTATCTATTCAGATGAATACATTAAAAGTTAGAAATTAATTAGTAACCGTTTAACATACATATGAAGATACATTAAAAATAATTACAATCTACACACTTCCCTACTTATGTAACTGTACCCAAGTATAAATACGCTATGTTTGTGGTTACATTAACGCTGTTTGTGCAAATGCAACATTCTTGGCTGTCTCCTTCAGCATTTTCACCTTATCTGTAGAGTGTCCTTGCTACCTTAAACGTAACAATTTGCTCATGCATTAAGCCTGTCCCATGAAGTACGCTAATACATACCAGTGGCATCAAACTTAGGACAATGTATAAACTAGTACATCGAAATCAAAAAATCATATTCATCAGAATGAATTTCAGCCAATGATAAAATGTTGGAAACAAAAATAATAAAGTTATCCAGTTTATTTGGTACATAAGAATTAGCAGTAGTAATAGTAAAAATAGCAATCTACACTTTTATTCACAATAGATTAAATGTAAATGACCAAATTATGTCCAGGTAAAATAATCTACCTGAATTTCATGCAAATCTGTAGGCACAACCGATGATTTGGGTAGGTTAACAACATTGCTTAGACCGTTGTTTGAGTTTAAGATCACACGAATGCCGTCAGATGGATTTAATTTACTTGCTGATTCCTGCTCTGTCCCCGTTAAACTCACAGTAACTGATTAAAAATTAAATTGAAAGAAATATGAAAGCTATGAATGAGTATTGATAAAATCGAAAACTGAAGAAATTATGGTAATTACTTAGCACGATACAAATCAAATATTACTGCAAAATATATCTCATCAATATGAGTAATTAACGAGATTTAGATCATATTACCAAAGATATGACAGAATGACTTTTACTATTAGATCAAAGATTATAGTAACTAGGTGACTACTTATAATACTCCTATTTTACTGTACATGTTAGGACACCGTGTACGGATATCTTAGTAGAATCATATAAGATGAACAAATAACATTATACAAGTACAGAAGGTTCCCCCAACCACCCTCCCAAAAAAATACACCACAGTTTTTGGTTAGGCACTGAAACAGTGATCAAGTGTCTAACATGAAGATACTCAGTTAATCAAGATGGTTAGAAACCATCCTTAACCGAGTGAAGAATTTGTAGACACTGTAATTGGTTTGCCTCCAAGCATTAATAGACAGGAATGTATCGAAGAAAATCGACAGGTTTGCGTACATACATGTCATGCTCCACCGACTGAACTCAGCACTACCCAACAATGCAGTCACAGAAATTACCGATGGGAACTGGATCAAATATAATGATGGGTAAAATTGGAGAGTAACTACACATTTTCTGACTTTAATTGAAGAAAAAACAGCTCCATAAGTACATAAATGTGAAATATTTATAGATGTGTGAATTAACATCTTACTTTGACTTTCTGCAGTTTTGTTATTAGCATTTGATTCAACAGTTTTCGGGATTATATCAGAAGCAGACAAAGGAACTATATTAGTCCCACCATCAGCGTTTCGAACAATTCTTACTAGACGTAAACCTTGAGGCAGATTTGTCGGTTGATTAGATAAGTTTGAAACTTGACCGTCTTCTTTCATATCTTTCGCTGGCAAACTCTAATATTAGAGAAGATTATAGACAGAGTAAACATTTGATGAAAGATATGTATGAATACATGGTTAAAGTACTCCCACTACATAACAATAGTGTTCTTACATTACTTAAATATAACTTCATTGTGTATTACTATTGAATGTTTCACCAACAACAATTAATTAGTCACTTATCTTTGTTGATTCAACTGGATTTATGTGGGATCGAATACCTGATTTGTTGGCAGCTATTGAATGACGACGCTGATGATGAACGGGTAGTTGGCCATTGGAAATTTAGAGAAGAGAAAAAGCACTCAGTGATTGAAGCGAAACTGAGACGTGCTCAAAAACTGTCTCTCGCTTTTCTGCTGGAAGACCATCAAGCTAATAATCTACCGGTTGTTAGTTTGACTCTCGTTACGATCCGAATTTTCGTTTAACCTTAATAACAACACTTTACACCATAGCCGATTCACTAAATCTAGGCTAAAATTATCCAGCCAATAAGCATCTGAAATCTTTCGTAGAAAAGTGAACTGATATAGGTGGTGAAAACAGAAAAGACTATCACAGTACAGCATAACAATTTTATAAATCTTTATCACATTTAGGTACGCAAATTGCAATGAAGCTGATCACCTACATATTCAGGAAGAAATATTACACTACTTGAGAGTAGGTGATACGTTACTTGAAAAAAACATAACTTTCAACAGACGAAGTTTCATGAATATAGATATACTTGTTATATATATATATATACATTAAAAATCATACTAATTACTACCCTGATCGATGCAATTTTCTCACTTGACGACGGTAAAAAGTGTCCACTAAAGAATCGAATGCAACGAGTACCTGTAGTGTCATAGCTAAAACGAAAAAATGCTGCAAAATGCGCGATACACAATAATGTTGTGGCAATAAAAGAAATCAAAGCAATATAAAGAAAACAAAAGAAAGCAATACAATATCAACGAAGTAAAACAAATAAATTGTAAAATAGTAACAATGGAGACAATAATAATAAGGATATGAAGTCCTAACATTTATGCAAATAACAGTTGATTGCCAACATACATCTCATAAGAATATCTCATTTACATGACAGTAAAAAACCAGGGTACCAAAATAAAACAGAAAATGTGTATCGTGAACAAAGGAACTCACTATCCCAGTAATTGAATCCTCCCCACTATTTGGACCATTCATCTTAGCTGGCAAGATTATTCGTTGACCACCAGTAGCTGGGATTGATAATATCCGTGCTTTATTGTTATTTCCTTGCATATTAGGTGTAGTATTATTTTTCAAGATAACCACCTTCGGGTTGTCTGTAGTAAAAACAGGATACAAAATTTTTTGAGTGATAATATACATGTCAACGAATCTAAACATAAATAAACAGACCATTCAATATAGAATCTTGCACAGCACAAAGAAGTCAATGATAAAAAGAAACTACAGAAAAGTGACTGACAATAAGAAAGAATAATGAATAATTAGGGGATTAAAAGAAAGTTATACGCCGGACAGAATTACTTTGCTGAGCTGTCCATACTAAAGTTCATTTGGATTTTGCTACATATCTTAAACTCCTACAAACAGACACATACTATCAACATACGACCTAGCAACATTGTGTAGCTCTCCAAGTTCCCACACCTCAAATAAACACATCGACATACAAGCAACCAAAATGAAAGACACACAAATAAAACAAAGTATTCAAAAGTGGTAGAAAGTCATGCTAAGAAAACAAGGAGGAATAAAACAACAATGAAATTCCGTACGGTGATTAAGATGGAGATAATGTGTGGATACATCTGCGCCACCCACATCCATTCTCACCCATATCACCCAGTCTCCAACCGCTAGCTTCCATTGTCATGTGAACCTTAACTGGGTAGTCTACATTTCACTGCACAACTCAGGTCAACAGTCAACGATTTCCTGCACTGTTGTCATGGTTCATTGTAGTCGACTCTGATCTCCCAATCTGAACCCACTTCATCCAGGTAGATGATAACTGGACTTGAGCTATCAGCCAATGAAGGTTCACGACCTTATCAACTCTACACCAGACTTCTGCATTACTCATGTGGTGGCACAACGACACGGCTAACGCTACGAAGGTAACGGTGGTTGAACACCTGAAGCCTTCTTGTGTCTAATAATAATAAAAAAACATATTTTACAGTCATGTAGTAGAACTTTAATAGGCAATCAAGCATGCCGCACAAACAGAGTAGGCTGTAAAAGCCAAATAAGGTCTTCGTATCGAAGACAAGATCTCAAAGGTCACTCACCAACCACGTTCGATTGGACTTGCCAAATGAAATGGTCAGTCAGCTCAACTACTACGCTTCCTACTGCTATGCCAGCTGCATAGCAGACTAGTTTGTGTTCAGAAGGCTTAGAATCTTTTTAGCACCTTAACACGAATGCGTCAACTGGGTATTCTAGATCAACTAAGAAGTCTCCTGTGACTAGTCAAGTTTCTTTACAACCAGACAACGAGAGAGAGACCCCAATACTGCGTTCCTTCCTGTTCATGGTTGCGAAATAAGGTCGTTAAAAGTAGAAGACATGTAGTGGTTACAGGTTTTCGATCAAACGTGTCTTCGTAGCATTACGCATATATGGTGGAACCACCATGTTAGCAATCTCCAGGTCAGGCGAAGGGTACCACACAAGAAAGGCAAGTCGATTGATGAGGTTGTGAGCTTTAGTCAACCAAGATGGATTGGACATGTACTTCACACGTAGATCAACCGCCTAACTCACCGTACAATGCTAAGGGAAGCTGGATTAGATAGGAAGTGGTTTCAGAGCGGCCAGAACAAAACGTGTCAACAGTCGATAAAGTCTCCGACTTTTGGTCTGAGTCGTGTAGGGAGTAGTAGACTACCTGGCTGGGGTCCCTGAGATGACAGAAATCAGTGGTTGAGGACTCTTAGGAACATGGCTGAAAATCGGTTACAATGGCGCAGATGTATTATCTCCTTGACATCTTCTAAACCTCGAATACTTGCACTAACCTTCGTCTTCAAACTGCTTGTTCTCTCACACAACTTTGTCTAACTTCATATCAGTCTCTTCCTATCTACTTGTTTTTTGTATACTATTGTGAAGTGTAGTAACTTGAAGTCATACACTTGCGTACAGAGTTCTGCGTTGATTTCGTCTATCTGCCCTGAGTTAGCCTACCCACTTATGCATCCCAATAACCTGCTACAACAACCACATCCGAGTGTTTAGCTTTCATAAAGAGGCTAGAAATTATCTAGTAGAACTCGTTCCTCATCATCTGAACTGCAGTCCACGGGTGACTGATCAAAACGAGATAACAGCGAGTTTCCCTCCTCATCTTAGTTACCATTGCACTATTCAGTTGAACAGATCACAGATGACTGTCAATTAGAATACAGTCAAGCAGTTCGCTCTGCTTGGCTGACTCACTTTAAGAATTAATGTTATGCCGAAAACTGCAAGACCATGAGAACCATCCATAGAATCATCAGAAACATGGTGAGCGAACTTTACAGACTCATTATGTTGGCCGGTTCAGTGTATCACGACATTTGGGTCCTGTATATTCCTCTCAGAAGCATGGCGAACATCCTTCGCTTGAGATGCCAGAGTTTTGGCTAGCGAAGTTTTTCATCCGGTTTGAAGGAAAGTGCAGACACTGAAAGCTCCAATATGTAGTTAGGAGTGCGGATTCAGGAGAACAGCAACGCTGTTTGGCGAACTCGAATCGCTATCGACAGCTGTGGAGCCGGAAGAAATTAAAGGTGATGTGAGATTATTGATTGAGAGATGTGAAGAAAGATTAGAAGACGAGGAGGTGGAAGGTTGATAACTATCTGAGGGAACTTGAGTGCTGATAAAGTTGTGAGGAAGGTTACTTTTTTATTGACGTATCTGAGAATGAAATTGGGTTAGTAATAATGAAGCGTGACACCAGAGTCAAACGGACATCTGCTTGAAGCTGATCAAATACTACCTCTTGGAAGTTTCAGGTTTAGCTGTGACTGATTTGCGTGCAGCTAGAAAACCATACTGTCGACACCTGAAGACTGGAGGGCAGGGAAGAGTGTGGCGATTTTAGGGGTGACCTTTCCTACCCCTCTTTTCCATAAGGAAGATAGTATCAGTATAGTACTGCCAGTCATTCGCGGGAAATACCTAACTAGTATCATACCGTATCCAGCCAGAAGTAAAGCTTTGCCCACGGAGCACTATCATAGCGTAGCAATTTACGGTAATACTTTTTATCTTGCCACTATCCAACTGACCTCACTCACATAGTACAACCACAAAAGAACAGGTGTTCCCACCATCACAGTTCATTGGCTCATTGTGATATGAAACACTGACTACATCAAGGTAGCAGGCATCAGATGGCAGCAAACACAGTAGCCTTCATTAGTGCATACAATGAAGTTAAACAGAGAGTTCAAAATGAACATCATTGATGCACACCATCCGTTTCCACAAACTCATGTGACAACTCTTCGTAGGCGCATATAAAAGCTAAAATTTATACAGCGAGCTTGTATCAGGGTGAATAACTTGTTTAATACCCTCAAGAGTACAACAATTACACAAAACATCACAGTAGACAAAGGAAATAAAAGCGAATATCACTAATTTTAAAAAATCACACACAACAATCGAACATGTAGGCATAAAAAATGGATAGTGTGTTTAGTTCTTAAAAAAAGGAGAAATCACTTACACAAACAGTGCTGGGATTCGGTGATTGGCCAGAATGATGTACGGAAACCTTGGACATTTTTTCCATAACTTGCGGTGCCAAACGTATACGTTTGCCAGATGTAACTGGAAAGCATTCATCCTCTTCGATTTCATCTTCCTCTTCCTGTTCATCCTCTTCTTCTTCAATCTCCTCATCTTCTACAATTTCATCACCGTAATCTTCTACAACTTCATCGTCATAATCTTCTTCTACAATCTCATCTTCCTCTAATTCGTCATATTCATTATCATAATCATCATCATCGTCATCATCATAGCCAATATCTTCATCACTTGTATCTCCAACCCCATCATACTGTGGTATGCCTCGGCCTGATGTTCTAGCGTTAAGGTGAACCGATACCTGAGAACGTTTCTGTCCACCGTGTCTTCCTCGAGTCTCATCACTTGGATCGAAACCATCAGAATCATCCGCTTTGTTTCGGTCATCGTCTTCGTCATCTTCGTCAAAGTCAACCACAAAATCAGGATCATGGCGTACAGTCCTTACTCTTCGAGCGCTACGTCTAACCGGTAAGCTGGAATTAAGAAAAAATAAACATCATTATCACAGCTGAAGATTTTCCGTTGCTTTTTGAACTAAATCAACTAGTCTTTGTGAGGAAATCTCATTAAGATGTAGGCAAATCCAGTTGATACATCTCAAATGTAACAGAAAGAACATCCTCGACTCCACATGAGATCACATCACAACAGAGGACGTCCGATTGAGTTTGAACATTTCCCAGTCCAAAACATCGTTTGTTGACGGAAAATATAATTTACAACAAATATAGAAATGATATCAAGTGATGATTACAGATGAAACTACAACCTGGGGATTTCAACTACAGGCCTCTAAATAACCGTTCTCGTGCTCTGTTGACTAGACTAAGAGACCCAGTTGTGGACGTAGACCTATTTCACTTCAATCACCGAGGGTTTTCCTGATTGTCAAGTGAATGTGTAGTATTTAAATGTTCGTTAACCATCTTCATACCGGCTGTCAAGCCAGGACTTCTTGTTTCAATTCAAAACGGGTTGAACTAAAAAGGCGGAAAGGTGGATCGGTTATTGGTAAGATTATAAGAGACAGTTGTATCCTGGTTATACAAAAATACCGGGAAAATAAGGTTTATCAGTTCCTACAGACAACAGAAGTGAGTGTGCCTTTAGTGTAAAGATGACTTGCAAGTTGAAATAAGAACTAACCAAGCTAATTCAATAGTGAACTACAAAGTTATTTTAATAAATAATCAGAAAAAATGCTGCGATACTTGACCATATGTACGCTTACGTACCGGTAACTGTAGTAAAGCACGCTAACCATGCAAAATCCGACAAAATATCAGTCAGGAATTTTTCAGAACAATGCCAACAACACAAGAATTGAAGAAATGGGATGTTTCGATGACTTCACCTACTTGTGAAGTGCCATCAGCCCAAAGGGGTCGGTTGCTGACGAAATCCCAGCTCTAATACGAAAGACCGGTTTCCGTTTGCAAATTGGAGAGATATCCAACAACTGACTATCAAAGAATGCATGTACTGCACTGAAGTACGTTCTGTCCGGTTCACGGTTGCGAAATAAGGTCGTTAAAAGTAGAAGACATGTAGTGGTTACAGGTTTTCGATCAAACGTGTCTTCGTAGCATTACGCATATATGGTGGAACCACCATGTTAGCAATCTCCAGGTCAGGCGAAGGGTACCACACAAGAAAGGCAAGTCGATTGATGAGGTTGTGAGCTTTAGTCAACCAAGATGGATTGGACATGTACTTCACACGTAGATCAACCGCCTAACTCACCGTACAATGCTAAGGGAAGCTGGATTAGATAGGAAGTGGTTTCAGAGCGGCCAGAACAAAACGTGTCAACAGTCGATAAAGTCTCCGACTTTTGGTCTGAGTCGTGTAGGGAGTAGTAGACTACCTGGCTGGGGTCCCTGAGATGACAGAAATCAGTGGTTGAGGACTCTTAGGAACATGGCTGAAAATCGGTTACAATGGCGCAGATGTATTATCTCCTTGACATCTTCTAAACCTCGAATACTTGCACTAACCTTCGTCTTCAAACTGCTTGTTCTCTCACACAACTTTGTCTAACTTCATATCAGTCTCTTCCTATCTACTTGTTCTTTGTATACTATTGTGAAGTGTGGTAACTTGAATTTCTGCGTTGATTTTTTCTCTGTCTGTTCTACACAACAGGTGTTGGGCATAGCCTACTACACAGAAAGTGAACGTTTTTGCGGAGTGCGATTGAGTGTATAGTGCACAAAAATGGAACTAGGTAGCTACATCGAAAGATCTCTACTACACTATGAGTCACTCAGACTTTTGGATAATGACAATATAGTCCGATTTTATAAACGGAGTTAAACTAAGAGATTTGAACATATCCAATCAGCAGTTTAAGCTGAGAGTATGCTGAATGCTACGGTCATAGCTTTTAACCGCAGTTTAAATGGACTACTATGATCTGTTAAAAAGCTCACACTATGTGAAGTTTGTCTACTATCCCACGTCAATGTGCAACCAGCTTTGTATATCATATAACTATTGGTGAATGGAAATCAGTAAACACGAAAAATTCAGTATTTATATACCAACCTTTCTTTATTTGAAGTATCCATGCGTCGAGCACTCGCAGGAAATGAATCAGAATCAGAATCAGAATTGCTAAAATCACTACCACGCCTTGCACGAGGCCTTCTGGAAGGATGACTATTTGATGAGCGACTAGGTATATTTGTTGTTCTACGTGCTGGATTATATGCGAATTGATTTATCTGCATATTAGGAACATTTCTAGGCGCAAGCACTCTACAGAAGAAAAAGCCAAACTGCAGCAAATAATAGCATATATAAAAGGGAATACAAAAAAAGGAAAAAATATGCGTTATTGTTGAGTGGTCCAGGTATTAAGTGAAAATTCTTTAAAGAAGTCCAGAAACATCCTATCATTTCTACGGCTTTTTAGAATGCCTGACAGATTTTACAACTTTCCTGATATCTGTAAGTCCATACTTTTTATGAGCACTCGGCAATTACATAATATATTATTCTTAATGACATTCACACTGAAACGAACTAAAATCATATTTTTATCTATGACCATATAAACAGACTTCCCGTTGAATACATCAGAACCAAACGTAACTTAAAACTGCTTACTGTATATCCGTTATCTTATACGATTGACATATAAGTAAGGGTAACAAGAGATAGTGCCAACTAATCTATCAAGCTTCTTCATGCTCAGTGACCAAATATACAAGACGACTTGTATAGTTCCAAGGTATCAGAAGTGTCTAGTTTAAAAATGCACGTCAATATTGAATTTCCTTACTAAAGTGCATAACAATTTATGTTGACATACTTGCTTTTATGAAATGTTACATACACTCTGCAATTTCAAATAATTTTGCTTTACTCAAGCATTTATATATCTATTCACATATCAAGTAGTCACTCAATGTTAGGATACCCAACTGTTCAGACTGATATATATATATAATGACAACGGATTATTTTTAAATGATGCACATAATTTTGAACTGACCTGTAACAAACACCTTGATCTGTCAGAACCGACTGCTGAATCAACTGTCTACCAACAGCAGTATTCCCATGTTCACTGGACTGATTCATATGAGGATTTCTAGCATGTTCCACAGGCAACGGTTTGGCCAATAAAGCATTCTGTTTAGCTTTCACAGCTTGTGCTTTAGCTGTGCGAGCTTGTTGTGCTTCATTGCCCAAATTTGTGAGACGTTCCATAATTTCACTATGGCGCTTTTCTAATTCTTCAATTTCTTTTACCAGTTTATTCACAGCATTTGATGCAGCCAACCCAGCTTTTTTATCATTTTCCGCAGCTATATATCGATGCTTTAATAAGCTATCTAGGCGAAAATGAAGTCGCCTCGATGACGACGTATGAGAATACGTAGTCTGGGGTTGATGAACGGCAGGTGGAAAATGAATTCGATTCGAGATACACTACATAATGAAAAACCAACATTTAGACAAAAGCACTGAGGTAAGACGTTCAAAAAAGAATAGAGTTTAACAATGATCTCTACTCAAAGTTATACGGACTTATCCACAAACAACTCTTTCTTTTTTATATGTAACTTCATTTCTTAAAGATGTTTCCCCAAGTTATAATGTGATTAAGATTACTTAAGCCTAACTAATGAAATGAGGATAACGCTCAAAATTCTAGGACCAGATATACATGCAACTATTAAAAGATTCTTCTAATGTGTCGAATGCATATACTAGGATCTGTTAAGTGATGGCTGATCTCTATTGATATATCACTGAAATAGGAGTAAACACCATATTTTACCTGTAAAATGTGACTTTCGGCAACTTTCAAATGATCGATTCAATCATATTTACTTGCTTGGCCGACAAAATATTCCTTGTTATAAATGAATTTTAAATCCCATGAAATTTTAACAAATTAGCTCTAGTTAATTAACTCTGTTGAATACGAATAACGTTCAAAAAACTAGTATTTCTTCCCCGCGGGTGAAATAAGAAACAAACTATTGCTGCTGATTGTTTGAGTAACATTGGATATATGAATATAAGACAATATATTATGACCTAAGTCATCTTTAGATAGCAAATAATTCAATCCTCATCACTTTCTGAGGGCAAAAGTAGAGAAGATTTCTAGCTCAAGATGAAGGTGATGATGTCCTGTTATCTAAGCTTGGTCATCTGATTGCAAACATTTTACCAGCAAGCTAGGTGAGTTCGTCAGTACTTACTTCATTAATGAGTGAGGTACTTTCAAGTTGCATTTTTATGCAGAATATTTGTAGACTGGTTCAAATAGCGAAGCACAGAGAACACTGGGCAATCAATCATCTTTGTGTTAATCTCTTCCAAATATATCGTTCCAAGCAAAGATTTCATTACTTAGCGTAAAAAACTAATTCATATATTACTTCTGATCACACATTTACTTGTTAAGGCATTATATATGAAAACTGGAAGTGGGGGAAGGACAAATATGACATAAAGGAATTTAATAATAGCGCTAATACATCACATTTTTCAGATAATCTACGTCTTCTAATTACATTATCCAAATTCATAAAAGGGACTAATTGTTTCAAATATATTATTTCAATTTCTATTATTACAATGAAGAATGGTAGTTATGTCGGATGTATAAAAAGCTACATACGGAATAAGTAAATAGATCAGTTCCGCACCTCAGATTAGTGTTTTTGTTCATTAAACGTAAAATGGATGCCTGAATCGCTTATACAGTGATGACACTAAGAGTCAGCATTGAAGGACTTGACAACTAATTCATGTGCATAAGTAACTGTAGCTAACTGGCTTAGTCGACTTTCAACTAGTGGGTTTCTGGCTCGAAACCAGCTTTGCTGACCAAGATTTGAGCAGCCAGACAGTATTATTAGCCTTTACACAAAATTTATAACCTAGGGCTGAGTTGTATCATTGACTTATCCCTGATCGCAAAAATGTAAAGTGTACCGCCATTTTTTTATTATTTACCTAGTCAACAAGACAGCATTCTTTGAATGACAAACCTTTGGTAGAACTGAAGTTTGGAGTACGATACTTGCTACCAATCAATAACAAAAGCGCACATCCTCTTCTATCACATATTGGTAAGAAAAAAAGTGGATTACCACTACTTCAGACATTGCCAAGCAGATCAGGTTTATTCCACGGTGCTCAAGTTTTATACGTATATTACATAGTGTAAAGCACATAAACTTTAATTTCAAGACAACAGAAAAGTATTTTGGAGGCAGTTACTTAGTACTGCATGCATAAAGGATAAGCTAATCACACGAAAACATAAAACTTACGTAAGAAACATTCAGTACAGGATTCGCATCTTCTTCCAGCTTATTCTTATTGTTATTGCTTTTGTTGGAAGTTACCTGACCAAGAAGTAACTCTTTTTGTTCTACTTTCACTTCTACCTTTTTTGATTCAGCACCTTTGGTTGAATCCAACTGATCACCTTCCTTTTTCTCAATAGTAGTGACATTATTTATACTTTCCTCATTTTTAATTGCGACACTCGTACTCGTGATTACATTTTCTTTCTTATCATGCGTCTGTGATGAATTCGTTTGATAGTCGGTACAAGATTCTGATATTTGTGCGTTTAGATTACGTAACACGTTAGGTGGTATAGTATACGGAGTCCGTTTAGGATTTAAATACAGAGGTATACCTGTAATCGGATGCAAAACATGACCACGACATTCACTTGCCTTAGGTGGTTTAACAGCTGTTTGACCCTAGAGTGGGAAATATACACAACGAATCAAAAAATAAAACTGGTCATTTTATGGAATAACATTCAATATTATAAGAAACTAATAATTGCAGGAAAAAGACAGAAAATATTTATTGAATCATACGAAACAACACTGAGTACTGATCATACCAGTAAAAGTAATACTATACTCCAGGTCAAGTAAAAGTGAAAGTGCAAAAGGCTCTGAACCGGAACAAATATACAATCGCAAAATGAGATCACTACACAGTTGGATAACAACACCATGTCACCGTGCGATGGGTAAATTAATTATAACAAAAAGTAGTGAACTACGAGAATTCATCTGCAATATGAGTGGCTTTTTAAGTTATAGATATGAATTCGAATAAGGAATACGAAAGTACCAGATAAAGGAAACTTCACTATGTTTGCTGTCTGACAGCTTCATAAACAGTGATCAAGTTACCGACCAATCAGATACCATGTCACTTGAATGTCACGAAGTTATTTACGGAAAAATTCTTATAGTTTTAATTACCATTTAATAATAATGATTTTGTATAACCTTTCTTGCTCTTCTATATGAATAGTGAGACGTTACTCTAGACAAAAGAGTCTTCTAAATTATAATTTAAAATTCCTCCTCTTATATTCTTTTCCAATTTTTATCTATCTCCGCCAAATTGTTAAGTACCTTGTATGGTAGGTTCATAGATGATTTCTTGTGCTCATCATGACTATGTTGTAAACAAATAGCAATAAATTTTTCGCCAAATAAAAACCATGCTGAAACTAACCTGCAAGTACTCTGGACAAACACCCCAACCAATACCGTGTTGAAGACCGCGACAATCAGCAGGATGATGAACTGTTGAGCGACTTGTAATACCACATGGCAATTCAACTACATCAGACTGACGCCAAGAGGATACTGGAGGACGGATGAGCAACGCATGTTGAGCCATTTGACTTGCATTACTACGTGTAGAACTCAGCCAAATCCAACCATCGCCTCCTAAGCGGCGATATTCTTCCCCTCGAGTTTTCCAAACGGTATGCCTGATAGGGTGAGGAGTTTTAGTACGTATAAGAGTTGTAGGTAAATTAGCCGAATTCGCAGTACCGCTGGCAGTTGAACTGAAACGATCAAACTGTCTCAAACGTTTATCCTCTTCCCTTTGAGCAGCCGTCATACGTTCCAAATTTAAGTGACCTTTTTACACGGAACAAAGGAGATGAGAAACATTGAAATCATTTTCGTATTTAAAATCGTAATCATAACTGTGAATAAGGCGTTATTCTCACTTAGTTAGACGACAAGTTCGTGACATAAAATTATTATTTTTCGGATAAAGACATAATACTGGTAACTGAAAATAAAATTCTTGATAAGATTATACCTCCGTATCTGATAATCATAATACAAATTATGGTCTACTTAACATTTTTCCAATACCCGTCATACTCACAAAACATTTTACGGATAACACGCATTCAAAACCTACCGAGTGAACTGAACCATACGCGCTGAAAACACACAGAACGAATCGATGCTTCCAATCTGGCCAATACAAATGCTAATTCAGAAGGTGACTTAGAATCTAGAACATCTTTGATCCAATCTGCACGATGAGTGCGCCAGGCAGGTGTTAAGAATGCGAGAGGGATCTAAAATATATTTATATACAAGTGTTTTTAAAAACATTTCTACAGTGTAGGTAACAGAGAAACAGCTTTATAAGAAACCTCAGTCTAGATAGTAAGACAATATTCAATAGTACCTAAGGTGGAACAAAAAGCACTCACAAGCGTTTTCCTGATACAGACACGCCTTCTGACTAAATAAAAGTGAGATATTTCATAGGTAATTCAAAGTGTATTCTTATTCAGTTCAAAACAGCGCTAACTGTGCATCTGTAGCTGATAATTCTCATTATCGAAAAAAAAACAGCGAAGGTTACCAACATGGTCTATATAACTAATTATTTTATTGTAAACACGAACGCTTAGTACAGTATGGATACTAAGAGATGTATCAATAATTGAGAAAAACTCAGAACACAGTATCATTTATTCTGAGGACAGCACTATGACACGGATAACACCTCTAACCCAACCCTTGCTTCTAATGCTACAATCTTCACAAAAGTGTAGAGAACATCTGAGTAAATAATAATCAGGATTATGATATCCTTTTTTTTCAAACAGGTTGATGATTGCCAATTTGAACATTTTTCACTTCCACCCTAGTATTAAAAGCCTACTATTGTAGCATAATCTAGTGATTTCTTAATCAAAAGAAATACGCTTAATTAAGTAGATATCAAAAAGTAAATCACCTTTGATTCCATATAGCAAAGTGTTAGACGTAGCAAATCCAGTAGCTGATATGGACTAGCTGGCCAACAATCGAATCGAATTCGTTCAAAAGCAGGAAATTTAGACAATTCAATTTTATTATCCATAAAACGTAAAATTCCTTTGTAGGTAGATGCTAATGACGCGGGATCAATATACTGCCATAAATCTGAACTCAACTCGCTAAAATTAAATTTATTAGTCAGTAAACGTCGTTTCTCCTTCTCTTCCATATGCTGTGCACGTGTTAGAGCAACATTCACACTTTCTGATGTGATTTCATCTCCATCCACTTCACCAGTAGTATTCTGTGGGTTAGAATTTCGTGTACCACTTGGTGTTCGCTTAAGTTCATTCAAACCATCTTCCAATTTCTCATCAGTGATAGACTCCTGTCCAATCCAAACTCCGGATGTGTACAAATTAGTCCACGATCGCCAACTGCCTTCATCTGAAAGGCGATATGCCAGTAAACCTTCACTAGAATTCGATGGACTCGAATCTACAGTCATATGTAAGGTGGATAGTTCGTGAGGCTCTAGTATCGTTGGTGGATAGGTTGCTACATCGTTCTAAATAGTAAAATGAACATAAATTGTTATGACTATACATTAGTGTAAATATGAGCAGCAAACTTAACAACTAGTAGAAACACAAACAGTATAGCTGATTACCTAATAAGCTCTACAAAATAACTTAAAACGGAAAAACAACTCTAACACAGTGACATTAATAGCATTAATTCAAACAAGATTTAATAACTTCTTTGCTAAACCGAGTTGCTCAGTTGTTGACTGCTTAGATAGTCTACATTTTAGACGACCTGAGCACGTCTGCGATAGACTTGCTGCAATTGTGAATATTCTTCACAATAAAGAACTGTGTTCACACAAGTTGTGACTCACAAAGTCGTCAGTTAACATCAGTTTCTAGCATCAACATGGGACCTGGCATTATTGCGTAACGGTCCAACTTGTCACATCACATATCATCACATCAAGATACAAGGCAGCAAGATCAAATACACAAAAGGAGGGTGGAAGTGTAATGATGGAAATGAGGAAAACGGAGTTATGTTTATATCGGTATGGATGCTTGAAAAACAACCTTTATATCTCCTCTACGCTGATCGCTCAGTTCCTCGAAAACAGAAAAAGTGGTAAATCCATAGACCTGTTGTCAGCTACATGAAAAATCAGAACGACGTATATAAGTAACCTTAGCTACTTCCAGGCCTTTCTAGAAGGAAATTTGCCACTTTGTTGTATTAGTCTATCTGATATGTAAACCGGTTACGAATTTTCTCGAAAACTCGGCATTTGTTGATTGGTTATAATGATCTAAATGGTTTTTCAGGTTTTTGAAGAATTTAGGCAGTAATATCGCTTACCACAACAATTGACCACAAATGTTTCCAGGTGAAATTTTCTACATCAGGATTATATTCTGAATCCTTAGTTTCTGCTAGGCACAACAAATTAATTTCACACATACAGTCGTAAATGCAATCATGTGCACAATTATGTAACAAACTGAATCGCATCTACAATGTAAAGGTTAACAATATTACCTTCTTGCTAGAACTTCGATGGTGCAGTAGGGTTTACACTTTTGATACAATTGTTGGAGATCAGTCTTGAACCAATGAAGTGAAGCTGTATAGCCCACTACTGATGGATACTACAAAACATCCATCAGTTGAAACATTACAGGAGTTTTACTTAACAAGAGAATTCAAATTAGCTCTTCTATTATAACGATGATAGAATATATATATATATATATATATATATATATATATATATATATATATATATATATATATATATATATATATATATATATATAAGAGAAAGAATAACCAATTGGAACAATGCTTACAGAATTATCCCTTGTTGTACAATTAACAACACCATCATGATTACGTATAACACAATTATTCTGATCTGTAACAAGGAGGATTGTTGGAAAGTCTTCAGAACATTTTTCCATAACTGATGGCAATTCATTTGGTAAAGTTGGGAAGACAGGTGCATCCATCGATGGTAGGCTACAAGCTGCAATAGCCTAGAATGAGATGAATTCAATAAACATTTCCTTTAAATAGCATGAATTTCATGAATAAATTAGGTCTTAAGGAATTGTTGATACAATACTAAATGCTAGTCCATAAGTCCCCTGAACAAAGAAACGAAAGTAGCAACCACTTAGGTAACTGAGTCACTGAAACCTGCCTTGAATCCTGAAAGTCGATACAGTTCTCTACACATGCATACTTTTTTTAATTGTTTAACTTATAATACGGAATAACAAGAAGTAAGACAAAGAGGTAGGAGCACGTTGTGAAATTCACGGGAAGACTAAATGTGAGTACACTTCACACTTAATATAATGATGAAATATTCTTGTAAGAATGATTCATCAAAACATGTTCCATAATTTTCACACCATCCAATTACTTAGACGAGATCGAAGCATACACCCTTGATATCCGGCTGATATTTATCCTTTCACAATAAACGAAGATGAAAAGGAAGTTTGAACCAGTCAAGATGAAGTTATCATGTATAGACTTACTAATTTCTTCTTCGGATAATCACATATTTCGTTGTCATGTTTTAATAAAGTCGACTTTTCACAAGAGGCTGAAAAACAATTTTTGGAATAAAAGATATTAATATCTAGAGAGCTTTCATTTTGTTAATTTTTATCCAAATTATTCCATAGAGAAAATAACTGTTATTACTTGAACACTCTTAAAAACGTCACGAACATATGATGAAATGTAAGTGTCGTAAAAGTTGCATAGTAAACGAAAAACGAAGTAAACTCAACCACCTTGTTCACATCCATGCAGTAGGCAACGACCTACACTTATTGTGTTAGGGTTAGCGATAGTACCTGGCTGCCTAAACCTGGGTAGGTGGAGCGGGGCTCGAAACCGTGACCCAATAGTTGATGGTCATCCCCCTAAACCACTGAGTCACAGCTCCAAGTTGCATAGTAGACACTATCCATAACTTAACAGAACTATTTTCTGTAGGTGACCTATGCCTGATCACCTAATTGTTTTCCCCTAATAAGTGCTATTAAAATCTTTAGCCTTTAAACAGATGATGAAACAAAAGTTGTTGCTTTTTTTCCTTCAATGAAATGTACCCTATACTTTAAGCAACTTTTGATTGAAGTCCCACTTGTTTAGAGCATCGAACTTTCCTATCTTAATTCCAAACAGAAGTTATTGATACCCAACAGGTTTACAAGAAATATACCTTTATGACATACCTTGTTCAACTTCTAATACGGAATAAACATATACTGTATTCGTAACAGGCATGGTGTTATAACTTTGAACAGGGTCATTAACAGAAATCGATTTATGATTTGGCCTTGAACGACAGAATTGTTGTAACCCATTTTCAGTTAGCTTTTGTGTAATCGCCATTTCATTACGCATTTTTGGCAATAAAGCATCCAACCGATGACACAGCCATGGTTCCCAGTCCGTAGAAAGTGATTCACGAATACGCATCACTTGTTCAATCGATGAATAATAATAAACACGAGGTTCATTAGCGTACGAAATTGATGGATCACATTGATATTTTTTATTTTTCCTCTTAAGGCTTCTTTTTACCGAGACGGATAGATTATCAGAACCAGATACTTTAGAAGAGGAATTGATATCGTTATCATTACGGTTAGTGATACTGTCATCAACATCATCGTCATCTTCATCATTACCATCTTTTACTTCTGGATCATTTTCAGCCAACTCATGACCATATTCCGACTCCCATAACTTATCGACAACACCATCATGAAATCCCATTAGTTCTGGTTCACGCTGAGTAAAGTCAACTGGCTCACTGAAACAGTATAATAGTAGTAAGGAAAAGTTTGATAATAATACAATAAGTTAATAATGAAGGTTAGGATTAAAAAAATTAAATCAGTCAAAACTGAGAACTTTTTTATCTCCTCTGCATGGACTCTGATTAAGACTACACTCCAAAACGAGACTTCAAAATAATATGCAATTTTCCAGGTATCTAGTTATTTAACATAGGGACTGATACATACTTTAGTTAAATAAATGAAGCTGTTTGGTAAAGCTGGTAGACATCCTTTTTAGAGCGACTCTAAAAGCCATCTCTCGAAATGATTTGCTTATTTATGTGGTGTATAAACAGTTTTCATTAACACAACTCTAATTGCACTCTGCTACTGCTTTTGAAATTAGATAACTGAAAAAATATTGAGACTTACAAACTCAAAAACACTTCCTCATCATACAATTTTATTCTCATGACACTTACATAATTAACCGCCGACTTATGTACCAATACAAACGACCAGCTCGATCTTTTCCTATTGGTTCTTGATAATGAGCTACTCCGTTTTTTTCTGCTTCAGATAAGCAATCTGTCACACCTGGTGTCTGTAAAATGATTATATATCAAGGCAAAACCAAGTGTTAATCAGGAAATATAGAATAGTCATGTAACATTAATAAACGAAGGAATAAGGAAATCTGGTAGTAACTGAGAACAATACTCATTTTATTTTTAAGAACTAAACCGTTAAAGATTCAAAACAGAACCTATTCCGATGATTGTGCTTATGACAGCATATATAAAACAACAATGGCTGACTTGATGGGACAAAATAGGACCAGAAAACATGCAGAAGTGATTACAGAGTAGGTCAACAAACCGCCTCCCCTCATGAAACTCCAAATAATAACCACATTTTCTGGTTTTGTGTCGCTATTCAATTAATTTGAAGAGTTAGAATCCATCTAGCTTATGAATTACTCAGCTTTCAAAAGTGTCAATAGTACAGCAAATCTACATATCTGTATACTTACTCAAGATTGTCAAAAAAGTATAAATCTCTCCAATTAGACTGTAGTATACGACTTGGTTCTCAGCTGATGTCATCTGTTATACGTCTTAGTGACAATATATCCTCAACTAGTTTTAAACCGAACCGTAAACAATTGATGAGTCACTGTTTCCCAACTACCAAGCCATAAATTGAATCAAAATAGCCCACCACCTGCGCCTTTTACAACATATTACATTTACTCAGCTAGCCGTGGAACTGTGGCACATTATTCTAGGCACGCAACTTCAAGCCAGTGAACCACTGGTTCGGGCAAAGACCTGCCAACAGAGGTTTTGTCAGTCAGGCAGCATTAATAGCCCTCACAATACGCGTGACTTACTGCACGGATATGCATATGGTTGCCGCGCGCATTTCGATTCCTACTTAGTTCGGTTGGCAGAACTAGAGAGTTAGTCCTAGCTAAATTACGTACACCTGAACAGTAGACTCATAACAAATTTAGCTGCAAAAAATGGAATGAAAACCTCTTTTTTGGCAACCGATCGTACTTCACATTATCCCTTTTCCAGTCTTTCGCAACAATTTTGAGGCATACACACGAAGTCATGTCGGTTTGCTATGCTTCGATTCGGTAGAAAAACAAATTATACAAAACCATTTCATAAGTAGCAGTACATAAAACAGAACATGCAACGAAAAAATCCATTCATAAAAAGAAGCAACATATCTTACTCTCTTTTTAATGCAAACTGGACAAATCCAGCTAGTCGTGGGTATAGATGACAGAGGAGGATTTAAGCAATGGAGGTGGAATACGGCAGTGCAACCATCGCAACACAATACTTCCCCGCTTCTAAAGAGAAAAAGGAATTGAAAGGAATGCGAGTTATAGAGGTTTTTGAAATGAGAAATATACACATGAATTTACCTTTGTTCTAGCAAAAATATCTAAATACTTCCAAAGTAAAGTAGATTACAAAAACTGAATTAGTGAAAATGAATCCTAAAAGTTGGACAGACCTACACCCCTAACTTGTAACGAAAAAGATTTTCCCGCTCCTCGCACTATTTTCATTCCCATAAAAAAAATTAATTATTCACTTCCGATGACGAATAGAACGAAGGGAGGAAAATATCAACCAACTTGACGCTTAAGAAAAAAGTTGAAATATTTCCAAAGATTACTTTCACTTTATAGTGACAATATCTATTCCCGCGAGGAATTCTATTCATCACTTGGCTGCGCACAAAGAGTGAAGGGAAAACAAACGTGAAGTTTCTCCTTCTTAGTTTAAAGGACACTTACGCATTTTTTATTCCTGTACTCTAGCATTCTTGATGATTGGTCAGTAATGCCTGTGACAGAAACACTGAAGAATGAATCTTACAAATTCACCGAATATATGAATGTTTTCATAGCTCTTTATGAGCTAAGATATATTCCTAGATATTATCACACACAACTTTGTTAAATTATGTTCGATACTGAATGTTGCACAAATTTACGAGCCTGCAAAACCCTTGATATACAAGATGATTATCAGCAACTAACATAAAAGTCCAAGCATAGAGTACTTCTCTACCCTCACCAGCAAAATCTACTCACAACAATGCGAAAAAAAAGGCTTTGATAACAATTTATACCCAAGTCTCCCAGAGATGCTACTGCACTTGTTTCAATGCATTGAAAATAAATGGATATTTTTGAAACAAGGTTTTTAGACAAAAATTATGAAGGTAGAACTTTTTATCGCTATCCAATAGTCTATATCACAACAGTATAGATCCGTTTTCTGTGTCATAAATCTAGTTTTTTATTGTTTGCAGACTTTCTTACTGTTGTAGATCACACAGTCAGGAAACAGATAACCCAAGAGTCGATTCTTGACCAAATTATAGTACAAATACATCTCATGCATAATAATGAATAGTTTAATGTAACTCATAGCATCTATATCCTATAAGTATATAAACAAGATTAAAAGATAAAGTGATGTCAACAATAGTTACAGCATGAGTCAGAGAAGCGCTATCCATCACAGCTTTTATAAGAATTTATATTCAAAACCTATAGTCATCTATTGTGATTCATCTCTCACTTGTGGTTTCCTTTAAGTAAATAAACCTTTCTGTTAGTGCTTTGGAATCAAGACACATCAACATTACATGCCTTACACTGTTGAAACCAGCAATGCTTAACTTAGACCTCATACTATGGGTAAATGACTAAAAATCGCAGTATTTACATTTGCAAAATAATGTCCAGCAAATAACCATCCAGGATATCATTAGCAGCACACAGACTCAAATATATAGTCACGAATATAATTCTACCCAAATATTTACATAATAATGAATGGAACATGATTAGGACTCGTATTTTTATAAATCAAATGTACCAAGTGTATTACTGCCTAAGGCCTAAATTGAAATTATAGTCAATGAAGGTGTAACTAAGCGTTCAGTGTTTATCCAATTTCAGAAAATTGTTAGTTATACAAATAGCTTTTCCGACTCTGTTTGCATTTGATAACTGTACTTGAAGTGAAATTTCTAATAAATGAAAATAATGGCTAGTTGAATAGGGAAATTACTTTACCACCTGCTTTTTTCCGTAGTCTGGGAATTTGATTTCCAAAGGACTGAAGGGAAGTGTGCTACGAACAATCCAGCAAAGATGAGTAGCTTTTCATTTGCTTTTTGCATAGTAAAACAAAATAAACACTCACAATGTGCGTATATCGAACAATGCACTATTTATAATAGGCTTTGATGTCAAAAAGTACTGGGGTTATTACAAGTTTATAGTGAATCTCATGAATTAAAAATATTTTTGGTCTGAAAGAAACAGAATTTGCCATAAAATGTAACTTTTTTAGCCTAGCTCTTCATCATCATCATAAAACCTGTGCAGTTTGATTTGCTGCAACAAAAAATTCCCACGGTATCAAAAATAGTGTTACTCAATTAAGTTTATAGGTTGATGAAGGTTATAATATTGAGAAAATATCCCGTCATCCAGGTATACATATGTCACCCGGAGAAGACATTGGCCATACTAAAACTTTACCTATGTTTGATCTATATTGTATTCATACTCATATTTCAGTTTCGAATTTAGATTTCTTAATGCTATCAACAAGTTGTCTTTCTGACAGAGATCAAAAAGGTGTACTGACCAGATCCTTTTATCGCAGTAATAACCAACCACACCTAAACTTAATGCTGCAAATCACACTAAAATTTGTATCGGTAAAGTCAATAAGACGTTGGTTTTATTAGTAATTCACTTTGTGAGTTCTGTGTTGTGTTTACTGATCAATTAGTCGTAGGAAGTGACAAATACGAAGCACTTGCATTAATATAAGCATACGTGTTAGATTAGGCAAGAGAAAACATTCTACTTACTGGTGGCAAACACGGCAATAATCTTCATGCGCCATTAATCCTTCACGTAGTATATCCCCCCTAACTGAACCAGTTGCCAGAAATAAGTTGGTGAGACCACGTAGAACAGCTATGCGTGACTGCATTGGGACAAAGGGATAGTCTGGATCCAAAGGAATGAGATCAGATGGGAAGAGTGCCGCAGTAAGTACTATGTCTGCTCCACCTGATCCAGTAGGACCACCAATTGAGCCGTTAGCTGTCGTTGTATTGATGGCGGAGACACGGGCAGCAGCTTCACCAGACTTAACGCTGGACAGATAACTGGCTAATAAATAGGGCCAATTGAATCTATCTAATAGATAGAAGGTCATATTTACTGAATCTTTACAATCCACGGGGCACATCGAAGTTCCATTAGCTTCATCTTCACGTAAAAGAGCTTTAAGAAGAACTATATGAGCCTCTGCAAGTAGATTAGAGTTCTCGTCTGATATAAGAGAAGCCAAAAAGTCTTCTAACCTGAATGGAGATAACCTCAGCAAAGAACCGTAGCGTCGAAGTACTTCATAAATGGATAAGGCATCAAGAAAATATTCACGAGAACATACAAGATCATTTGCTGATGAAGGAAGAATGAGGGGTGGAGCACGAAACCTAAGCTCGATAGGATCCATTTCGAGCATTTTCAGCGTATGGGGATCATTGAAAGAGTTACTAGTAACTGTCATGCGCACATTATTAGTATTTAAATCGGTACTAGCAGGGGCATTCATATGTTCACACTTAAGACCAGACTTCACTTCATCAGTGTTGAGAGGGACGCTTGGGGATGGAGGAGATGGCAGCATATCTAAGACGGACTGACGAAAAGGTGATGCTGGTTGTTGATATTCCTCTTCATTTTGTTCGTGAATATCGTCTAAAGATTTCTGACAATCATATTCTACTAGAAATCCACTTCGAGCTGAAGCTTTATCATCGAGTTCACTGAAATCTTCACTGTCACTAGGTTCAGTGAATCCTGCTAGAGCAGCATAACTTCCTTGCCTTTTGTTCCGACCGCTGAGTTCACGTTGGGTACTGGAATGACAACTGTCTGAATTTCCAGGAAGAATTTGGTATTGGTGGTTCATAAATACATCACCTTTTACACTTCCCCTTCTACCCCGACCACGTGCAGCAGCCTTTGCTTCCATTTCCTGAAAAAGTCAAAAAAGTACTTCAAAATACGGAATGTAACAGCCAAAGACTAACACGAAATACAAGAAATGAGATCACACTTCAGATGTGCTAAAAATGAACTCACTACTTAATATTTCCAATTCGGAAATGTCAGTCTGTGATGAATACTGCCTTGGAAATATGAATGAGCCTAACTACACACCTAAATATATTACCTTGTGAGGAGAAAAGTAACAATTTGCCTAGTCTATTTAGTCCCGCAAAACATCGTAAATACAGTCATATGCTACTAAAAACATGCAAAATATATAGCCCTCAGGTTGTGATAATGTCAGATTAAAGTATGGGCAAACGTTACTTTTAGCATCTATAAGCTCAAAAAATTGAGTAGTCCCAGTTATTTCTGCAACCCTGTTCAAGCAAAAGAAATTTGATCGAGATATTTCTGCAAGTTTCAAAACTTTTAGACACTTAGTCAGCCTACCAGATTATATTTGGAACATATCCGGATGCTATTCTGCATTCCCTGTATTTTAAATAAATAAATAACAAGTACAGTTAAATGAAAGAAAAATAAGGTCTCATAAGTCGCTTATAAAGAAATACAGAAAAACGTAGTACATTCACTAAATACTTTATTGCTGGGCTAAACACCAAGTCATAATCAAAAACTTCATCCTTTAATGAGAATTGATGCGACTGTAACGGAGTATTCGTCAATTACTTCAACGATGATAAAAGCTGCCTACAGAGACAGTCACAGAATGTGCGCAGAGTTCTGATCAGTTAAGTTAGTACAAAACAATCACCATCTTCAAAAGAATACTTTTATTGAGTTACAAACGGTATACCTTAAATTAACGTCGCCTGGTTAAATAGTTCACTAGTTACTAGCAGGTCCTAAGCCCAGGTAAAGAGGGAAGGTTGGGCAAACAGCTACCAACCCTACCACGGAAAACCAATCCCACCGCTACAGAAAGTTCAAACCACAGACTAAATATAAGAAATAAAAGCAAACTTATTTCTCGCTGCAATCAGGGAGACCAAATAACGCCGGTGGGTCAAAGCCTTCAGCAAGCCAATTCACCAATGTGTATTCCCTTCTCTCGATCAAAGCGAAAGTAAACATAGGGATATGGAATGTCCACACCATGTTTGAAGCTGCCTGGCAAGGCTGCTCAGATTGAAAAAGAGATGAGAAGGGATAGCATTGAAGTGTTAGCAATCCGCGAAACCGGATGCAATGCAAGTGAACTCTCCAAACTGTCAACTTCACAGTCAACAATCTACTTCGATATTCTCACCCACACGACAACCACAAGCACACTAAGTTTTCCACTGGCTATCATCATGTCCCCAACAGCATAAATGGCTCTCTCTCTCTCTCTCTCTCATGCAGTAGGAACAAATCTCCTCCTCCACCATCACCATCATCACAGCAAGATTCAACTCAAAAGGAAGGAAAGTCACAATCATACAATCCTACGCTACACTACACTACGCTACGCACCTACAAATAATGCACATCAAAAGAAGAAGGAGGAATTCTACAAACAACTGAAATCATCAATGGACGAGACCTCACCACAGTTGGCGACATCAAAATTATAATGGGCGACATGAATGTCAAACTCGGAGAAGACAACACATGAAGACGACTAACCATGGGTCGAGAAGTGCTCGGTGAGATGAACGAGAATGCAGAATTGTTTGCACAACTCTGCGCATTCAACGACTTGGTGACTGGAAAAACGAATGATGTGCAGACCAAATCGCAACGCTACGCCACGCATCACCATAGAACAGAGCATAGAATGCCAGTCAACTCAACCCTACCTCAACTTCATCCACTTTGAAAAGGTCTTCGACAGCCTCGATGGAGAAGTAATTTGGAAACTGCTTCAACACTACGGTTTCAGTGCCACTAACCTTTATCAACCTCATTCAACAGCTATATGACGACGCCACATGCCGAGTGACTCACAGTGGAAAGCTCAGTCATGCCTTTGAAGTGAGGACAGGGGTAAGACAAGGCTGCCTACTATCACTGATGATCTTCCTGGTTGTGGTCGACGGGACTGGACTGGATCATGCAACAGACAACTATGAGGAGCGAGAAGAGAGGCATACACGTGACTGCGGAAAAGAACCCAGAAGATTTGGATTTCACCGATGACCTGTCTAGTGTCACACAAACTTGAAGATCTACAGGCAAAAGCTAACAAGTTGACAGAAGAGACGAGGTAGAGAAGACGGGACTTCAAGTGAACGTAGAGAAGACAGAAGTGATGAAGATACTCAACCAACAACAACAAGCTCCAATCACCATCAACGGGAGAAACTTAAAGAAAGTAGCCTCTTTCATCTTCCTAGGCAGCATCGTTTCAACTACAGGCGGCACAGACGAGGACGTCAAAGCCAGCCAGGATCGGAAATGCAGGACAGGCGTTCATTAACCTGAAACCAGTGTGGAGATCTACTCCACTCAGCATAAAGCGTGAACAACATCCGGATTTTCAACACCAACGTCAAGTCAGTGCTGCTATATGGTTCAGAGACTTGGCGCGTTACGAAAGGCATTTCCAACAAACTACAGATATTCATCAACAACTACCGCCTACGCTGGCTCGTTACTGAAGCTGAGATGGCCAGAAAGAATAAGCAACAAGGAACTCTGGGGACGAACCAACCAAGAACCTATCGCTCAACAAATATGCAGTGGAAGAAAGTGGAGATGGATTGGGCATACACTGAGAAGGCCGACTGGGGACATCACGCGTCAGGCCCTCGAGTGGAACCCCGATGGGAAGCGACGAGTTGGACGTCCGAGGGTGACATGAAGGAGATCGTGTGATGAAGAAATGAGAGCTTCTGGGCTGTCGTGGAGCCAGGTCAAAAGATTGTAGAGAACAGAGTGCACTAGAGACGTGCTACTGAAGCCCTATGTTCCACTAGGAACCCAAGGGACAAATAATAGTAATGATAATATACCTTAAATTATCGACCAAAATTATCTTTTTCTTAAAATCTCTAATGCTTTGAAAGCATTGGTCAGTAGATATTCAGTTCCCGCACATTCTGCGTTGACAACTCCCAAATTTTTAAGCACTGAAGTTACACCACACACAGTACCATTGTACACAGTTAACTAGAGTAAAACTCAAAATGTACTATTTAGGAGCCTCAATCAGAAATAGAAATATTGTGTAGCGAGGAAGTGAGTGATTTCACTAACATGGGTTTCAAACTACTGAATTCTACTGTCCAAAATAAAAATATTTCTTGCATAGTATAGCATACAGATTGCACGTGTACCTTTATTTACTACAGATAAAAGGTGCAAGTTAACACAGGACTTCGAAGAAAGATCACTGACGTAAGCAGCACTATATAATAAGAGAGAAAAAAGCATTAAAATCACCAGAAAAGGTCATTCAGAAAGAAACAACACAAATGGCGTCTAAGCTTTAAAAAATATGAGACAGACATACAAGACCAACGTAGAACCTCACACGCAAGTGTGTCGGTACAAGCGGCCACACTTCTCAGTAAATTGTAAGGAACAAGTGGATAGAAAAAGTGATATATAAACAGACGTAAGTGTATGGGAGGAGAATTTGAAAAATGAGGGTTAATGAAAATGCTCAGAGTTTATAAGATATCAAAGAATGAACTTATATGCACTATTGTGACCAATTTTCAGGCATATTAACAAGGGTCTCCAACCACTGATTTTTATTACCTCGAGGATCTCATAGAGTCTACACACCCCTACACGAGTCACACCAACAGTCGAAGACTTCATGAACTGGTGCCATGTCTTGGTCTGGTCACTCAGCTTTACTTCAACCCAATACAACTGCGACTGCTATTGCGCATCAGGGTTATGATGGATAACATTTCCAAGTTCGGTAAAACAATCAAGCTTCACAACCACAAACTGATTAACTTTATTTGCTTAGGACTCCATACTACCTAATGTATGCGTCGCTCATACGATCGTTCCATCACATCCGAGTAATGATGATGAAACAATCAATTAACTTTTGTAGACAAAGGGAGTTGGTGTCAACTTGTGCCGATTTTCTTTCGAAGTCAAAATACAAGTCAACCACAGGAAAAACAAAAAAATGGAAATACGATAATTAAGTGGTAGAAATCCATGCAGCGAAAAGTATGGCTGTGAAAACGAAAGCCTTCAATTGCGTGAGGCAGACAAACTAACAAGAGTAGAACCGTGCCCAAATTGCATTAGTTCAAGTCAACAAACTTTACACCAGCATGGAAAAAGTGTTGGGTGGAAAACAAATAACAAATCCATTTAAAGTGAATGAGAGAAGTTAATCGACCAGCGTCGATAGAAATATTCGAGACCTCGAACATAGCAGAGTGTAAACGTATACACTAATGTCACCAAATTTCCAACCATTAATTCCTATCGTATGGAGAACCCATCAGACAGCTTATATCTTCTTACACAGCTCAGACCAATAGTCAGAGAACTCCTAATCAACCAGGTTCTCTTCTTAGAGGTCAATCCGTGTAAAGTTAGAAGTACCAAGGGTTATATCCATCAGTACATCAATAACGAAGTTGAACAGGAACGGTGGCAACAGGCATCCTTACTGGACACCACTGGTTGCTGTCACTTCAAATAGAGGCTCTCCATAAACCCTAATAAGGTTGCAGAAGTTCGAGTAGAGAGTTCCGGTTAGTATTATATGCTTCTTCAGAATTTCCTTCATAGTCAGACACTGTCACACCTCACGGTCAATAGTCGAATGTCGCCTTCAGGTCAGGAAATATGGCAAGTGTCGGCCGCTGATCGTTAAGTATGCCTGTGTTCCAGAAACTATCGTAGGGTAAAAAAATGATCAATTCACCGTCGTTCAGGTCTGAAACCTGCCTGTTTTCCTCGAGTTTGCTGTTCTCAAGCACCAGTTAGACATTGGATAACTATGGACCCAAAGATCTTGGACATCATGTTAGTCAAACTGACTCCCCTATGGTTGTCAAGATTTATCTACCTCCTTATGAACTGGAATGATCAGTAAAGTAGACCAGTTTGACGAGACTACCTCTGACTCCTATACACTACCTAGTAACTCTTACTCCACTCAGTAACTTCCTACCTTCGTCCTAACAAGCTTCTGGTGGCAAACCGTCAGGTCCTACTACTTTGCAGGTTTGAAACAGCTTCCTCAACTTTGACGAAAGTTGAAGGACAAACATCAACATCCCACTCAGGTTCAGGCTGAAGGCTCGGTAACTGAAACGTGGCCATAGGCCAGTTGAACTATTCCTTAGTGTCCCACTCAACATTCTAGCCACCTGCCCTGAGAGCTTACCACAAACCCATTCTTTTCGATGGTCTCACTAACCACTGTTTTCTTCATTCCGATATCCTTAGTAAGCTCAAATAATTGCCGAGTACAACTCAATTCTGATGGCTTTTTCGTAAAGTGACTTCATTCTTCACTGCTTTTAAACTGAATAAATCAGGCAGCGAGAGCCTAATTTAACATCGCACTCCACCACATAACGATTTTTTCGCGTCATTTTTCTCTTTTCTTAGGATCTTTTGGGAATAAAAATAACATATCGAACGCTAGGTATCTCGGTCTAACATCATCTGAACTTCAAAAGTCTTTTGGAAATATGATTCCTTAGTTTAGTCAACAGACTTTCAAGTGACAGGTCTCAGGTTTAAACTATGTTCCAACTACTACGTCCTCGGTAACCAAGTGGTATCAAATGCCCTCACAATCAACGTGGCTTTGCCTAACACACAAACCTATGTTAGTCTGTTGAGATGTCGGTATTTAAGTTCATTTGGTTTATGCTACATACCTTAAACTCCTACAAACAGACACATACTATCAACATACGACCTAGCAACATTGTGTAGCTCTCCAAGTTCCCACACCTCAAATAAACACATCGACATACAAGCAACCAAAATGAAAGACACACAAATAAAACAAAGTATTCAAAAGTGGTAGAGAGTCATGCTAAGAAAACAAGGAGGAATAAAACAACAATGAAATTCCGTACGGTGATTAAGATGGAGATAATGTGTGGATACATCTGCGCCACCCACATCCATTCTCACCCATATCACCCAGTCTCCAACCGCTAGCTTCCATTGTCATGAGAACCTCAAATGGGTAGTCTACATTTCACTGCACAACTCAGGTCAACAGTCAACGATTTCCTGCACTGTTGTTATGGTTCAGTCTGTTCGCCTATGACCTTTACCTAATCTGAACCTTCATCCAGTACCGTGCGACAAGGCAGACGGTAACTAGACCTGAGTAGCACATGCCTGAGCTATCTCAGTCGAGGAAGGTTCACAACCTCATAAAGTGACATTCCTCTTCTCCCTAAACGTCTACTCCTGACTTCTGTATTACTCATGTGGTGGCACCACGACACAGTTTATGCAGCGTGGGTGGCGTTGGTTGAACGACTGAAACCTCCTACCGTTTTCTAACTTTAATAAAGTTTTACAACGATAAAGTAGAACAGAGTGGTCTGCAGCGCAGTAAATTCCTGTCCGTGCAATTCATTAATTTACATATTCTGTATACGGGTACGATAATAAAAGACATCGGACTTTTTCATGCTGCCATCTTATTTGATAGTCACCTACTTTATCAACACCTCGTATATCCTCGAGGCAAATAAAGACCGTCTTCATACAAATATATGCTCGCAAAGATAAATATTGAAAATTAAGTTGCAATCTCAGTAATAGGTATCTTACGTACAAACGAGTCATAATTCATACATATGCCATTCTAGTTCTTTGTTACGCCTTGAGTCTTTGTATTGTGTAGTTCATCATCATCATTATTGCGTAGTGAAAATATCATTATGACTAATAACTTATATATTAATATTTATTGTAATACGCTAATCATTCCATTATTCTAGGTTGGTAATTCAATGTTATATTTAAATCTGCTGATGAAGCCTGTTCCTAGTCCACTGAGACAGATAACAGACTCATAAACCTGATAATCTAAACATGATCTCAAAATGCAAAAATATTTAGGATGCTTTTGTATACGGACTACAACGCAAATCAGAGAAAATTAGGTAAACAGTCAAACGAGTGTACAGGCAACTGTGGATACAGTACTAAGCTTGCGTATTCTGACCAATACGCCATAGGTGTTCTGAGGCAATGCACAACAGAGCCCATCAAGATGAAAAACAAATACAAAGATTTAGCGTAACATCTTAGCATACCCTTTTTTTTCTTGATTCTTCTTCAGCATCTTCGCGCATCTTTTCTTCTTCTAACCTCCGGAAGTATTCATCATCGTCTAGTTCATCCTCAAGACCGATATTTGGGTTATCTGAATCACTTGACTCCAACCACGGTTGACTTGGATCAATTGGACGTTTTCGAGCTCCATTTCTACTACCCTTAGGACGTCCACGTTTCTTACTTTGACGCTTTTGAGCACCAGCTGCATGATATAGAAAGTCAAGTTTACACTTCCGCTTTGAGAAATACAAAATCACAAGTAACTAAAGAACACCATGAAAAATTTAAAGAGGACCGTATTAGAACTATGGCGAAGTAAGATCATAACACGCTAACCGACTATTTCTCTGCATATCACGTTAAAGCAACACATAAAGGCAATAATTAAGAGTAGGGAACTAAAAAAACAACGTACAATTATTTGTTGCTACTGAAGCAGCATCATCATCCTTCAGCATCTTCTCATAATTAATAAAATCGTTCTCCCCAATCACATTTTGCTTAGAATTTTCCTTAATTTGATCCCAATTTGTGATCTCAACTGGATTGAGAAACACTACTTTCGTCCGCTTCTTCGCACTAGCCAACCCGCTGGTTGGCGGAGCACCCGCAAGGCCACTCGTGCCAGCTGAGGACGAATCCATTTCGGCCTCTATCAGAGGCAATTAAGCAAACCTCAAGGTCACAAGTTAGGTCTACCAAACAGGGAAGCGCGCGTTACGACTATTTGAGAAATAATGTTGTGATTTAAACAAACTTTGCATAACATTTGTGTATAGTAATTCACGCGGCTTCTAAAGTCAGTATCTTCATCCGGATTCCGCTTATTTTCCACTATGAACATTTCGTCCTGAATGTTCTCTAGTTCATTATCCTTGGCACTTAAGATGTTTATCTTAATTGTGCACATTTATACAGTTTATCAACTTCTGCATTTTTCGTTTTCTGATACTGGTAAGATCACATACAAATACCCGAGTACCCTGATCACAACTCATGGATAAGCCTAATTTTTATATTCGCTCACACTATCTGACAGTTTTCTGTTGACAGCTTGTGCAGAAGCGAGTACAGTTCGTTCTGATGATTTTGGGCTCATGTTCGGTGATATGTTATCCCAGTGGTTCACCAGTGGGGGAAATTTCGACTCATGCTTGAAAGAGATGCGTCGAGCAAGAACTGCTTTTGCGTAGTTGTGCCTGGCATAGCGTACACGTGCCAAGCATGCTGTGCGTGGGAGCAATTATGCAGCACTGTTTCGTCAGATATGTCTGGGAAAGTGGGTGTAAGTGGGAGTCCTCCGTTTGTGGCCTAACATGTTAGATACATAATGCCATGATCGATCTCCAGATTGCCTTAAAATTTTCTCTGAAAGGCCATTCATAACAGCAATTCGTGCGAAGAAAAAATGCCCAACATTAGGGTATGCTTAGTACTCGAATAACGCTCTCCACGGACTCAAGAGAGGATTTTTGGTACGCTTCGAAAAAAGAGAGCCAGACTTAGCCTAAATCAGGACTTTCATAACCGTCGGCGCATGATGTTCGCTACCGTATACAAGGTCTGGGTGGCAACCCACCATGGATGACGTTTTCAGGTTGAAGTCCCAGCTACACTCAATTAACCGCAACTGCACGAGGTATTGCAGTTATTTTAACACCTCAGTGATATCAGAGACGTCTCGTGTCATGTTCGGTAGGACACGGCGTTTCGGGCACACTCTGAGAATGGTGAACTAAGCACTGTCCATTTCAGTCGGCATGGGCACATATACATGTATTTCAGTTATTCCGAAAGGTATTATGTATCAACCCAGCTGATGAGAAGGACAGGGTTGGGTATGGTAAACAGCTGTTTCACCGGCAAGATTTTCCGTTTTCCGAATGGTTATTACCGATGATCCGGTGCCTGAGCACAAAGTAGCATACGCTCTGTGCAGGCAAGAAGGAGCCTGGGATGTCCATTCACTTCACGGATGTTCACGAATATTGTGTATGGTACGCGTGGGATGAAGAACTTTGTGATGTACTCAGCATCGGCCAAAATAGCTGCAGGTAAATTTAATGATGGTCTTTTCAACATAGTTCCATGTTCATTCCACGTCCTGACGGAGATTCTCAAAATTTAAAGATTCAGTTTCTACGATGTCGAAGGACCTACGCCATCACCTCAAGGTGTTAAGTGGAAAGACACGATCAAAACCAGAGCCTGGCAGGTGAATGGGGTTCCATTTGATTTACTGTGGGAAAGAAAACTAAGAAAATCTAAGAAAATGCAAAGGAACCCCCATCTTTGTGGTTAAATTTTCAAAAGTGGTGAAATCACCGAGGGGCGAATCACTGGCTACATCACCGGTTCTTCAAAGTAACCCAGGATTCCCTGGAGGCGATTAAAATTGCTAAACATCAAACGTTTGCGAAAAATCATGCTTTTGCATGTGTGAGTTGTAGGTTGACCGTATGCCTTTCTAGAAATTGTGGTGGATATCAGGGCCACTGGATGTATATATTCTGTTTTGACTCAGCAATAAACCTCCTATCGTTTTACTGCTTTTCTTCGAAGAACCAAGCTGTCCTTAAGCTTGAGGTGAAGAGTAATTGTTTGGGCCTCCGCGTTAGTATGAGCTACTGCATTCGTTCCCAGAATGAACCATGTCATTTTGATGCCACTGGTTCGTCGTGGGTTGACAGAAGACATCTTAATACCCTAGCACGTCTCACTTGCAACGATGCCGGTAATCTGCTGGACGGAATGACTTATCCTTGAGTTGATTCCGTCACTGGACATCCAGCCGTTGCAGCACACGACCTTGACGGATACAGAGAACAACCACTTACTCGTCATTTTTGTCGAACACTTCCATATGCGATAACGAAACGGAAGATAACAAGGTAGCAACACTCAAATTGTATGTCTGACATATCAAGCCCATATACGAAGACGCCCAATTTGGATAGCCAGGGAACTGTGAACGATGCAACATGACGATGTGCCTTAATAGGCTTATGCTAAGCCATGTGAATCCTGCATTGTTAATTGAGTCGTTAAGGCGTCGGAATACTGAGGTGTACTACGAATTGGCTATCTTGTGAGGAAGTGACCACACTGGAGACTGAGTTGCCTTCCAAGTATGCCTGTTTCAAACGGTGAATACCGACAGTATATTCCCATCCATTTTGGCCTACAGTACAAATATCCCGGCGTCACTCGATGATGTTGAACGATTCTTCATAGGACGGTCCAAGTGGCTGACGAATGGCATCATGGTAAATGAAAATGTGTGATGGTTTTTTTAAACAAGACGAAGATATCAATCGTTTTTGGTCGAAGAGGAGCAGGCATAACTGAACGCCATGTTTTTAAGCTTGCTGACCCTGGACGTCCTATCGAAAGCGAATGTACAACTTAGAGGCGCATGGGATTCAGACGGCAGTTGAAGAGTAGTCTCCTAGACTTCTTCTGAATTAGCTTTCAATGACTTTCGGATACCCTGAAGGACCAGAGGCAATATCTATGTCTGTTGAGGCATGCCCGAGGCTAAAAGCAAAGATTTTATCCATCTGTAAAGCCTTTCTACTATGCACAGTTTCCGTGGAAGACAAGCGCCTACGGCATACCATCCTCCCTTCGATCAAAAAAACCCATATTTTATGACGCAGTGTTATCGGCTATTCCTACTCCTTTCCATCTTGTGAAATAGTTCACACTGTCTAAAAATTGGGTAAACCCATTTGATTCTAATAGATTCACATATTATACGTATGGATGCGGTCGAAGCCAGTGTCAGGCGACAGAAAAGATTCTAAAAGTCTTACCGTGTGCTGGGTGACCTCAAAGTGATGGTAGGCTGAATGAGATGAAGCCCACTTTCTGAATCGGGTGTTCCTTCTAGGCCGACAAAAATTAATTGTCGACTTGGCGTCATTAGGTGAAGTTTGTCTGAGCAATGTGGTGCATTTGGGCAATAAATCTCGGACTCTGTGATCACACATTTATCTGTCAAGTCAACTTATATTAAACCGAAGGGTAGAAGGACAAATAGAACAGTTTAGGCAATTAGGGATTGAAATTAAGACTGATAAGAACGAAAAGGAACAGTGACGTCATCATTCCTAATTTTACAAGAGGACAAAGTTTACCAAGGTAGGCGTAGTGCAAGAACGAACCGTCTGTACACAACGGTGTTTCCAGTTTGTGCATGCCTATCACTTCTGCAGATCTCGGCATGCGTCTCCGACCGCTTCTGCATAAAATTTTCAAAGCTGTTTGAGCATTAACTTCTGTGACCCGTTTCTATGAGATGTTTAGCTGCAGGTGCGGAGAGTTGTCCCCCACCTGGGCCTGCCGGAGCTCCACACTCCATTTGCCTTGAAGCCCTCTATGTACGTGCTCTCCTACCTTCAGCTACCTGGGTCGAATACCCCTTTCTGCATATGTGCGACTACGCAAAATTGTGACGCAATCATCGGTGCAGTTTTTAAGTTTGTAAGGAAGTAGGTTTTTCTCCACATTTTTAAACTCGGCTGTACGTGTTTCCCCAATAGCTGTTTTTAACCCCCGTTGGAGTGGTAGAGTGATAGCACCACGACCAACTCCATACATGGCTCCCAGGAAAGGCGTCCACATCCCATTGCTGATTGCGTCACATCCCACTGAGTCTGTCGGCCCACACTTTTGCTTGATCAGACTTACATGGAGAGCAGTAACCGAGCCATGCAGCTGAAGGTAGGAGAGTGTGTACCTAGATGGCTGCATCTATAACTAGATATATTATAGAAAAGTGTAACAGAAATTAGTGTTAAGATAAACTTCATCTTCTAACTGCGTGGTCAAAAATCCATTAATCACATAAAAACCTGAAATAATAGAACTCTAAGCTGAGGAATGTTGTATCATCACCATCACTTTAAGCTTTCGGACGAGACTCAGTTTTTCACCATATTGGAAAGGATGGAGATGATAATGGGCCGGTAAACCCATTATCTGTTAAGCTGAAAGCTGAAAACCGAACCGCAGAGAAAGGTCCGGGACTAATGCTGACTGATAAGCTAGGCGCCTACTCCGATTATCCCGGAAATGACTCCACGGCCCGGAACAGTTTCACACCGCATGAGCTGATAACTTGGCGGATTCATCCCGGAACTCTTCCCGAAGCTGTACAGGACCCTTACATGACCTCCATTAGAGGTGCATGACTTCATTGCACCACCATGCTTGAAGAGAGTTGTGAATCTGCCACAGAAAGTCCAGAGGCGAGGAAAGAAAGATCTTGTGGGAATGCAGTGAAAACACCGTGAGGATAGGCTGAAAGACCTAGGACCCTATCTCTATGGTCACCGTAGTTTACGTGGCGGTTGATAATGGCTTATAGGATGTCAAATAATCCAGCTTATCTGAATTATGGAATCCTACTGAGCGGCTACTGTGGTAGTCTTGATGGTAGACCAAGAAGAATCACTCAGCGGTGGGTGGAAACCTGTGTGAACCCATCCTTGTTTTCTTCAAGGCGGGGCCACTAGAACGTATTGCCTACCAGGGTTGCTACTACCCGTCTATCTGCAGCTTCATGAAGAGTTTGGACAGGTACTCAGGGATACACGGGTTGGACTCATCCAGCTAGGACACAGACTAGATAGACAAAACCAAACAATTTTGCTCGCTCCAGCATAGTAGGCCTCAAACCTAATATATTATACTGCAACTCTCATTGCGAACTTGATTCGATCCTTTAATCTATTTTAGACGTCTCACCTCCAGTAACCATACCCCCACTAATAACATTGCTATTTCTACTCCCCTAGACAATTCTACTCCCTTACTCACTCCTTCTCCTCCCCCCGACTCTACAGCCTCGCCCTGTTCATCGAGGTTCTTCTTATCACTGTTACCTCTAAATCTGCATATGTTCCTCATTCCTTTTCATTCCCCTTTATTTCACCTTGTTTTTTGACTTCCCCTCCTTTGATTTTACTGTGCGTCTTTTCCTCCCTTCCATCTTCTTTTTACTAGCAGCTTCAGTGACTTTCTGGTGACAGGACACCTGAGGCACCTACTGCACTGCAATCTTTGGACGTATCATACAGTCCCTGAAAATTTAATCAACACTTAAGCGCCCTTCTAGCTAAGCACAGCTACAGCAGGCGAGTGGGTAGATCTACTACATCGGAGTTTCCAAGAGACCTGAAACCGTTCAGAAAGACCTAGAATAGAGTGTGGAGATGTAAACTGGATTACACCAGTTAGTGAAAGGGTATTGGGTATTGTATGTACATTTGACAAGCTGGCGCGTTTTCAGAATTCTGGGCTACAAGCTTTAGTTCAACATGCCTCGGATTAACATTAAAGGAGGTGTCTGGAGAAACACCGAAGTAAGTCTTTTCATATTGTTACCTAACTTGTAAGGATGAAATCTTGAAAGCTGCTGTTATGAAATATGGTAAAAACCAATGGGCTCGGATCGCTTCCTTGTTACACCGCAAAGCAGCCAAGCAATGTAAAGCTAGGTGGTATGAATGGCTTGACCCTAGTGTAAAAAAAACGGAATGGAGTCGTGAGGAGGATGAGAAACTTTTACATCTAGCAAAGCTGATGCCGACTCAATGGAGAACAATAGCACCAATTGTTGGAAGAACTGCTAATCAGTGCTTAGAGCGCTATGAATACCTTTTGTAATATTCAAATTCATTGTTATCGAAATGTTTAGGGATAAAGCACAGAACAGAGAAGGGCTTTCGGCTGAGGAGGATCCTAAGCGTCTTCGACCAGGGGAAATTGATCCAAATCCGGAGACTAAACCTGCACGTCCAGATCCTGTTGATATGGATGAAGATGAGTTAGAAATGCTTTCTGAAGCAAGAGCTAGATTAGCTAATACACAGGTAAGTTCTGTGTGCAGACATTTGCGTAAGTAACTTTGTGGTTTCGGTCACGTTACAAATCAGCTTGTTAAGCTCTTGGTCAATCGATTTGCTCTCTGTGGTTACATTTAAGTGTTAGCTTGTAGTGAGTCTGGTCACTACTGTTTTATTAAATGTTCTGTCGCATGTTAGTCTATTAGATGAGGCTAGACTGACCAGTGTGTTTGACATTCGAATGAGTTTGTCTTATTCTAGTATTTACTCATTGCTACTGCTCAACAGCATGGAGAAAAACACTTATTGGGTTAGTAGTTTTGAAAATCACTGGTGTTAGGCATCCGCGTCTTTATGTACTGTTTTATGCACATTAATTAGAATTTTTGGAGAAACTAAAATGCAGTTAGATAGCTGAACATATTTGACATTTCTCACTTAAAGAGCTGACGCTATATTGTCCAATTTCTTATCTTCGTCTGACCCCTCATAACACTTCTGTCAATATCCTCTGATTTCGGCAGTGTGATTCCTAGTTCTGAATTTCTTAGTTGGTATATATGACTCAAATGACAATCACTTGGACGTTGTGAGCGATTATTTTGGGATCTTTAAGGCTCACTCTTCACCTACGAGGTATAGATGCCCGCCATAGGACCTATCTGTATCTATGCTCTCGTCTATGGAGTGATAAGGCCCGTCGATCGGTTTACTCATTTAATCAATCACTTCAGCCTTGGTTGACCGCTGGCCAACCTAACCTTGTCATAGATAGATTTGATTAGCTTTCGCCGCCTTGTTTTGGTGCGAAATCTGACGATATGAAGAGCACTTCCCTGTATTTTTCTGTTCCTACTATATAACTGTTAGTGGTGAAAAATTTGAGGCTTCAGGTACTTGCTACATATCAAAGGAGTATATTGTGTAGAAATTCGTGTGATGCAAAGAATGGGTTCTAGAAAGACTCTCACTTCTGTTATATGTAGCAAAAGATTCAGATACTGCCACAGTAGTTGGTGGATTTAACGCTTAAGTTGGGAGACTGAACGAGCTACAAATGCGTCTTGAGGGTATCCACAGTATCTCATCCCGACGTACCGAAAAAAGTGGTCATGTTTCACAATTTTGCTCTGAAAATCACTTGTTTGTAACTAGCACTGGTTTCAAACATAAGGAAAGTCATTGCCTAACTTGGCATCCCCCGACCGAACCAGTGGGGGGTAAAGATTGATCATACTGCTACAAGCCATTATTGGAGATCAGCGGTGAATTGCCGCTCCTTTTGAAGTACGTAATTAGACTCTGACTGCGCAGTTACGAACACACACATGTAGCGGTCCAATGTGTGTGTTCGGTTGAAAGTCTTGAACACTAGGTTTATATTTGAGGAGGTAGCTAGGGACTTACCTAAACATGTCAATGAGTGCCATCTGGATGCAGCCTGGGATAATACTCAGTTTGCTGTAGAATCAGCGGCAAAGATAGTCAATAACTCACATCCAAAGCTTAATAAAATCTAGTTGATTTCTGCGACCTCATCCAAACTTATTGGTGCGATGAAACTCACTGCAGATGACTCGGGATAAGGGGAGAAAGAAGCTTGAACATAAATTGGTAAGGAATTTGCGGAACGATCACAAACAGTGAGGTCTGAAGAGAGCGAAAATGGAAAAGCCTTCGGCATTGAGTAATACTTGATAGTTACTTAGGCTCATTAATCACTTAGATACATGATAGTGATTGGGACTATAATCGAAAATGATGAGTTGTTGATAACTTCCAGGTCCAGGTAGGTGGCGCTTTGAGTGGGACACTAAAAAACAGTTAAACTGGCCTATCCATCTCTCATCGAAGTTAAGAGACGGCTTAATACTCTGAAGTAGTAGGACGTTAGGGCGTACCACCGAAGGCTTTGACTAAAGTTGGGAAAATTCGGATCACAGTAATTGAGGTAGCAGCTAGTGTATGGGAATCAGAGGTAGTCCAGTCAGACTAGTTAAGAACATTAGTCATTCCACTATGCAAAAGGTCTTAAAAATAACCACAAAAGAATCAGTTTGACTAACACCCTATCTAGGATCCTATGGTTTTAGTCATCCGACATTTAACTAAAGCTCAGGTTCCCTTACATTCCCCTCATGAATTTACCACTTTAACCAACAATTTCAGTGTCATCTTTAAACACTTCTGACAGTAGTCCATCAAAATCCATCCCCTTTGATCGCTCCAAGTTAATCATATCTTTCTCAATTCAGTAATTGGAGACCGTAAGACAATATTTTATGCAGTACTAAGGTAGACAGCAAGTTCAAGGCTGTTTGAGCTTCTAAAGTGTTCTGCTCATCGTTCCAGTTGGCCTATTCTAAACAAATCAATGACCCACCTTTCTTGGTTATATTCTTACTGACTGTAGACTTCTCAACAGTCTCCTTAATAAATTTAAACATCTTACTACGAACAATCCCAACTATCCTTTCCACCAACTTGGCCATTGTTACACAAAACTGCATGAGAATAATTGGGTATATAGTAACATATTTCAGTAAGCTTAGAAACGATAAGGCGTAAAGCATCTTAAATTTTCACTGAAAACAAGTTATATTACTACGAACAGTAACAACGTTAATTAATAATCCTTTTAAACTATGTAAAATATGCTTGACAAAGGACATTAATGATGCCCAGTTTCTACTTCTATACATAAAGTTGTTTCTGGACAAACGAAAAATGTAGAAACTCAGAAATCTAGTTGTTCAAGCGCCTTACTTGATAACAGCTATTCAGTTAAAATCATTGAAAAAATGAAGAGGCATATGAAATCAGAGAGGATAAATAAATGACGATGAACAAGATACTTAGGATCTTGTTATGTAAAAGGTGAGGACACTGGTCACGTCATAAATATTCAGCTGTATTAACAGGTCTGTAACTGCAGATTACTAGGTGGTATCATGGTTAGAAAGAATGGTACTGTGTGTATGCCAATAATGAGATCGCCTACTTTATAAGATTTTGGTTTCAGAATATTTGAAAGTTTAGTTTATAATTCCTGACTTGATCTTAGGAATTATTCACTTCCTTCTATTGTTATCAAAAGGATCTTAAAGATCCTTAAGAGACGATATAGAGAAAGGAGACGTACAACTGATTATTTTTCGATTCACTTCTCGAGACAGTAAACAAACTCACTATTGAATACTTTCTTTTAGCAGCTAAAGTGTGCTAGCGACTCAATCTCGTTACAGACTTGTAAAAACTGTCAATTCAATTAGAAACTTACAGGTTGCAATAGATGATATTTCAGACAGTGTAGAGCCTGGGACAAAAATGCAGTAGTTCAAGTCAGCAAACTTTACACCAGCATGGAAAAAGTGTGGAAAACAAATAACAAATTCATTCGAAGTGAATGAGAGAAGTTAATCGACCAGCGTCAATAGAAATATTCAAGACCTTGAAGATAACAAAGGGTGTAAACACATACGCTAATGACTGGTTTTGAGCCATGTCACCAAATTTCCGACCATTAATTCATATCATATGGAGAATCCATCAGATAGCTTATATTTTCCTACACACCTCAGAACAACAGTCAGATTTCATGAACTGATACCACGTCTTGGTTTGGCCTTTCAACTTAGTACTACTTAGGTTTAGAGTGTGTTGAGGTAAGTCCTGGCTCAGTGCGAAACACATTTGCAAGCCACATCTATCGGTGAAGGTTCACAACCTCATCGATGAAATTGCATTCCTTGTCCACTACCGAACACAACCTCCCAATGATCACACGATGATTCCACTATACATCATGATCAACTCTGCGAAGAAATCTCGTCAAAACCTGTAATTTCTTCATACTGTCTACTTCCAATGGCGGTCTCAGCCGTGAGCGGAATTCATCACAGCATACTCGCCGTTTAGTAAGTGTTCGGATATCTCGCCGATGCCAGACGGGTCTTTTAGATACGATCTGAGATTTAATCAGCAACCAGCTCATTGGCGTTGATACCACTTGGCAAATAAGCGAAGTGATTGACCTAATCCTTGAATAAAGCCATATTTCCTGGCGCTTGGTGCCAACTGTATATCTGAACCTGAAGGTGGCGTGGAATCTAAACTTTCAAGCAATTGACACCGGTTTTTAACTTCGGTCTGAGTAACAGGCTAGCATCGCAAGTTCTCACATGACATGTGGCTCATATCCTATCTTACAATCCCTAACGAGGTTGAGTTACATTATTTTTCTACCTGGGGGTTTCATGTTTCTCCACCAGCCGAAAGGTTTATTTGTTAGGACAAGGTGTTTAACAAATGCATCAGTTTTTCTAAAAGCCATTCATTTACATTCAGTATTTTCAGAGCTTTTGGTGAAGTGACCATGTGAAGTATTTGCCAGGAATGTTCAGTTTGTTCATTTTTATTTGTTTTCGTCATGGATATTCTCACAAAAGTCACTTTCTATTTTGACATCGATAATAAGAATTCTCACTTGAGTAAACGACAGTCTTTTTACTTTCTTGTTTTCGTTATGTACTCATACTTAAAATATCTGCATCCTAACGAGCTGAAACGCATATGACATTAACAATTCTGACGTGTGATTTAGCTTTCTAGACCTGAATTTTGGTAATTCCTTATCTTTTTCATTTATAGGCAATATTTTACCGTATGCTTTTCCCTGAAACTAAAACAGTTGGTCAAGGTAATGTTGTTGTTACTCACGGCTTCTGGAAACACTGTCACAGACTTGGCTTGCGAGCTTAAATTACCTCATTTCGCAACACCTCGATAAAGGAGAACCGAAAATGTGAACGACATGAAGGTGAAGATAGGGATACCAATACTAGCAGATAACAAAAAAAAACAGTTGATAAACTAAAATAGAATAGGTTATAGAATGCAGTCTTAAAAAGAATGAAAGGCGGATGCATATGCATCACTACAACCTATTCTAAGTCATGTTTCCTAAAGTCTAACCCTAAACGTCGTTTATATCATAGCCTCAAAGTAGGAAGTTCCTCAAACCAACAACTACACACTTCATATATTGTTCCCTTGTCGTAGTCTGAAGCTGCTCTGACTAATCTAATATTGTTTTTCTATAAAATATATGATCATTGATCAGATCCTTTATAAAACTAAAGCACAAAAACTTATTTAACAAATTATTTCCTTCCACTTACTTCTCACCAGCTTAACTACACAGTTTGACCGAAGCAATTATTTTCCAAGTGTTAACTTAGTAGCAAAAAATGTTAAGATCTATTTACGTTGAAACTGTTACTTTAGGAATGGTCTGCTTGTATGTCTAGTCTGACAATAAAGATGGTTTGAGAAGTGTGTATTGACCACTTTATTTATATGGAAAGTCAAGTGAGCTCTGGTTGGTTGGTGGCTGTCTAAGTTTCAGCACAAACATAAGAAGTTCGATTTCCTTTTACTCAAAGTGCACCACTTGTCTCACAAAAGGTCTCTGGATGTCTACTGACAACCCTACATACTGCTCTTCTCAATCCCCAAACGGAGATTGCTAAATTTGTCCATTAATTTTCATATAATCTTGCTGCTTGAATACCAAGTAAATCCAATTCAAAGCTTAAAATATCTGGGTTTTTTATTCATTCAGGCCATTATCATTATTGCATTCTTTTTTCGTTTATAAACTTAGGGAAAAAAAGCAAAACGTAAAGCTAGAGAACGTCAACTTGAAATTGCTCGGAGAATGGCTATGATGCAAAAACGCCGTGAACTTCGAGCAGCTGGTTTGGGGACATTTCTTGGACTAATGCCAAAGACAAAACCATGCATGGATTATAATTCAGAAATTCCATTTGAGAAACAACCTCCTAAAGGATTCTATGATACCAGTAATGAAAAGCCAGAAATCAAACCTATGGATTTTCAACGTTTACGACTTTCAGATATTGAAAAAGAGAGTTTCATGGAAAGGGAGAAGGTAAGTCATCATACCAGTTATGTTTTGCCTTTTGATAAATACCAAAATTAATCTGTTCATCGTAGTCAATGAACATTCCCACGTTTAAGCTTCAATTTCTGTTAATAGTTTCACCTTAAGGTTCTGATCATTAATATTGTCTTGTATTGCTTTTTCTGGTGAAATGAGATAACTTTTTGAAGCCTCAGATGACAGTAGCATTTGTAGTTTAAATTTTCATATCTCTTAGCAGAAATGGATAGTTAGTTGTGAGTGTTTCTCCATTGTGCTGTTAGCAGAGGAAACTGAAAGTAGTAGTCAATATCAAACGCACAACTGAATAAAATAGTGTTTTAGTTCAAGTTATCAAGCATTTGACCAACACAACGAGAAATATGAACTAGAAAACTGAAGAATAAAAAAGGTGCATAGTATTTAAATAATGAGATGTTCAATCTGTTTACCAATACTTTTTCATTTAGCATTTTTAAACACAAATCCTTGATATCTTATAAAACATGGCAGTATCTGTCACACTTCCTAGCGGCTGACTAGTTATCATTAAGTTAAAGCACACTATTTGACTATGGTTTGTATTAACATGGGGCTTGATTTAAAGGAACAATAACCCGAATAAGATATTTTAAGCGCATAGGTAAGAGTGGTTCTGTTACTTAGTTTTATCTAAACCTATGACTCTAACTGATCGAGTAAGGGATTCAAAACCACTTCATACACTTGAGTCTGCCATGCTTTGCAACTTGATACGATGAACTTTATGTGGCTTATTAGTTAAACAGATTTTTAATTGGAAATGCAAAGTGGAAGTATTCTAACTTTTTAATTTTCTTCTCTTAACTTTTCTAGCGAGAACGTAAGAAAGATGCTGAACGCCAAGCTAAGCGTATGCAATCTGATTTACCTGGTGTTATTTTACAACGTGGAAATTCTCTGGATGAACCATTATTGAAAAGATCTAAACTTGTGCTTCCTGCTCCTCAGATATCTGATCTGGAGTTGGAAAATTTAATCAAGGTGTGCTTCAAGTGCTGATTACCACATTTTTCTCAAAACTTCTTTAACGTAGTGAGATTTAAGCGTTGGAAGTAGTGTTTTCCAATAACCAATCATGTCAGATTCAAAGCCTTATGCATGAGCTTGTATTGGGATTTTTAGCATTTCATCTTTTAACCAAAATTCTATAAGCCTGTCAATCGTGTGAGTTGTAGTGTGAATCAAAACTAATCAATTTCGAGGTATACATTCTCAGATACTTTTGGTTTGCATGTTTCTTCAGAATCGATCAACTCTACGGGGTTTTGGTATGCCATGTCTTCTAACTGATTAATGGAATCTCAATACTACTGTCCATAGCTCTGTTTCAGTTCAAGAATGGAAATGACATTTTCGAAATCATAGTCAATCAGTGCACATATTTTTTTCAAAAGTTGATTTTTGCTTAAAATTACTTGTGAAGTACATTTCTTTTACAGAGAAGGAACTAATTTATACAAATCGATGGCAACATTTTGGAAATGGTCCATTCATAAAATCATTCAAAATCTTAGCTATGAATTACCAGTCACCACCTTTATCTTATATATATATATATATATATATATTACTATCAAATTTGTTTACTGATTAGTGATGTGAATAAAATTTATTGCCTTTTTGATGAAACGTAGGTTGGTCAAGCAGGGGAAAATGCTGTAAGGATGGCTATCGAAGATTCTGATGGGGAATTGGGTTCTGCAACACACCCTCTCTTACCAGAATATCCTACAGGTGGATTCGCAACGCCGACGTTAAATCTTCAGCGTACGCCAATGGCTATGGTAGATACTGTGACCAGGGTAAGTGCTTTGTGTAATCTTATATATATATATATATATATATATATATATATATATATATATATATATATATATACACCTTGATATGACTGGACGATAAATTATGTCCGAAATGTAATCCAGTAAATAATACTGTTCCACTGTGTGATACATCTAATAAATCAACTGAAATAGAATATATTCAGTCAGTTATTTTCACTAGTACAGTAGATATGACCGATAGCCTAGTTCACGAACTTGAAAGCGGTTTAGTGATTTGTATTTCAGTCTTATTGTTAATCCCGATTATCATGAACTGGATTATTCTGTATTTGGCCAACGGTGTATAGTATAAGCTAGAGAAAGTGCCAGACGTACACTTTAAAGGCTTAGTTATATCCGTTCTATTGTACTAGTGGTGCAAGTCTCAAAATACAGGTATTTTTGCCCTTCACTAGTTTGTGATTAGTTACTGTTCCGTAAAAGTCGAGCATAATGTGAAATTATGAAGAAAACTTGAGAAAGAGCAAGGTAATGTGTTAGTTTTCGACTGCAAGTACTATGAGGTTAGTTCTTTCTGAGGTACCTGAAAAATAAATTATGCTGGTTCTGGTCATTTTAAAGACTAATCGGCATCTAGTTTATATCGTGTCCGAAGACATTCGGTTCCTTACATTTGGGTCACTACTTCAGAAAACCTACTTTTGGCCGGAGAACATAATTGAGAAAGCAAGTATTCGTTAGTTGTTAGAACCGAAGTCTTTTGAATCCTTTTTTAATAAGGACCCTATATTATGACTACAAAGTACTACTTATCCTTGAAAAATATCTCTCTGGTACTCCATATCGGTGCAAATTTCCATTCTAAGGCTAGATATCTTTGATCTTTTCAAAATGTAGTCACTGTTCCTGGGATGATAGGATTGCAAGTAACAAGCTTACCAGTACACCATAGCTGTCGTGAGACATTATAACGGACAAGCTTTGATGCTGCATCAAGATAGCAATCATGGTTGTGGAAAAAGTTTCACATTCTAATTGTTTCTTGGTAAAGTGCTACGAATACGTAACACAGTATTAAAATATTTAGCCTTACATAATTTATGAATGTGCTTACTCTCTCCAGGTCCGTCTTCCTGTTTGTTCTCATCCTTCGTTGTATGGATGGTAAGATTTTTAGCTTAGACAACCAAGACATCTGTGCTAAATTCTTTATTGGTAGAATCCACTTCGAAGAGTCAAACTATGAAATTAGTTGTTTTGTAATCCATTCTTTGAATTAAAAGTACAAGATAACTGAGTGCTGGTCATCAAATGGTAATCAGATTCTTTAATACTGACCTGTTAATGGCTTCGTATACATTTGCAGATGAGTCATTCACAACTGGAATACCTTTTGTTGAGCTATGGCTCAGTGGTCTAGGGAGATGACAACCAACCAATGGGTTACGGGTTTGAAGCCCCCTCCTACTGGGGTTCGGGCAGCCAGGTAACATATATAGCCCTTACACAATAGGTGTGGCTCGTCACCTGCTGCAGGGAGATGCACAAGGTGGCTGAGTGCGTTTTATTCCGTTCCGGAGTATCTTTTTGTCATTGAGCCAATCCTTCGGAATCCAATGGTATTCTCCCGATTACCAACTACTCTTGATATGATGCGATGATCCTTCCCTTGTCTCTTCTAACGGATATCAATATTTTGTAAGATATTACGAATCAATCGTTTGGAAGCCACTCACGTTAGTTTTTGTTTCTTTCGTGTCACCTATTAGGAACGTGTATGTGCAATCACAAGGAAATTCAGCTTCCTTCAGAAGTTTAAAGTTAGTGATTGACGCCTAATACCACATCTCAGTGTCGTTCCACCTAACCACAGGGTCACACTGCAAACTTTGTCAATAGACCTGTCAGCAGTTAGGATATGACAGCTACTTCGGTTACCATTTGATGACCGGTTCTTGCAGGGTTCAGTCTGTCAAGTAGTCACAAAACCACTATACATCATAAAATATTTCTCTTCTAGCCATTTTACCGATCTTATTTAGCTCTACACTTTAATTGGGAAAAATACAGTTAGGAGGCGTAAAAGTCCCACATCGAAATCCTAGACAAGTGTTCGAAAACACCTTCAAGCTAATAACCAACATTAGGAAACTCTATAGCTTTCCATGTTAGTGTTAAGATTCATTCTCGACTTAACTTGTCAGTCTCAGAATTTACTACTAGATTTCCCGCCCTCTTGTAAACACCTTCATCTCAGTTATTTCTGTAATCTTAAAAATAGATCTCTGATTGTGTGCATTAGGTGACCTTGAATCAAAACTTCTACCCATATTTTCCATCTTCTTTGAAGTTCAGAGTCCAAGTGCTTATAGCAGCAGTGCGTTAGACAGGCCATCAGCCTTATTTAGCATTTGTTATTTGTCTCTCTGTTGGATAAAACAAACTTATCGATTATACTGCATTTGAAATGCAGTAATAAATTCGATTTATGCACAATATGTTACGTATGTTATTCTTTAAAATGTCCTGTTCCCTCTTGTTAACATTTTTCGTTATGTTTGACACAATCTTACTTTTTTTTATATCATCACTAACAATTTCGCTGACAGGAAGCTCAAAATATTTTAGCCTTACAACAAGTTCAAACCCCTCTTAAGGGTGGGGAGAATACTCCATTAGTTGGTGAATCAGATTTCTCTGGCACAACACCTCGTGTACCCAGTAACCTAGCAACACCAAATATTTTACTCCCTAGTCAGATAGTTGGTACTACCCCGTTCCGTACACCAAATATTATTGAAAATGGTACGTTTTAGATTTTACTACTTATATTCTACGTAAAATGGTGTATGTTGTTTATTTCCTAAACTCTTTTAGAAAGTAACTTCTACCATGTTGTATTTTTAAAAATCGAATTCCATGTGCTACATAGTTAACTACTTATTCATCTCTGAACACAAAGCTTTGCTTCGAAACTTCACTACATTCACTCTATTGTCTTGCTTTTCTTATTTCAAGATTTGTAGCAGTAATGGACTGAATAATGCCTATCAACGGATTTGGGTGGTATTTTACTTCTCACCTTCAAAAATTCTGATTATTTTGATTGAAGAATAAACTGAAAAAATGGCAAAAATGAGTAGAATTATTGCTGTAATCTGATTTCAAACGAATGGACAGATTAATTTGCAAAGTTTCGTACTATGATGCACACAACCAATTTGATCGCGAAAGTGTAGATCAGTTACTAATGACATTCTCTTGTTCTTGTAGACAAGATGAAACAGTGTGATCAAATGATTTACAAACTGTGGTCTCCAGTAAATTAAAATAACGTAACCTTTAGTGTAAGACTGTATGTATACTCACGTACAGGATCATTTTTCAGGTTGTAGGTTACACTTGCTATATCATGGAAACCAATAGTGACAGGTGGTATGATCACTAAATCAGGTGTAGCAAGATATACAGATATAACTTGAAACAATTAGTCCCTTTTATGAATTTGGATAATGTAATTAGAAGACGTAGATTATCTGAAAAATGTGATGTATTAGCGCTATACATTTCTACCTTGGTAATGCTTATTTTATCGTATTACCAAGATTATCTTCAAGTCTTATCTTTTATTCCTCTCATTATCTTTCTTATTATTGAATTCCTTTATGTCATATGTGTCCTTCCCCCACTTCCAGTTTTCATATATAATGCCTTAACAAGTAAATGTGTGATCAGATTGTTCGAAATGTATAGCGCTAATACATCACATTTTTCAGATATAACTTGATTGTCGGTAGCTGAATAACGAAACCTAAGAATCACATTTATGTATGTGATGGAAAAGATTTGTAGCTCAGAATGAGGATGATGGTGGTTTCATGTTCTCCGAGCTTTGATATTTTGTCTTCATAAAGTTAATTTCGTATAAGGTTGCCTAGTCGCCTAGGCCGAAGCAGGCGAAGCAATATACTGATGTGTTATATACTACTTGCCGAATTGATTACTCTGAAACCAAATCGACAGGTAGCATTCATACAGTTTCAGTGTGGGACTGTGACTCATCGGTCTAGAAGATTGACCTTCCGCTAGTCGGTCACGAGCTCAAAAACTGTCCAATTTACCTAGTTTTGGATATCCAGGTAGTATCATAGCACTTATACAGTGCTTGTGGTTTATTGTTTAGTGCACTAGTTTATTATTATTGTTTACAACACAAAAGTAGTACTGTACTGGCACCAAAAGTTTGTACATTATTCAGTTGTATGCTTCACGTTTTACAACCTCTTTAAGTAAACATTTACTGATGTGTCGATTTATTTTTTTAAATTATCATTATTATTATTGTGAAAAAGGTACTCCGGCTGTTTTAATGGGTGCTGCTGGTAGCAATACACCCGTTCTTATTAGAAACAGTGAGCAAAACGGTCCAGTATCTAATACACCGTTGAGAAATCGTCTTAATATTAATCCAGCGGATGAAAATAATCTATATGGTCTTGGTGATCAAGATACTGCTGTGTTTTATGATAAAAATGGTGTGAAAACAAATCTACGTAAAAGCTTAGCTAACCTACCGGCACCAAAGAATAACTTTGAAATCTTTGTACCTGACGAAACAAACAATGATGATGTCGGTGAAAACGACAATGTTGATATGGATCAAATGGAGGAGGAAAGAGGAACAGCTTCGAAAATTCCAGACCAGTCAGATTTGGATAGACAGACTGAAAGAGAACGTGCTAAAGCTGCTGAATTGGAATGGTCTAAACGCAGTCAAGTTGTTCGACGATCTTTGCCAAGACCATCAGCTGTAAATCATACCATTTTGCGTAACATACCAGGATTAGCTAATCAACCACCCCAACAGGAGGCAAATATGACAGATCTGCAAAAGGTTTGATATCAAGTGATTATTTAACCTAATAGTAATATTACTACTATGCAATTATTTTCGTGTTCTGTGATATTGATATGTATGTATAGTGTATTGCTAAAGTCATACTTCATCACTCTCTATTTGTCAGACCTTTAAAAATACTGAGGTTATTGCTGGTTTTCACTACTGATCCGGGTGTATCGAATAAATGTTCTAGCCTGCCGTTATATGCATAAGGATGTGACGTTACTGTGAGGCAACCCAAATTGCCACACCTCACATCAGGACTTCAAGGTATAAGGGAGCACGACCATAAACAGAGAAAGTCATAACATAATCCCTGACAAGGTAGTGAGTACACATACTAAGTAGTTCCATACTGGGACGGAACAGTTGTTCAGTGCTCTCAGATTTCCAAAAGTTCTCCAACTGATATCAGTTTGTGGTGAATAGTAACTTGAAATCAATCACCTTCCCTCGCAGAAAACCCTTCAAACTGAGTTAATCAAAAGTCGGTAAAGCAGAGAGAAGAGAGGTTAAAGCAAATAACAATGTACGATATGACGACTAAGATGAAAGTAAACCTTGATGAAATCTATGCTAGTGCAAGCGATTTTGAAGTACACTACTGTAAATATCACACCAAAATATGTAACAATATAACTGTTCTCTACTTGATTTCAGACAAATAAAGAGAACTAGTAGGATGTTTGTACCAAGGTTTCATTTTTGCTTATATTCATTGGCAAGTTGTACATCCTTAACTTCTAAGAAAATCATGGCTAAGCACGTTATGCAATGTTAAACTCATCACCCAATAAATGTTTTAAATATTTACTAAGTAGTTGTTTCGAGGTCTATAAGGTTTTGTCTGACTGGTAAGCTGTTAGAAAAGTGTTCTAATACTTGTTCTCATGTTCTTGTGTGACAATGGATAAACTGTTTTCAGTCATCAACATGATATCTTATAATGTTAGTCTTCGAAGAGTCATAGGTAGTAGTTGCAAAGATAGCTGAAAAATTAACTTCGTTTATGCAATTGCGGTTGTACAGCTGTAGAGGATGATACCGCCGAAAACAAAGTTGTTTGCTTTTATAATACGTACTAGATGGGAACCAAATTGAATAAAGGGGACCTTGGTGACTTTGAAATAGGTTTTCTCATTAGTCGAAATTGGTTGAACAACTCTATCCACGACATTCGTAACAAGCATGGTCTGTATGGTATGCTGTAGTATGTATTTACAGGTAGAGCCTGATGAGACTTTAACGAAAATACGTATTCCTTCAAACTTTTATATTTTCAATATTCTGAATGTTAATAATCGTAACTGAACAACTGCTGAAACTCATTCGGCGCTGGATGAATTTATCTTACTAAGTGTTTCTCAACCGGTATGTATCCACAGCTACTCTAGAAATTGAACTTTAATTGTCTGCTGCGAGTGCGCTAGTCATTGAATTGTTATTCCAAACAAATTCTGATGTAACAGGTTATCGTCCGGTGTCACGTTTTAGTTCTGCCACAGTAACTTTTAAAGTTGTCTTCTCATTTGAAACTATACTGTTGCCTCAGATCAGTCATTAATGTGAATGTCACTAGAGAATTCCGCAGTAGAATCAAAAGTTCAAAGTATCCTCACTGACTTTTCTATCAATACTGAATTATCAAACGAATCACATTCAAATATCCCTTAAACCGTCTAGTAGTAAATACCAAGCATTGTTCATATCCATTCATAATGGTTTTTGTTGTTGAATTGTTTTCATTAGGCTGAAGAATTAATTAAACAAGAAATGGTAACAATGATGCACTATGATAATTTAAATAACCCACCACCTAATCAGCTGTTGGATGCGGCTAAGCAGACTGGTCCAAGTGGAGGCGCTGCTCCAGCTAGTCAACACAGACGTTATTTACAACAATTGAAAGCTACGCATGAAGGTTATTTAAAAGATTCTCCGTATGAACAATTCAATCCAGAGGATTTAAAACTGGTAAGTTGGTGAATAAAATTGTGTATCCTTTGTTTTCGAGCATTTTCTATGCCAGAATAGTGTATCATTTACTTGGAAAATAAATACCTGTATTTACTCTTTTTGTGCACTTTGAAATCACATTTATTTCTTAACCCAAACCTATGAAGGAAATATTCAAGTAATGTGTTAAAATTCCCTCTTCATATGCTCCATTCGGTCTGGAAAGCTACAATTTTATCACCTTTGTACATCATTGGAGAATCATCATTATATATCTACTGTCATGCATCAAAATTGGAGTTTTTTTGTTTTCTGGAAATGACTCTTACTTCTACTTTCTCAATACATATTTAGATAATCTAGTAATAAAGTATGTCACTATTGTAGTATATGCTACGTTGCATCTAGAGTTTCCTTTTACATCTCTAGCAACTCATAATAGTCAGTTGATACATACAAGGGTTTATATCCAGTTGTAGGCTTATACCGTCAAATATTGTTTATTTCCTACATGTTTTAAATAGTTTTGTTCTTTGCTTTGCATTACTATCTTATTTGTAAGTAGCTTAAATGTTTTTTCTACTTTGCCTGTTGACAATAGGCAGAGAGTTTACTCGAGGAGGAAATGCATGTGGTTCGGAATGGTATGGGACATGGTGAACTATCAGCTGAAGCTTATGCAAAAGTCTGGCATGAATGTCTGAGTCAAGTTCTATATCTACCAGCTCATCGACGTTACACACGAGCTAATCTGGTGACAAAACGTGATCGTATCGAATCTCATGAAAAGCGGTTAGATCAGCTTCGTCATCTTATGGCTGAAGAGGCTAAACGCGCAGCCAAATTGGAAAAAAAACTAAGGATCTTGCTAGGCGGTTACCAGGTAATGTGACGTACATGATACTTGTGCCATTTTGAAGTTGTTTTTGAAAATCCCTTTGAAGGTAATCATTTCACCTCGTGCATTTGATAAATCGTAGTATGGATTCTAAAGAATGTATAGTGTAGAATTTTTAGATCATGCAATTCTTCAGATTTTTAATTACTGCAAATATAAACGCTCAATGTCCTTATAAAGCCATTGGTCTTTGAATGAAGTTATAGACATGCTGTTTTTCATATGTATTTGTCTTTGAGTATTTAACAAAATAATAATTATTCAGTGTTCTTCGAGTTTCAGTTCTTGACTGTGGACATCTAATCATCAGTTAACATGACTGTACCGCTGTTTTTTTTTTCCAATGGAAAATATTCACATATTTGCTAATCAGTTTTAAATCATACATTAAATCATACACATAGAGTATGTTAGTGTATGAAAATCACAAGTATCTAGTCACAGTTATGTGCAGTCCATATTTCCTATGAAATATATATTGTCTGTTCTCACGCCTATGTATTTTTTCATATATTCTTCATTGTAGTCACGTGCGCAAACGTTGATGAAAGCCATCGAAGAAAGTGTAGACCAAATTGAACAAAGTCATATGGAGTTGACTACATATGAAAGGCTTCATGAACAGGAATTATGTGCTATCGCCAGACGTTCTGAGGTGAGCATTAAAAAGCAGTTTACACTATAGTTTTTTCGTACATTTGTCCACTTGAATTACTCTGACGTATTATGTGTTGTCCAGGTTTTAGAAGCTGACGTTGAACGGCAACAAAAGCGACATGCTGATCTTCAACGTGAATACGGAAGACTTATTCGAATTCGTGAAGAACGAGAGGCAGATGCTTTCTTGGCCAGTAATATAGATCTAATCGGTCGTGGTGACGGTGAAACATCAATTGTTGGTACAACTAATGCAACTTCAACTGCTGATCAAACTAATACCACTGATATATCCCAATTAAAAACAGTGTATGGAAGTAAGAATATGAAAACAGGTAAATGGATTGCAGTCACACAAGTTGAAGATGTTAATAACAACATCGATCATCCAGTGTTACCTGATGGGGAGATTGCTACGAATTCTATGTAAGTCTGTCAGTTTTTTTGTCGACATTCCTCTTTCTTTATTCCCTCGCTTCTTGTTTTTCTCCTCTTTCTGGGTGCTGTCTTCAAGCATAACACTTTCAAACGACATATACTAATAGTAAAGCTGTTTCCAACTTGTTAGTTTTACTTTACTTGTGAATAGAAGTTTGGCTTGCTTTGTTGCTATAGGGTTGAGCTCTAGTCAGTTAATTACTAACCTATTGGGTTAAGGGTTCAGTCCCACTCTATGTTCTTCAGTCTAAGCAACCACATAAATATTAGTTTTGTCTCAACCCAGTATAAAAACATACACAAGGCTGCTCATTATTATTATTATTATTATTATTATTATTATTATTATTATGTGTCCCACGGGTTCTTAGTGGAACATAGGGCTTCAGTAGCACGTCTCCATTGCACTCTGTTCTCTGCAGTCTTTTGAACCTGGCTCCACGATTACCCAGAAGCTTTCATTTCTTCCTCACACCATCTCCTCCATGTCACCCTCGGATGCCCAACTCGTCGTTTCCCCTTTGGGTTCTATTCAAGAGCCTGGTCTGGCGCGTGATGTCCCCAGTCGGTCTTCTCAGTGTATGCCCAATCCAATCCATCTCCACTTTCTTCCACTGCATATTTGTTGGGCGATAGGTTCTTACTTCGTTAGCTCGTTGCCAGCCTGCCAGAGTTCCTTGTTGCTTATTCTTTCTGGCCATCTAATCAATCTTCAGTATCGAGTGGGCGTAGGCGGTAGTTGTTGATGAATATCTGTATTTTGTTGGGAATGCTTTTCGTGACACCCCAAGTTTCTGAAGCATTACATAGAAGCACTGACTTGACGTTGGCGTTGAAAATCCGGATGTTGTTCACGCTTTGTGCTGAGTGCAGAAGATCTCCACTCTGGTATCAGGTTAATGAAGGCCTGTCTTGCTGTCTTTCCGATCGTGACTGGCTTTGACGTCCTCATCTATGCCACGTGTAGTTGAAACGATGCTGCCTAGGTAGTGAAGGAGGCTACTTTTTTTAAGTTTCTTCCTTTGGTAGTGATTGATGCTTGTTGTTGGTTGTGTATCTTCATCACCTCTGTCTTCTCTACATTCGTTTGTGGTCCCATCTTTTCTGTCTCTTCTGTCAACTTGTTGGTTTTCACCTATAGCTCTTCGAGTTTGTGTGACCTTAGACATAAATCATCATCAGTGAAATCCAATTCTTCTAGGTTCTTTTCCGCAGTCACGTGTATGCCTCTCTTCTCGCTCCTCATAGTTGTCTGTTGCATGATCCAGTCCAGTCCCGTCGACCACAACCAGGAAGATCATCAGTGATAGTAGGCAGCCTTGTCTTACCCCTGTCCTCACTTCAAAGGCATGACTGAGCTTTCCACTGTGAGTCACTCGGCATGTGGCGTCGTCATATAGCTGTTGAATGAGGTTGATAAAGGCTAGTGGCACTGAAACCGTAGTGTTGAAGCAGTTTCCAAATTACTTCTCCATCGAGGCTGTCGAAGACCTTTTCAAAGTGGATGAAGTTGAGGTAGGGTTGAGTTGACTGGCATTCTATGCTCTGTTCTATGATGTTGCGTGGCGTAGCGTTGCAATTTGGTCTGCACATCATTCGTTTTTCCTGAAGTCAGCCTGTTACAGTTGTAATCTTGAATCCAGCGCATCCTTTAGTCTCTCGAGGATGATGCGGCTTAATACTTTGCTTGGTGTGGACAAGAACATGATCCGCGCCGGTTCTTGTAGAGACTTAGGTTTCCCTTCTTTGGGAGTTTGACCAGGTAACTCTTCTTCCAGTCAGTTGGCAGGTGCCTTTCCTTCCTTCCAAACCTTCTGGAATAGTGGTGTGAACATGTCGGTTGCTGTTGTCTCTGCGTCTGTTTTCAGTGCTTCTGATGGGATTCCATCTGGTCCTGCTGCTTTCCCGGGTTTTAGCAACTTTGTGGCGTTCAGGACTTCGACTTTCCTTGGAGGGCTTGTGTTCACTTGTAGTTCTGTGGCCGCGGGTGGTTGCGGTGGTCGATTCAAAAGTTTTCCGAAGTGGTCAGCTCATCGTTTCCTTTGTTTCTCCTCTTTAGCGGTTACTAGATTTCCTTCACTATCATTGGTTTCATCTGTGTTGATCTCTCCCCTCCCAGATAGTAGCCTGGTTATTTGATAAAATGTTGTCAGGTCTCTGTCTCTCCTATCAGCAGCCTGTTCTGCTTCACTTGCCAGTGTTTTGTGGAAGTGTCTTTTGTCTTTGCGTGCAGTCTCCTTCACTTTTTGTCCAGTGTAGTGTTTTATAGGTTGTGTTCAGTTCCTCTTTTCGTTGTTCATCCCTACAGTGCACTGCATTGCACTGGTTTATCTTCTGCTTCACCATCTTCCTCTCTTCTATCAGCTTGGATGTGTCCGTCGAGATGAATTCCTTATCTCCTTTCTTCTTCCTTCCTAATACGGTTATGCAGGTTTCTTTCCATATAGCTTTCAAAGAGTTGCATTGTCCTTCGAAGCAGGTTTCCTCAGGGATGTTGTCTTGATGGCTGATGTGAAGATTTTTTGTGTTGTTTCGTCGTTCAGTTGCTGGGTGTTGAACTTAAACTGTGATCTATCATCACAAGCTTCTTTGAATGCTTTCAAGTTGATTTTGAAGGTAGGTTCCTTGCACCAGATGGTGAGTGGTATGAACCAGCTACATCTGCTCCTCTTCTTGATGTGATCTTATGTTCAATAGGCTGACTGCATCTCCACTTTCTTCACATTGAGATGAAGTCGATCTGATTTTTAGTGTGTCCTGGTGTCTGGTGAAATCCATGTTGCTCGCTTTGTGGATATTCTTGTGCTTGAACACAGTGCCTCACTCCAGTCACGAAGTCGTTGAATGCGCAGAGTTGTGCAAACAATTCTGCATTCTCGTTCATCTCACCGAGCACTTCTCGACCCATGGTTAGTCGTCTTCATGTGTTGTCTTCTCCGAGTTTTGGCATTCATGTCGCCCATTATAATTTTGATGTTGCCAACTGTGGTGAGGTCTCGTCCATTGATGATTTCAGTTGTTTGTAGAATTCCTCCTCCTTCTTCTTTTGATGTGCATTATTTGTAGGTGCGTAGCGTAGTGTAGTGTAGCGTAGGATTGTATGATTGTGACTTTCCTTCCTTTTGAGTTGAATCTTGCTGTGATGATGGTGATGGTGGAGGAGGAGATTTGTTCCTACTGCATGAGAGAGAGAGAGAGAGAGAGCCATTTATGCTGTTGGGGACATGATGATAGCCAGTGGAAAACTTAGTGTGCTTGTGGTTGTCGTGTGGGTGAGAATATCGAAGTAGATTGTTGACTGTGAAGTTGACAGTTTGGAGAGTTCACTTGCATTGCATCCGGTTTCGCGGATTGCTAGCACTTCAATGCTATCCCTTCTCATCTCTTTTTCAATCTGGGCAGCCTTGCCAGGCAGCTTCAAACATGGTGTGGACATTCCATATCCCTATGTTTACTTTCGCTTTGATCGAGAGAAGGGAATACACATCTGGCATATCTAAGCATCCGTTTTGGTGACTTTATAGATCTTATTGAAGAATCCTATAACTGCATGGATTGGTGCTATATTTGAGACAAACTATCGCGAAGTTTCTTCAGTTTTACTCTTACTTCAGCTAACATGGTACTTAATGTAGACCTGACAAACATGCATTGATCACCTCAACCAGCAAATGTTAGCAATCTAATCAGTGTAATCACTCTTAACATCAATATATTGCTATGTCAGTATATCCGTTTCGAAATCCGCTCACCTACATAGGTTTGGACAACCAGGTCATTGGCCCTCATACAGTAAGTGTGGCTCATTGTTTACTGTGCGGATGTGCACAAAGTTTCTGAGTGAACTTCGTTTTTTTTTAAATATTTCCATTACATACTGACGATGCAAGGAGTTTATTGTATATTGTCCGCCTTCAATAGGCAGATTTTGCGCTAGGCCTGTTAATAGCTACTCCGATATCCAACCTGTACAAATATACTTGCTTGCTATGTTGGATGAAGAGGTTTATAAATGAACAAGATTTTGAAAGCATCCTATTTATTTTCAGTCCAAAGGTTTTTTTCAAGATACACTTTAATGTTTGTCATTTTATGACACTATTTCTGTTAAAAATTGTCTAAAATGTCTCACTTCATATCATGCACTGTACTCAGACTCATAACATCTTTCACATCAGGAATACTCACACCGAATACGAATAATGTTAAAGCGGTATTAGTAATTGAACAGAAAAATATTCAAGCAACATTGTAATATGTAAAGCTGCATACAAATTGAAGCATTTTACAGCTAACCGTCTGTATCCATACAAGCTTGGCAACAATGTTGTATATATCTCCATTTCACTTTGATTGAAGAATTATCCATTTCGTTATGCACATCAATATCAAGAAAACTAGTTACATAAGTGGATCGTTATCTGTCTCAACGGAAACTGTTGAGAGTGAATTCAGAGCCAAACCCTTATTTATTACTAAGTGGTAAAACACAATTCGTTTAGCCTGTTTTCTATATTTTAGCAATCAAGTATCTCATTATTATGTTGGGCAATAGGATCACTCAATGATATTAAATCTCGGAAACCTTTCGCAACCAGTCGTGTTACTTCGAAGTTTCGAGGAAAAGTATGTGAACCTACCTGTAAATATCAAATTGGTTGAAAAGGTAAAATCAGTAGGATATTATCTTCCAGAAAAGCCCAAAAATAGTCAAGGTCATTGTAAATTTATTTAAATCGGTGCAGTTTGTACATATTCTGACATCGCAATACACTGGTCATTTTACCATCTTTCCCCCTTACTGAGAAACTGAGCGACCATCAAGGGTAAAATCTGAGAGTTGTTGTTCAAGAGTTTACGCATATTTAACCAGGTATTTATCACTTATTTGTAATCGTATTTGAAAATGTTCCCTGTTGGACAATATATTTACTTCATTGTTGAATCGATAATTACTTCATTCTACCAACACATGGAATTTTACTTAGTTAATTCTATCATTATTAACTATGCTACAGATATATTTATAGTTGCTGTAGTAACTCTGATGCATGCTTTGATGCTCCACATGCTGTTCCTCTGTAAGGTATGTATTTGTATGATAAGTATTCACAACATTAGGATTGACTGAATCTGTCCAACTTTTCTATTTTCAGCCTCAATTCAAGCCATCTAACAGAAAGTGATGACGGTGATATTACTAGTAATAATGTGTCGCCTACGAATGGTGAAATATCCTCTGATTCAGAATTGGCAAATGTGAATATGATGGAATCAACATTGCAACAAACAATTAGTTCACACTGATTTTCTTCTGTTTTATATAATTCTAATTTGTTTTCCTATCTACAAACAAACATTTTGTCTACCTTCTTTTTCTTTCTTTCCCTATCTCTCTTACAATGAAACAGTTTTTGTATGCATATTTTACACCTTCATCTGTTATCTTAGTTTGGTTTCGCGTTTGTAGATTCTTAGCTGTCAAAGTTGATTATCATTATTATTATGATATTTACCACAAATAGCTTTGTGTCTTGAGTAGACATACTAAAAGAACTATTGGCTATACTTTATCTAACTGTCACTTTCACTGCTACTACTCTGTTCAGTTTTATTTGTAAAAAAAATTCTCATATTATGATTGCAGTTCAACTGTCAAAGAAAAATGTAATGTGATATACACACTTCTTGAATTCTTCTCCATTGGATTGTATGCCAGCTAACCAGAGCAGATAGTGATGACTTATACATAATTATTGTAAGCTGATAGAATCCGATAAATGTAAGTAAGGATGAAGTCCTTAAGAATAAGTTATTCAAGTGTTATGTGAAAAGGAAGCTTCGAATCCAAAGCTTCAACGTTTTATTGCGTCTTTTTTAAACTTGGCAAATGAAAGACAACAAAAATATACAATGAAAGTTTACATTCTTAGAGTTTGTTATAAAATTCCAGTTAATTACATCATTATACACGCATATCAATGATGATTTTGATATGATTACCGACTTCACTTTTTGTTTCATGTTTTTTTCTTTTCTTCAAATGATGGAATAGCGAAGAAATCCTGTGGCATTCTTATAGTGATAATAATATTGTATTTAGTAAAATGGGATCTTCTTACTCATGATTCGTGTACAAGAATCAGATCTGTCCCACTATGGAACGTTTCTGGGTATTTTTTAAATTTATGCCTATCACTTTAAAGGATGAGAGTGACATCAGTTCAGCTTTCCCCGTCCAATTTTCAATAAATGCCAAATCAAATCCAAAGCTATAAGTTAAAAATAACATGCGGCGTTGGCTTTTGATTGTTAGCTTTCTTTTACCTATAGGATTCTGTATAATGTAGATAGAAGAGAGTCTTTTTGATCATCTTTAACTCACATTTACACTTATTGGTTGCGATCAGTTAGTCAAGAAAGTACTCGTGTATACACTTATTTATACTCATCTTTGGTTTCAGATGCTTCAAAGAAACCATGGGTGTAGCATTGTTGTGTATCAGTATAGTGATTCACAGTGCATAAAATCGCATTTGGTTGCTGAGATATACTCATTTAGGCAAAGGGAATTAAGTGGTCAAACATATTGACTGGGTTACATACCTGTGGCATTGGACTGGTGGACTATCGAATACCGCTTGGCTTTGACTGATAATCTTCACCTGCCTTCAGAACAATATACTGTTCTATGACCCTTCTTACCTTTTCCACTTATATCCTAATTGCAAATGACTTTAATACTTTCCTAGTTTTGTATATTTTCACTCCGAATTGAGCAGTATGTTGAGTGAAACATATCTCTGCTATGTGAAACTCTGCATTGCAATTTCTGTGTGTGATAGAATTACTAACAATGATTGACCTTCTACAGGATCGTATTCATAACAGGGAAGTTAAGGCCTTCATCTTTCTATGGTTTGCCAGAAAGCTGTGTTGGATGGTGTTGAAATGAAAAACAGTTACCCTTGTATGTAAATTACTACACTGTGATAGTGGTCTGAGGGCGAAGTCGTGCTGCTGATTGGATGAAATGTGATACCAGTAAGGTATTTCCCAGTAGTGTTACACTGATGCTGCCTTCCCAATGAGAATGCGGCGATTAAAAAAGTCGGGCCCCCAGAATAACATTCAACCCTGCCCCACGGTCTTCCGGTCCCAGCGGTATGGGCTCTATTTGGCGTTAGAACAACCAAACCTTAAAACAACAACCCAGAAAAAGGTTGTGTGTGACTAGCCTCAAACAGTTGTCCCTTGGGCTCTGCGGATACGAAAATATTTCTCTCTTTCAGATACCTTAAGGAGAAATAGCCTCCCACGGTGTGGGTGACCTGGAGATGTCCACCACCTGCACGTTTCCAGTCCATCTACTGGTAAAATATATGCTTCCTGCTCATAGCCATAAATCTTATGATCTCAACTGAATCTGTAATATTTCCTTTCTCCATATATACACACACACATTGAATTAGAAGGAGAACTCTGATTTAAATCTAGGTCAAAATTCTTTTTTTAGTTTATTTGCACTTTTACTGTTATTTTGAACATTTTCACGTGACCTTTCTATCGGTCATCCCAATTACGAAATCAGTTTAATTGCATACATCTCAGATTGTAGCTGAATTTTCTTAAGAAAGCAAATAAATGATTTTTAAGTTCTTATTACTGTTTTATAATTCCATATTTATTGTTAAGACAGTAATATGGAATTGAAAATAAATTCTCCAAGGTTTCAATAGATACCTATATTACTATTGGGTAAGCTATTCAATTGTATACACTTGTCGTTTCGAAGTTAGTTACACCAGGAAAAGCATGACGATAATATCTCTAAGTACGACAACCAGTGATGCCGGTTTGAACATGACATTTAATAAATTTTCTGTTAGTGAGCATATAAAGTAAGCTTACAGTTTCGTGTTATCTACCTTCAAAAATCATTCCTTTACGATAACCATGCGAAGAAAGAGATTGTACATACTTCTTTTGAACACAATTAAGGCTTGAACTTTTGGCCTATTAATGTTTCAGTTATGCGCAGTCTTAACCTTACTTTTTCCGAGTGGTTTGGTCGCACTTTGTACAAAATTTTGAAAGACTTGCCAGAAGGAACCAAGTGTTGTGAGTTTACTCAATGTCGTGTTGCAGAGCTGAAGATGCCTTTCTGTTCTTTCTTTGTCAGCTGCAATGAAGAATGTTCACAAAGGTATTTCACAAGCGGCTACATAATACATACACGTATATGTGCCTTAATACTTTAGCTGACCCTTCTCATACAGACAGAAAAATACGTTTCTAAGACTGGCAGCAAAAGATATTTTGTTTATGGATTTTGATAGCAACTTCCTATGGATATCGCCACATTATTCCCTCGAATTCGATGTTCAGTGGTAAAATCTTCGGAGCAATATGTGAGCATCCCATGATGCCTTTCGACACTAAACTCTTATCTATGAATTTCAGTTGATACCCACTTTTTTCATCGGGATTTTTCGCCAGATCTTTAGTTCATCATCGATGATATCCTCTGCGCATATTTTTCATATTCCTGAAGATAGTGAGTCGATATGATTTTCTTTCTGCTTAAAGATACATAGATTTTAAAAATTAATAAACTGTCCATTTCAAGTGGACTTTCTGGAAGTAGATATTTAACTGAATGATCATCTTTTCTTTAGAGCTGAACATCATAAATAATAGACATATATGTAGCTTGCTGATTATTTTGAACAACTTTGGGTTTTATAGGCCTGTCAAAAATCAGTCAACTAAGAGGGATTCCAGGGGCGAATCCATAGTCACACCATCTATCTGTGTTGTAGATTTGGTTTTGAAATCTGAAGTGTATTGAAAGTATATCTAAGAAGAAGTTCTTTTGAGTAGTGATTCAGGATACCAATGTTTATGTCATGGGACCAAGTGGAGTCAAACAGAAAACAAGTGGTTTCTGTGGTTAGACATTTGTAAACAGAAAGAAGATGTCCAGAGAAATCATCCTCTTCCCTGACATACTGAAACTCTTGATTATTAACATACAGGTTTTTCAAAGATAATGGATAGTCTTAAGGACGTTACACAGATAGATATATAACATTTTAGATTTCTGAACCTATGCAAAATCTAATGTTCTCGCATTCCCTGAGGTTGTCTACTCAGTTTAATCAGAAACATCAACAGGGATGTTCGTTCCATGTACTGCACTATGTGTTTATTATTAATACTACGGGACTGAAATTCTCACATTCAGATTAATGCCAGTTTTACAGTACAGAGAATCTACAGTAATGTATTTATATTAGAAAGAGCAGCTGGAAAGTACTGGTATGAAATTACTATCTGTGTTTGCAGTTATCTAATTCTTTTCAAATAATCAAAGTGAACAAATCAATGAAAATATGCAGGAACTAGATTTATTCCTCTGTTTTGATGAATGATATTTGATCCTAAAAGATATAACCTAATTATTTTCCGCTTTTTTTGCGTTCTTGGTGTTTTTCTCTACTTCCATGGGTTACCTTTTTATTTACTGTTCTCTAGATACCAAAATTCCTTTTAATGGTTCTTTTTTCTGTTTTTTATATGTGATTCACTTTCTCTGTATCAAGGTCATTGTGACTGCTCACACAACCATTGAACTCCATGAATGTTCATAGACTTCATTTGACGTGGATCTCTATACTTCAAGTGTTATATTTTTTCCCTTCGATATTAGTTGCACAGCAGTGGAAAGGAATTCGTTACTAATACATCAGAGTTACCAGATTTTATATCAAGAACTTCTCACTGTTCTCTCGTTTTACATGGGAATCAGTATGGTAACGATTTACTTAACAAGTCATACTTTAAAACTGTGCGTACGCCATGTCAGACTAATTGTTCTGGCTCATAGAGATGATATTTTATCAATAGCAAGGAATTTTCAGTTTGACCATCTGATTTGGCAGACTCGTATTATTGATATTGGGTGATGACTGAAGGTGAAAGGAAAATTTATGTTTTGACATGATTTGATCCAGTGGTCTCCAGGTTACTGCCTGATGCTCTACTAAGTAAGCTAGAAATCAACATGGCAATCAACCAAAATGTTTGGTGATTCATGTGGAATTAATATCTGGTCAGCGGCTGAATCCCGTAAATGGTGTGAATCCTACTGCAACTCATATTTTCATTTCACCTTAACTTATTATCCAGTATCAGAGAATTTATTTATAGACATAAATGCTGAACGTATTAGTTAAACATAAAAAGTGTTTTAATAAAAAGAAAATGCAGAACTAGGCTTATTGTACTGTAGATGCATATTTTATTATGAATGATATCGGTTGTTTCAGTGGATATAAAATATCATTTCGAAACTAAAATACACGATCAAATTAGTTTGGTAAATTTCACTTGTCATACGATTTAAATCGTGTTTCACAGCTAAAGGTCTAAGTGAGCCTAATACTGACTGAGTTGAAGAACAAAGGTCACAATGAATAAATGATCTTGAATATCCAATCAGAATGCAGTGAAACCGACTTTAAAAATGTAATGTTACAATTTGGATTTGAAAAAAGTATGTATGTTACGTAGTGTACGTCTAGACTAAACATTGAATGACAGTATCTCAACTTTGTATGAGGGTATCTACAATGATGAAGTAGCCTCATCATTCTTATGAACACAAATATCACCATTACA